AAAGGCTGCGTTGGGTGGCGTTGAGGCAGTGGGGTTCTTCCAGCCCGCGCACGAACAGGACTACAAAACGGCGAAAACACAACATACCAGGGTCAAGAGGAGAGAGGAGCAACCAACTTTCCGATTTCTCACACTTTAAAAATTATCTTTCTTGGAGACAACAGTGCAACCACACTTAGCGAAAAACAACCTCCGGCTCCTTACAAGCAACACTTTCGGGGGAAATTCCACAATTACTGTCAATGCTTTCTCGTCAGGTGAAATACAGGCAAAAAGAAACTTGACGAAATCAATGGATTCAATACAGCAGAGAGGTGATAGAACACCGCAAAGAGGAGTAGCCAGAAACAACAATGGTAAACTGCATGACCGCATACACATGTGACATAGAAGGAATGATGAAAGGTGCAAGCGCGACAACAACCAAAAAACTAACAAGCACGCGATGTATTGCGAGAACAATAGGCAACCAATTGACAAACCTAACGAGTGATATATCTCCATTGCTACGGGAGTCCTGGTGCATTCAGGCCCACCTCCTCGATACAGCTGTGGGTGATTCGAGTGCACGTGCTTTGGACGATGTTCGTTTAGCGAGCATGGTTTTTAATGCCCGAGTGGGCAGTACTGCCCAATACCTGGATGCTAATGGTGCTGCTGGCGTTCTTCCCCTGGTTGACGAGGTGAATGGAAAGACAGTTTTAGAGCACCAGCGGGATAAGCACCCTGCTCCCCAGCCGGCTGATCCAGACATCCTATTGGACTGTAGCCCCGACCCCCCGGGATCCAATCATGTCTGAGGCAATAACACCAGCAGCTATAAAGAGGACAATATTGGGAATGAAGGGAGCTGCTGGACCTTCGGCTTTGGAAGCAGCTGCCTGGTGTCGGATGGTTGGCATGCTCAAGTCATCTTCGGATGAGCTCTGTTCGGCCCTCTCTCGTGTGGCCAAGTGAATGTGCACGGAGACGCTTGAGGCATTGCATCTACGCTCGTTTTTGGCAGCACAACTTATACCGTTAGATAAGAGACTTTGTGTGCGGCCCATCGCTGTTGGTGAGGTGTTTAGACGTGCAGTTGTAAAGGCAAAGGCTATCGTGACGGCAATATAGAAAGATGTGGTGAGGGCAACGGCGCCGACCCAACTTTGCGTTGGCATACCATCAGCATGCGAAGTGGCTGTGGAGGCGTTGTCATCTGTTTACGCCAGGGAGGAGTGGGAGGCAATACTCCTCGAAGATGCTACAAATGCATTCAATTCTGTGAACCTGGCGGCTGCACTGCACAACAACCCACGTGTGTGCCCAGCTGCAGGTCAGGTATTTACGAACACATATCAAGCAGATATCCCCCTGTACCTGGACGGTGGCGAGATAGTCTACTCTAGAGAGGGCCCGTGCCAAGGAGATCCGCCGCCCATGGCATTCTATGCTTGGCTACTGGCCCTCTGGCCAAGCATCGCGACATGCAGCGGCTCCATAGAGGTGTGGTACGCTGATGAGGATGTCGCTGTGGACCGCGTTATGGCACTCAAGGGGTGCTGGAATTGCATTACGGCGGAGGGCCCCAAGTGTGGTTACAGGCCTAACACTGCCAAGACCGTGTTCCTTGTCAAGAGTCAGCTGGTGTCAGATGCAGAGCAGGTATTTGCTGGCACGGGCATCCGGATTTCCTCTGATGGCGTCCGGTATTTGGGTGGAGTCATTGGCAGCAGTGAGTTCTGTGAACAAATTTTCGAAAAAGTTGCTTGTGAAGAGCCCGAAGTAATTTTTTTATTTTCCCACGTGTGATTTCTTAACCTCCTCAATCATTTTCAATGTTTTATTATTATACAGTATTGGGGACGTTTAGCAACTCGAAAGTTCGAAAAAAATTCTGGGAATGAGTACAGAAACAAAGCTCGAAACTTCGAAAACTTGGACGCGAAGTTGCAGTGATTTGCGAAAGTGACTTTCTCTTTCCTCGGTACGCACTTGACGGCAGGGAGTGGTAAATTTACAACCCCTGCATGTATGAGACTGAGTTGCATACGGTACGGTACTATGGTCTAGAACTTCGTGATTCAATAAAAACACAAGAGAGATTGGAAGTTTTGTCACAACTCTGAGTTTCACGTATATTATATATAATATTCACGTACGATCACCAGGCAAAGCTTCCAATCTCTCTTGTGTAGAAGGCTCTGCCCTACATGGGTATTGAGTAGGGCTGAAAGGAATATTCGAATATTCGAAATATGCAGACTGGAAAAAGAATATTCTTCGTTAAAGTAGAATAAGAATATTCGTAAATGTACACAAATTCGCCTTTTGGGTAGAAAACCAGGCATATTTGGTGCAAAATACGAGTAGAGTTGCCACCTTCACAATGTGTTACCATCAACAAGATGAATGATAACATTGTCCTTTTCACACATCTCTCTTGTAATTGGGGTACACACCAGTCAATGGTCTATGGTTACCATGGATACAACTAGGTATCCATGGATATTGTACGGTTTAGAATATTCGGAATATTCTTCGTTTCACATGTATTCGGAAAAAGAATATTCGTTCGCTTCATTGAGCATTCGTTTCAGCCCTAGACTATTGAGCACTCTTCGGACAGTGAAGCACACCACTTGACTACGTTGATTCAATAAAAACGCATTTCGCATTGCTAAACCTCACAAGTTTTCCTTTTTCAAAATATACTTTCGCGAAATATCACCACCACCAAAAGTTCGAGCTTTCGAGTTGCTAAACGTCCTTATCGTCCCTTTCCTGTCTACCGGTACATTAATTTTATTATTGGCTCAACATCCGAGTATCAAAATGTTTTTAATTGACTGGTACATGGTGTTTAGGCAACAAAGACTTAGCTAATTAGGTGAACTTTATTGAGAACTTGACTATCATGTTTGACGTACATGTACTGTCTACTACTACATGTCCATGTACTAGACTCGTCAAACAAGCGTTTCTCTTACGTTGCATGATGAATAGCTGGCAAGCTTCTCCAGACGCTTGCTGGCATGGTGCTCACGCAACACTGCTTTGCGATGGGCTAAGTTGGCAGCCATTTAATTAGCTCCTGCTTGGCTTGCACCGACACACAGCACTAGGTCAATTCTGCCAAAATAATATCAATGGGTGAAATCTGCGACATCAATTTCCACGACGCTCCGAGCAGCGACAAACTACATTGAAGACTTCCAGCTCGATGTATAACTAAATTCCACGACTTCTCCCGGCTTGGTCTATGCTCTACACAGACATGTCACAAGTTTTGCAACAAGTACTAATAAAAAGGCGCATGCATTCCTTTTCAATCAAAATTGGCAGCATGCAATCAATATCCGCAATCATCAAGCAATTTGTAGCTTGCAAGATTCAAAATGCTCATAAAACTATTATTTTCAATTTTTTACCTTTTCGCCAGCGCTGCATGCAGCATACATGTTCGGCAGGGAGTCGGTATTTGACGACTCCTTGATTAGATTACTATTAGCATACTACTGTAGTATGCTATTGCTGTTCGGTGCATGCAAGAGTACTCTTGGTGCATGTAGTCTCGAGATCTCACACACAATGTAGAATCTAGGGTCGATTGTAACTCAATGACAACGACTATCATCAAGACCAAGAGGCAAGAAGCTGCCCATAACATTCATCACTTGACTTCCATTGTGAATGCACCTGCACACGTTACGAGACGTTCACGTGTGTGGTGTCTGTGCCGTCTGTACCATCAGTGGCTCCAGGCCTGCAAACTCTATCACAGAAAACATCATAGGCCTGCCCCCCCCCCCCCCTCCCCCCTCCACACACATGCACACGCACACACACACGCACACATACACACACACACACAGTAGTGGAACATGCCTGGTTTTGCTAGTACAATTTGCAATCCATCCAGCAAACATGGGAAATGTTGCCTGTCACCGGGCTCATCGCCTGGTGACAGGCAACTAGTAGGGGAAACGGAGTGCTCTGAAGTACAGCAGCAATAGACCACCCATGCGTCACCGCTGAGCAAGAGTATCATGAGGCAGGTACTGATACGGCCCTTCATACGGGGCACCACGCGCAGAATACATAGAGCTGTGCGGGTGGCGCTCAAGACTTCCTTTTAGGTCTCAAGTACCTTAACTCTCAAACTACATAGTAGTATAAGCAGATATTACGATCGTGACAAAGACCTAGCTAGAGACTAACATAAATAGAGGCCGGGCCATCTGAATGATCTATAAATAATTAATTGCATAAAGGCCGGGCCATTTCAATGACCATATCTACAGCTCTCATCTACAGAATATCTAGAAAAATACAAAGAGAGGCATATGTTGCGCAATACTGCACAACAGAGTCAGTCGCCGGGAATGCGGCTTGGGCAATGACTAGCGCTGTCTCAAAGGATTTTAATCCAAACAGCTATACGACACACACACACACACACGCACACACACACACACACACACACACACACACACACCATGAAAGTCCATGATAATCCATGCTCACGGCAAGGGACAGCTGCGGACTCTGCTGCCCAGCGCCATATGCAGACGAGGCTTGCTAATAAATCGTAGTGGCAGCTCGCCGTGCCTGTACCGGTAGTGGTCTTCGCAGGACACTTTGTGAAACCATGACAGGACGAGTTGGTCTCTTGGAATGATCACCGACCGCGCTACATAACAGGGAGTAGTAAAATATCGGAATTTTACTACTCCCGGCTACATACATGTAGCAGTGTGTCGCCAAGACGAAACGATGATAACAGTGAGCGCAACTGGGTCTACACTGAGTCGTACGTATTCAGTGCTCTGTAATAGCAACAGGTGAGAACTACATTGACAAGCTGCACAGGACAAGCAGATGCAGAAAACAGCACTAAGCATCAGGTGAAATAGTCCAATAGACCTTATTCGATAACGTGATTTTCGGACTCGCCTCCAGGGATTTGTCGTAAGCTGGGGGCACTCGTAAATGAAACGAGTGGCAAGAAAGGCCCAGTTCGCACAAGGAAGTAGTAAGATACCGGTATTTTTCTACTCCCATGTTTGCACGCAGAGTCCACTGTGCACTGAGTGCAGGCCTCTTGCCACTCCCTGGTTCCCGGGACTCCGGTTCACGTGATTGTGGCGTTTATCGAATAAGGTCTATAGGTAACGGCACAGAGAGTTTTTGCCGTCGGAGACTCCATTTGCAGAGTTGCACACTCTTGGGAGCATATCTCTCTCTTTCTCTCTGTCTCTGTCTCTGTCTCTCTCTCTCTCCCTTTCTCTTTCTCTCTCTCTCTCTCTCTCTCACTCACTCTCTCTGTCTCACTGTCTCTTCCTCTCTCTCTTCTATTGGCGCGCCTGGCTGTGATGAAGCCGAGACCCAAGGTCGGCAGAGCATCCCAGACCACGCCACCACTCCCCTTATTCATGGTGCACACATGACGGGTTTACGTGGCTCTAGTAAAAAAAATGTACTCTTGAATCTTGATACTACAGTACATGTAGTATACGTGTACATGTAAGCATATGACAGAACCACACTCCGTCAACAAACACACAACTGTGAGCTTTTCATTCACCAAAGCGCTGTGAATCGAACGTGCATCCCTGGATCAAGCAGAGCCCTGTCATATCGGGACAGTTCCCACTGCACCAAGGGTGTCCGGCTAGCCCTGGCAGGATTTACTGTAGCATGCAACAGAATCACACACTCCGTCAACATACATGTGCACATTCAGCTGTGAACTTACCAGTGAGAAACCGATGCCGATAGCGGCACCACCCCATGTGTACCAGTTCTCCCAGAGCAGACTTAGAGTGCCACCAAAGCAGCCCTGAGAGATCGAGAAAGAGAGCATGAGGGTACACCCACGCGCACGCACGCACGTGCACACACACACAAAACAATGTGTGTTGCAATTACATGTACTGAGTGCCGCGTGGCAAGAAACTCCCGTGAAACTACCGTGTGCAGCTGCTTTTGAAAGTCACCCCTCCCCCCGTCCCCGCATCTGGTAACATTGCAGGGCTTCACGAACACCCACGTCAGAATACCAGACAATAGGCTAAACCATCAGTCATGATAATAGGTAAAGGATAATCAGTGTTTGATAGATGGCAGGCATCATAGTGATGCCCATTTTTATCATGGCAAACGACATTCCGAAATACATGTAGGTTGCTGTAGTGTCCACATCTATATATGCGCTGTTGCATTCCTTGGCCACCCCAGGCATTCATGATAGTAGTACACTGACTGTGTGATGGTACGCATGTACAGTCGTGGCAAGTGAAATCCGACACGTGCCATAGGGGACGGCGCCACAAATAGACGCCGATGAATAATGATCGATGATGTAATGCACTGTACCGAATGTGTACAATAGAGCCGTATGCATCCCAAACAGGTCGAACGGCCTCAGAGTAGATACACACAGTTCACAGACATGGTATACATAAGGAGTATTGGTATCCAGTCCCCATTCATTTTTTGCCAGCACCTTTGAACCTTTGAAGTGAACCTTGACTGTGATGAGTACGATTACGGTCATGAGACTGATATAAGTTGTATGTAACACATGTACTACGTATGCAGGGCTGCAGACTGCATGGTGCAGTCCCTTATGCCAAGTGTCGGATTTCACTTGCCATGACTGTAGCATGTGCCGTTTCCCGCGGAACCGGACTTGGCGGTTTTTAGTTGCTGTGCACGAGTGGAGTGTGACAGGATTTTGTTGTTTTGGATTGAAGGAATAAACAATACTCCGGTTGCCACTACAGTAAAACCTGGTCAAGAAGAGCACCGGGGACACAGAATACTTGCTTCACACAAACTCTTCTTTAGAACCAGGTCCCACAGTGTCTGTGTAGAACTGTCGGTGCATGGAAAAACAGTCGTTAAGAGCAGGTGGTCGCTAAACACAGAGGTCGCTTACACCAGGTTTTACTGTACACCCATTGAGGCTTGGACTCATAGAGAGCAGGGTCAAATGCAATGCTGTTCACCACACAAACACAGCATGGACACAGGCATGGAAAGAAGCCTACCTTTTGATAAACGTTCACGGATGTGCAGGAAACTGTTGAGTTGGCACAGCACGAGTCTGGCAGTATACCTGAGCGAGTATCCCAGGCGGTTACGTCATAGTCGGTGTAGTTGTTTACGCCACAGCAGTCCAGCTGTGGGGTATTGCCGTACAAACAGAGGAAGAATGTGCGCGCGCACACACACACACACACACACACACACACACACACACGCACACACAGCGGTCACATTTACCACTTACAAACAGTACCACTCACACCTGACAAAATGAACGGGCCTGTACAATAAACGTCAAGGCAGGCAAAAGCCAGCTGGTATGTAGCAATTGTATCTGTGCCCACATGATATATTATTGTAGATCAGCTGTGTTTCAGGGGCACTGCAGCCAGCTCGGCTGGTGATGCTTTGACCAAAATACATATCTGACAACCAAGCCTGGTGTGGAAGTGAACGAGGCAAAAACAGTGAACATATTTTTCCCAACAGTGTACCTACAGTACTGCCGGGTTCCGAAGAATGTAGCGCCGAAAAAAGAGCAGGCTATGATTTCATCAAGCACAGCATACTGATATAATTATACGCCTGGCTCAACCGTGCATGGACGCGTGCATGAAAAATAAGAATGGGCAGGCTAGGATTTCACCAAGCACAGCATACTGATAGTTATACGCCTGGCTCCACTGTGCATAGACGCGTGCATGAAAAATAAGAATGGCCTAGCTAGGCTACGACTCTGATACCCGAGTTCTTCGGCACTCGACAGCCCTGTACTGTATATCCCGCACTGGTCGACCATCTCCAATTGGCCGGAGCAATGTGACAGGGTATAGAGGTTATGCGATAACGTCAAATCCGCCATATATTGGAGCCAGTTGGGGTGGCAAAATGCCGAAAGCGGGTACAGAAACCCCTTATATAGAATAATTTGGGGTGGCAAACGTACTATATGACGTGTATCGCATAACCGCTATACTACATGCCCGGCCCGTGTTCGCATTCTACTCAGTAGACATGTAGATAACTTATAAGCCTTGCTTGATAGTTTACCGGGTCTGATGCTGAACCTGAACCGGGGCATGGCCCCATATGGTTCACATGGTCGCAAGACCAGGACTCCACCAGCTGGGTTTCTAGTTGCAGTCAGGCACACTCAGTGTTTTCCATACAATGTGTCCGCCACCTTGTGCTATGCTAACATCGTCACCATACCTGTAGATATACCAAAGTGTGCTGTACATAAGCATAAAACACTCGACCAGCTGGGTCAATTGGGATTTTCTTGGAGAGCACTGCTGCAGACTTACCGCTCGCTGTACAATATCCCATCCTGTCGTCACGGACGTAGTCTTATTGTAATCACCGATCGACTTGGTCATCCCCTTTTCAATGGTCACGGTCAACTGCAATGGAGCACACAATACAACAAAAAGGGGAATGGATGCACAAGGCGACAGTGTGAAGAAGAGGCTGTAGCAACACTACATAGTGCAGTGCTCTCGGAGCAAAACAATTCATTAGCCTACTGAAGCTCAACCGATGGGGGGGGGATTTCCGCAACACTGTGTATTAGGCAGGGAATGGTGCTTTCTTGCCGGTTTGCCGAGTGGAAGGTTCCATGTATTTCTCGTGTGCTCTGCATGGCAGTCGCGAGTCGGTCAAGTGAGAATTCAAGTCGACAGGAAAGTGCGAAGCGATACACAATTCCCCAAGCCCCGCCGAAGTCGCTACGACCTCTTATTCAAATCTGCAGAAAAAATGGGGAGTGCTTCACATTCTTTAAAATGTAGTGCATGCAACTACGCCATCCACACCAGCCTACAAGAACATAGATACACTCATCCGTATCCACCCTTTCAAGTACATGGGTGTATATCTAAATCTGGGAATGCGGGGCTCGTCACTCCACATTACGGTGCACATAGTGTGACGGAGTAAGGAAAGTTTCCAGACTGACCTACTCTGCAACACCTACGCGGCGCTAGTAGCATTATGCACACGTGCATCGATGTCGACCGGTCATCACACTTTACAGAGCCCCGAGGAGCTTACCTGCGATCGATATCCATATATAAGACCACCAGCGGCTACCAAGACAACGAAGATGAGCGAGAGCAGGGAAGCATACTGCACACAGAACAAACACAAAAATAGGATAGAAAATAGAATACTTGTTTTTCGGGACTTCTTTCACAGTATTTATCCTCGAGGGAAGCGGAATTACGCTCCCAACACAAGTTTGTCATTAAGACCAAACAAGTAGCTATTCTAATAATAGCCGCAGAGAAAGATAAAGCGGTTCGTCTAAAACATTCCAGGACTATCCCTACATAAAGCAAATAGTGTGAATTCATAACTTGCTAAAATTCAACTTAGTCGTGTGAACCATTCGGTAAGTAGTTAACTGTTAGATTGGGAAACATCATGATCATGTTGTTGGTATGGCATGATCTACAATAGTCTGGCGCCATCACTTACAAATATCAGACATCCGCGGTGCTCGTTCTTAGCACCAATGCAGCCCGACAAGCCGATGGCCATGCAGAGGAAGCCATCAACGAGCAGGACGATTGCAAATGTAGTGTGATTGACATTGGCTATGGCCAAGTAGGGTCCAACCGTTGTTTGTGAGAGCTGCAGAAACAACGGAGAACGAGAACAATGAAGTGAGAAAGAGGGCACAGGTAAATTGCAGCAGAAATTCATGATGGCGGTAACAATACTGACAACAATTTATGACTGTCCGATGGCTTTACACAGGCCATGAACATAGGGTTATCCTTGAAGGTAGGTCAGGCAGGCGTGTGTGTGTGTGTGTGTGTGTGTGTGTGTGTGTGTGTGTGTGTGTGTGTGTGTGTGTGTGTGTGTGTGTGTGTGTGTGTGTGTGTGTGTGTGTGTGTGTGTGTGTGTGTGTGTAGGGAATCACTGCCGCTGATCTGCATGAATTGCCCGAAGCGTTTCCGACGACAGCAAGATTTGACGAGGCACCAGAAGTCCTGCCAATGACGGTGCCCTCCAAACTCTGGCCCCCTCCGGGGGTGACATTGCCCAATGGGCAGTCATGCTATAGTATATAGTAGTGTGTGTGTGTAGGGGACATGGACATAATATAGGGTGCATGCAGCAGAACCACATACTGGCCGCTTTTCAGTACATGGTTATGCACCATCTACAGTTGCGCTGGGTGAAATCCGTTGAGAAGTCAACATGCCACGGGGCGCTGGCCTTGCAGCCGCGGGGACTACTAGTCCATTTTTACAGTGTGAACGTGAACTACAGTGCATGTATCCGCTAAAAGCAGGAAGGGCGCCAGCCCCGGTCATCCCATCGGACTTCAATGTCTATGACGGTAGAAAGGTTTGTGCATTCAGTGATGTACAATGTATGTATGCTACACAGACGAGAGACGGTAATGGGCCATTCACACTACGCCCAAAACGTGGCGTACGTGACGTTTTCGTCCGAATAGCCATGACAACATGGAACGCGGCGGGAAAATCGTATGCCGGATGCGAAAACGTAGACGAATTATCCAGACCCCAGTACCGAGATTCGTTCTGTCGTTCCTGGCAGTTTGTAGGGACCTTTCGCATTTGCTACGAATCGAATGCAAAACGAAAGTTTGATTCGGCTCGTAATCGTTTCGTTGAAAACAGAATTCAGGTTTCGCAAGTCGTAATGCAAATGTGCATGGCAACTACGAATACGGCCGGTAGCTTGGCGTACGGGTGTGTTCGCGCACACGTGCATGGATCATGGAATCAAGGGGGAATGCGTACCTGGCAAAACATGTGTACCTTGCAAAAAATGTGTACCTGACGGATTCGGAGCGTGCCACGAATGAAGAGGCTTCCATTCGTGAAAACGAGCTCTGCGCGGCGACTCTGACGAATCCTCGAACCCAGGTGACGAATCAGCATTCGTTTCGTATCCGTACGCGTGGTGCGAAAGGTCCCTTGTATCCAAAAGAAGCTGTACGCACAGTTGTACGAAAAGCGTGTACGTGCCTGTGTGAATGTACTTGCATGAAAACGATGCCTGCATGCCAGGACATGGAATTCCAGAACGTGACGCGTATAAGCAAGAGTACATAACCCCCCAGAGTGTGCAACGCCGGATCCAGCTCTGCATAGGGTCTTGGTCGAGCGGAATCGGATCTTTGCGTCATAATACCGTACACATCTGAGGGGAACCCGGGGAGTCGCGGGTACGAGAGCGTACTCTTGGATCAAAAACAATGGTGCCCTGCCTCGAGACCGGCCTTGCGCTGGTGTGGAGTGTACGCATGACATCAGAAGATCCGATTCCGCTCGACCAAGACCCTATGCAGAGCTGGATCGGCGTTGCACACTCTGGGGGATTATGTACTCTTGGTATAAGCCTTTTGCGCGTTGTACAGATGCACGAAATCCCGTAGAACCTAATGGGTGCTGAATGTGCAGGACCCTATTGTGTTTTCTGCTATTTCCACTAAGAAATGGGCCCTGAAGGCATTTCAAACGAAAACCTTTTCTGACAAAGATCTAGCTAGTCATTAGTTCTACGAAAGTGAAGAAGCTGGGAAAGGGATTGTTTGCACACAATGAACACCCAATCGGGGCTGTACACACCTACATGTACGCCCTACTGAACTGCGTACATCTGTACAACGCGCAAAAGGCTTATTGGAACGTACATTTAGAAAAGCGATCCTGTCAGCTTTTCTATTATTGTGTTCACATGGCAAGAAAAACGACACCGCTATGCTACGTAACTTTCTACGTAAGGTGCTCGGTATTTCACTTAGGCTACGTAAGTCTCTACGTAAGGTGCTCGATATTAGATCTACCAACGGGTGGTAGCCGCGTGCTTGTGCACGTGCACGGCAGACATTGTGTTGCAGTGCAGTCCGTGTTCGGATGTGCATGCACGAGGAACTTCCTTCTTTGGAACTGCTTCTTGTATGAGCTGTTTCGCATATTTCGTCTCCTGGCCTGGCTTATTTCGTTTCGGCGCTGCTGAGACCTCCTTTCGCGGAATATTACTGACAGGTGAGTTGACCAGTTCCCTTTGATTCATTTGCTTGTGTTCACTCTTTCATTTACGAAAAGTGTGCTGATTTTGGGCGGAATGCAATAAATAATGGAAAAGCTGACAGGATCTCTTTTCTAAATTTAGCTTTTCCGCTGCCGAGGCCTCCTTTTACGGAATACTCGATGACAGGTCATCTCTGAGTTGACCGGTTTCCTTCGATTCATTATTTTGCTTATGCTCACCCTTTCATTTACGGAAACGTGTGCTGATTTTATTCGGATTTAGATCCATTTTTATCTCTTTGCCCTTGTCTACAGTGTACGAAGAACGCGAGTTCACCTTCTTGACGGTTAGGCCGCAACCACACTACGTAAAAATCACAGTACAAATTTTCATGCATATCTCAGTACAAGTCGGTAAGCAACCACACTACACTTTTCGGTCTGCATAGATGACGTTTTCACGCGACCAGCACGTGACGTTGTCGTACCAAAGCGTGTGCCATGCGCTGGAAAAGACCGGGAAATTCAAAAACAATGCTGATGCTGATGCTATGTACGACAACCAGGTGCAAAAACAAAGTTGTACACAGGAGATGGGGCGCGAAAACGACGAAAACGACAAACGTGGCTTTCTACAGGGGTGCGCCAGTTGCTGAAAACCTACAAAGCGCATTTTGCATTTCGCACGCGTCGGCATGACGATTTCTACTGTAATGCCGTTTGTACGTGATTTTGTACCTAGTGTGGTTGCAGCCTAAGGCTTATGTTAGATGTGTTGTCGAAATATTCATATTCTCATTGTACATTGGTACGTTACAAATAAGGCACTGGTCAGTGGCATACTATCGTTGGCAGTTCCCAATCTGGAGGGAAAGGTTCAAGGACCCATTGACCGAGTTTGCAAAATAAATTCGCATATCAGGGAAAGTCTCCATTGTGGAGAGGTTCAGTAAACTAACACATGTTACTTGTTTGCTTCATACGAAACAAGCCAATGGGTGCAGTCTCGTCTCGTGAAGATCTCGTACTTGTATGATTAGATTTGTTTACTCGAGTCTGGGCTGTTTGATTTATTATTTGTGAGTACCGCCGAGATTGCACTGCCCCAAATAAAGTTTCGTGCCGCCAAAGCAAGAATTACAATCTGCAATCTGTTTGTAGTACCTGCAAGAAGGTGCTGTACGTGTATCGTACTTTCTCTGTTGCTGTTTCAGTTGCCGTCATGTTGCTAAAGAAAGGTTCAGTAGAGAGGTTCTGCAAAACGAAAATTCGGACGAAGTTTCCCGACAGTCCTTGCGAAAGTGTGTACGAATTTTTGCACGAACTTTGCGTTCTGCACATTTTCGTAGTTTGCGCGGGCCAAGTGCACGTACGCCATGACCCGATCTCACGAAATGTCCTACGACAGTTCATTTCGCGTTCCCTGCAAGTTTCGCGTCCAAAGTTGCGAAAGTTCGTGCGAAGTTTTGCACTTCATGACAATGAACGAAAGTTTGTACGCATTTTCGTTTTGCAAAACCTCTCTAGTGACTCATTTGTTTCATACGAGACGAGTCAATGAGTTGGTGTGGCTTAGAGTCTTTCGCTGTAGAAGAAATCTATTCGTATGTCTATTGGAGAAATAATTGTATTCACTGGTTATAAAATAGGTTAAGACAAACTCACAGAATAAATACCATTGGTCCCTTGGTGTTCGTCCTAAAGAGGTTCGACTGGATATCATTCATACTCACCAAAAGATGTGTAAGATTTTATTATTATGGAGTGCCTTGTTTATCTCTCAGTACCTCCAACCATAGCCTTGCCCCTTTTATCCTCCAGTGTAGTTGTTGGAACAAGTTGTCGGACTGCGCAATGTATTTGTTTACATTTTAATACATGTTTATTGTTCCTCCTTTGCTGTGTTGTTTTAGAAAATCGTGGACTTCCAGTTTGAAGTCATTGAACTACTTCCAAAAGTTGTATCGACATCAACAGGATTACGATTTCAGTGCAATATGATGCAGGATGACCTTATCACGATAACCCATGATTATAAACCATTATAAACACAGAATCAACAAAAACATCTGCGACACGCACCTGGTTACATTTCTCAAATAAATCTGATCGAGGGTGGGGAAATCTGAAATATCTGAAAGGCAAGACAATTTTATGACAGAGTCATGAAATTCTGCTACAGCAACATGCACAGATTGACCTCCGTATAAAAAAAGTATCACCACGGTCCATCACTACTCACATGTTTCCCCGCAGAAGAACATGCTAGTGCCATTTTCTGCAAGAAAAGGCTTGCACATCAATGCGTATGATACGGTATAATTGGTATGATGTGAAGGCCATCATTTACATATTGATATACTAGTACCGTAGAGTCGCGCGCTGAAGAACGTCCAGCCTGAAATTCTACTTCGAAGTAAGAACACCACAGCCTAAAGCTAAGAACGGCGGTGTTGGTTTTCTGGCAGCTTGTGGAATACATATGATCCAGTACGGATTGTTTCTAAGAACGTGCTATAAGAACGCAGCCAGATTGCAGAAAAAATAAGAACGTCCCAGGCTAACCCCTTGGAAACAACGTTCTTGGGCGCGCGACTCTACTGTAGGGCATTCCATTGGTGACAGAAAAAAACAAAAGAAATTATAGCAATAAAAACTGCTTAAGGCAGTTTTCTAAAAAAAGTTATTGTGTTCTAGTCCATGGACCCCGTCGAAAAAGTAAGAAATTAACGAAATGTGATAGCCGAAAATTAAAATTTCACACAAAACCTCACAATAATCACACACAGAATGAAAAGCTACATGCAGAAGACCTTTTCCCCTCGTGATCCTCTTTCCTATGCATGCATGACATGCATGTTGCCAATTGTTGTGCAGTACAAGTTTAGTGTTGAAAGCAGCATTTCAAGTGTTGTGATTATTGTGAGGTTTTGTGTGAAATTTTAATTTTCGGCTATCACATTTCGTTAATTTCTTACTTTTTCGACGGGGTCCATGGACTAGAACACAATAACTTTTTTTAGAAAACTGCCTTAAGCAGTTTTTATTGCTATAATGTAGTGTGAATAGCCTATAACTAGTATAAGAGGCTGATAAGGGCTATCGTGCTTGTTGATCCTTTGCCCATCACGCATTTATTGCAGGGAGTGATGATGGCAGAATTCAGGAAGAAGATGAATAACGGAAACCACAAAACACAAACAGCACCCAACATGAACATTGACCCGTGGAGTACTGAAACGGAAAGGCAAGGCCACAACACGTGTCGTATGCTTATGAAATACTAGTACTGAACGCGGGCCAGATCAACACAGTTATCCGTTGACGGCCATGCCACCCTCTAATCCCGTCATCCATGCTGTGGCTTCCGCTCTGTTGATAAGTACCGTAAAGACACAACTTACCTGAAGATAGACTCCGCTACCCAACAATCCGATACCCAACACCTATGACAAAGTAAAGAAAGGCAAAGTAATGTTTTTTTAAACATACCCGACAGGTACGACGCCGAATCACGTTCCCGTACCACGACGAGGAAGTTGATCACCATCAACGACACTTTCAAACATCCGGAAGCACCCATTTTCTTCTTCAACAACCAATGTCGTCTTTCCCAATTGCAATGATGACAGAGCACAACTGGTCCAGCCTAAAGTCTCGCAGGAGTTAGAAGGCAAAACAGGAAACTCAACTCCTTTCTTCGGAACAACTGACAACAGTTGAGTTCGTGCTGGATAGGAACTCGCAAAGCAAAGGAACTCGACTCGCCAACACGATGTGTTTGTACCAGGGAGTCGTAAAATGCCGGTACTTTACGACTCTCTGGTCTGTACTATTGTACTTTTTGTAGTTACCGGTAGATCTACTACAGACCTGCTCCTACTCCTAGCCAGACCTAGGATCCTACACTCTAGACCCCACCCACCTACTTGTAGACGTACCAAGACTGGCAAGAGTGCAACGTTTTGGACTCTTGCTACAGTAGTCGTACCTTAGTCGTACAGTCAGTAGTCGTACCTTGTACTTTGTACCAAAACTACAAAAAGCAATTTTTTTTGTCAAAACCGGGGAGTCACAGTATTACCTGATTACCATGATTACCTTGATTACATACCTGGTCAAAACCAGGGAGTCGTAAAATACCATGGTATTTTACGACTCCCTGGTCAAAACACTCAACCACTTGAACCAGCCTTGGCAACTGGTCCTGACAACAAGACTAAGTTAGTCGCGAGCTTCCGCGTGCCAACGCGTACAACCAACGGCCTTACCTGTCTGGCCCGCCGCACTTTTTTGTCATCCGATTTGTACCATGGACCAGATAATTATCAGATACAACGTCATCACAAGCACATTTGCGCGCACAGCGTCCACATACAGGCGATGCGCCGTTTTGCGAAAAGTCGACGTTTAGAGGTAGTTTTATTATCCCAAATGCCAAAGCGCGGGAAAATTCAAATGCAAACAGCTGCATTTTGGAGACGTATTTTTTATCGACAGTCAGGCAGTCAATGCCAATTTTCTCAAGAAGAAGAGTATTCAGAGGCATTGTTGTGCATTTTCCGTTGATACTATACGTGTGCCCTAGTGTTTGCATGAGCGAGGGTGGTGGTTTTGCTAAACCGTTCGCATGGCGGGCGGGTTTGTAAGAAGAAAGGCTTCAGCCATTGACGAGCGACGAGAAACCTGTCATTTCGTGCCATTTGAGTTAGCAGTAGCACCGGACAATACTGACACATGTCTGCGGCAGCAAACATAGTGTACTAACGGATCAAAAACAGCCACAATGTGTGTCACTGCGGAAACGGGCTGTAGAGGTGCATTTGCAAAGCTGCTGATTTTCATCGTCTTTCCATGCACAGGGTACGTATCATGCCCTTGGCATAGGCCAAAGCACGAAAGCTTTAGCTGGACACCACCCACAATCTCCACGTGGGTCCCAGTGTACCTGCTGCTGCCGATGAGAACCGCCCTATAAGCGGTTTACCCACCCATGTGTCCTCAATACGACTGAGAATACATCAGAAGTACGCCATAAGCATTGGAAACCTGTACAGTTGAATCCAATTTCGACCAGAATGACTGTATTGGTTGGAAATGCATTGCACCATTCCACTGAAACGTTAACACACAAGAACAGGAAAAGGATGTAACAGAAAACGAAAGAATGTAACACAAAAGATAATCCCAAACCAGCGGAAAAAAAGAACGTGGGAAGAAAAGCACTGTGGCTGGTGTAGGAAGCAAATACTGCAAATACTAGGCTAAACAGGAAGTACCAAATTATGTGGTTGTTGAGCATCTCCTCAGAGTCGACAAAGGGATAACGGAATGAGAGAGACCGACTATTTTTTGTCAAAACTGTCACAAGCCAGCAGCTGGTGATTGTTGAGGAAGGTAGTTACACCACACTGACCGACACCACTGCTGTGGGTAATGATTACGTGCATCGATCATTGTGCAGCACCTGGCAGCAATAAACCAGACAAAGCAGTACAATACCATGCAGAAGATGAAATGCTTGACGGAGTATAAGTAGTAGCAGACAAACTGTTACACAATGGAGCAACATTATTTGCTATTAAAATGGCATAAATATATTATTACTTTGACGAATACCCGACACATAACATTCCCGCTACAAGCATTACTAACTCTACTGTCCCTGATGCAGGAGGGACTAGTGGCACACATTCCTACTGCATACCCCAAAGCTAAGAAAGGTGGCATCATGCTCATGTGAGCCGTTTGGGTACCACCCAAGCTCTGCACCAGGCTCTGTCCAGGTGCCTACACACAACCCTGGAGGATGAATGCAACCCCAAAACACGATGTAGTAAAGGGCAAGTCTATGGACACAGCTGTCAGAGTTATCCACCAAATTGACCTACAGCAGGCCAATGTACAGTGGAGGAGAGTACCGAGAAACTAAGAATAAAGGACTTATTGCTTGTTTGTCAGACGATCCACCCCAAGCTATGGTCATGAGGGTGGACAATATTGGATGGTGACAATTCCACCTCGCTCTCGTTTTCTCCCCTGGAATGAAGCTTCACACACATACCTGTAGTACCTGTGGTGTCTACAAGTAGTATAAACAGTCCTTCACTTACTCCACTGCTTTGTATAAAAGCCTGTCTTATGCAGAAGCCTGTTCTGAACACAAGCCTGAGTTCCAAGATAGGCAATTAGCACAATAGTCTGTCCTCGGGGAAAATTGCGGAAAAAATCGCAAAAAAACGCGGCATAATATGGCATAATTTGCGGTGAATTTGCGGTAAATATGCGGTGAATAATATTGAAGTGCGGCAATTTTCAGTGTCTGAGTATGTAGTGAAATCAATCAGTTACAAGTCTCTGGTGTAAGCACTCGTCATATTTGAGTAAAAAGCCGCCGTGATGAGACGTTGCTGACCGAACAGTGCACTGTGTGTACGTGTAGTGCAACAAAAAAAGTTCAAAAAACGCGGGAAAATCGCGGAAAACGCGGTCATTTAAAAAATCGCAAAAAACGCGGAAAAAAACGCGGCCGCGGAATCGCAATTTTCCCCGGGGACAGAATAGTGTGGATTTTGCATCGGCAACCATAAAAAGTTTGGTTTGACTACAAACATAATGCAACATAATGTAAATAGAGGCCTAGCCACCACACCGGCTTCTACAGAAATACGCCTGGCTTTCATAAACGACATTACAGTAAGTCATCCAGTTCGCACTCACCCACTTCAGTTGGTGCTTGCAGACGTGTTAGACACATACAGCCAGTCAAGTACACTTGCAGGGATCTTTTCTCAATGGGGAGTAACGGCTGGCCATAATACCTACAATACATACAGAATAACAATGGTGAACATAGCAAAAGGGAAAGGCATTCAAGACCTGCAGCTCCATGTATACATGCCGAGTGTAAGCGTGGTGTCTGTGGACAAAATCGACAAAGAGGTACCCTGGCAACAAAATGTAGTGCCAGGATGCCAGCAGAAGGCTACGTGGCACACCAGTCCAACATGTAAATCAACTACCATCCAGTTGTCACATTAGAGCCCAATTGTTGAAGTTCCACGGCCATTTGCCTGCCACATGCCAATCACAACAAGCACTGAGGAAGAAACTGAGACAAAGCGACGTCGAAGCAAAACACTAACACAGACAGGCGGGTTCCCCACACAGTGAAACTTCAGTATGAAGTACTAGTAGTACCAAGAGTCCATGACGTCAAGAGTATGCGACTGCACGTGGGTTCTGGCACTGCGCTCGGCCCACATTACGTATCCACGAACTGGGGAATCAGCCCATAGTCCGCAAATCAGAGTTGCACGCTTGTGGGTTGTGGGGTTGGGTTATGCGGACACCTGACAGTATGGATATACATGTAACATACTACGGGATATAAAGTACTTGTACTATTATGCAGAACCTTGCACCATGCAATACGCTATATCGGTACAGACCAATTTGGTATTGGAGGTTTGCTGTACAGTGTACTGAAGTATCACTGCAATGCTGAATTGCCAATACATGTACATGTAGTGGAACATGAAGCTGTACAACCAGTTGACGTGTATTTGTGACGAAATCACACTACGACTGCAAGACTCAAAATGTACAACAAACATGTAATTTGATGGGGATCTTTCACCGAGGAGTCAGGTGATGGCGGTGCCGTAAAACCTACACGTGGAATTCAGCTGAACTGGAATTGTTGTCTCTGGAGTATTGCTTAATTTAAGCAACAAAATCTACTATCAACTACCCACCTCTTCAAGGTAGGGATGGTGAAGAACCAATGACCAAGTCATGGTGTGGGGCTCTGACAAACATCTTGCAGCAGTCAGACAGCCTGTCACAGGCCTGACAAAAGGCTGTGGGTGCAAGTCCGGCTGCAGGATCATACAATACGAGTGCAAAAAGGCAAATCTGTTATGCAGGCCAGGGCTAAAATGCCACACTTTCAACAACACCTCCGCGAGGGAAGAATCCAACAGTTCCAGAAAGCAAAAAGTTGTTTAATTTGAGGAGACTGAAAAGCAAGAAACCAGCAACGAATTGGACCAAGATTGAGTCAATGTGCACACAGGTGATGCGTGCGTGTTATTGTTTATTGGAATTATGGCGTATACCGTATTATCTCTAATATAAGCACAGTCTCCAATAATAGCACGTCTCCAATAATAGAACACCTTGGGGCGGCATTCAAAAAATAAAGTGCTCAGTCTCCATTATAAGCACACTGTGTAAATTCATTATCTGTACCGGCGAAAAAAACCCTGAAATGTGTGTGTCATACATGAATTTGGCATGGCAACATGCCTCTGAAATGAGGTTGAAATAATAATGGAACAGTCTCCAATAAAGGAACGTCTCCATTAATAGCACGGGGCGGAGGTACATTGAAAAAATAAAGGACCGTGCTTATATTAGAGATAATACGGTATGCTAGAAACATGGAATGCACTACGAATTCTGACCTGAAATACACAAATATACACATTTGCCCGAGTTTCAATGAGCATGGATAGATGTGGAACACAATACTTCCACTGGAAATGGTGATATACCGGGAACACAATCCATCTGCTGCTAGATGGGCGAGAAACTATTGTAACCTGGGATATATTGAAACTTAGGTGTGATGAAATGTCACTTTCGTGGATTTTACACGTATTACAAAAATATTCTTTCATTTCGTGCCATTTGAGTTAGCAGTAGGTCTGGACATAGACATGACCAAATCTTTACACAGGTTGGTTGGGACTATCTTTCTGCTATCTCGGATATTGTGTAAGATTTGATGGAGTCCATTACTGGCTGAATACCAAAGGAGGGAGGAAATTTCTACGACTGTACTGTAAGAAAACGACAACACGAAACTTCCCAATGGCTCAATAGCTGACCCCAAAAATATTATGGATCACTTTAGTACTTACTCAAGTCACATCGAATTCCTTATCGGCGGGCTCCAGGCAGTGGAACGCCTCCAGTGGGTCTGAATGTTCGACAACGTCAGCCATTACTTCTTCACGGAATCGTCATCTTCACCTCTGTACAAAATGAGCTGACCGGGATAATAAAAAACGGCTTTTTTCGCTCTGGCGCATCGACTGCATATACATGACTGTAGCATGCATGATCGCGTTGAACAGACTATACACGTCATGTACCTGTGTATGTGTTCGCACAGCTGACAGCGGTTGCAACGTCACGTAGATCTACGGTAAGCGTCGTTGATGCGCCCGGGGATCTCGTGAAAGGAGGATTGGAGGACAAACCTCTGGACAATATTTTCTCTCGACAAATGTCGACGAAGCGTGAATAGATTGTCCAAATAGCTAGTCCAATCCTTGGTGAGAGCCAGCGGAAGTCGTGAGCACTGGTGGCATTATCATTAATGTATGTTGTCTGCAGATGCCGTCTACTGTTCTGGAGCTGAGGTGTAGAGTTCAGCAGTACAAATTCAATTTCTTTGTACAATTATTTCAAATAATTTGGCGAGACCAATAAAAGTATCATTGTGTTCAACCGTTTAGCTTGCTGCTGGATGAGCGAGTGCGAGATACCAGCTGTACAGTTTATAACAGCTCGTGTATTTATATCACAGACCATAGACTTGTCGAAGCTGCTCGATCCCAGTGGGCTGTGCGCTCCCAGTGGCTAATGGAAGGCGCGGACGACGTGTTGCAGTCTAGATTTCTGGAGCAGCAGCACCTGAATAACCAGCTTCAGCAGAACTATGACGAGCTGTCGATGAAGTTGGCTGCGGCCGAGCTGACGATCGATCGTCTTCGACTTGGCGTGAACACTCGCGTTCATAAAACGCTCATCTATGAATTGAAGGAAGACGAGCCAAAGCATGTGCAGCACAGTCTTCTACCGGCTGAACGCCCTTATCTCGATACTGAGCATCCACCCACTGGTGTGACGTCACTGACTGACGCCAATGGCCATGGGCCCATACTGGAGGAGGATGAGTCGCCATCGCCATCACCATCCCGGCCACTATCGGTGTCGCATGATCGTGATGCATCGATCGCTGATACCGTAGCGTCCAGTCGCTCCGCATCTCTCTTCAGCCCCGGCCGGCCGGGCAGTTTGGATTCCCAGCACCTCGCACTAATACTGCTGTGCCAATCTCTTCAGGTACTCTCCCAGAGGTCACAACAGTCAATTACACCTATACTGAACCGACTACTAGGACTGCTGTTGTGGACATTGAAATCCGATGAGATGATCGGGGCTGGCGCCCGTACTGCTTTTAGCGCGTACATGCACTGTATGTAGTTCACGTACACTGTAAAAATGGACCGGCGGTGCTCGCAGCTGCCAGGCCAGCGCCCCGTGGCCGCTTGACTTCTCCACGGATTTCAATGTCCGCTACAGTAGTATACTGGACCTGCAACCTTCTGCAACCCCTCCCCACACGAGTAACTTGTACGCCGGATGGCTGACCGTACGGTACTACCGCACTGAAATACCTTCCGACGCCTCTGGTTGTGTGTCGTCATCGCTCAGACAGGGCGTCCGAAATCTGTAGCTTTCAGTCCAGTACTGTATCACACTACGGTTAGGAATTCTTCTCGATGACTGTAGATCAGCAGCAGGTAGTTGGACTGTTTTAACATTGTTTTAAAATTTCTAATCCCAGCCGAAGTGTTGCAGTCTGATGTTAAAACCTTTCGCGGCAGTCTGCCCCAGCTGACTGCTTAGCGTTCCACTGTTTTCTTGTTTGTTTTTCCGTAGGCTGACATTGAGGCCTTGCTGCATCGTCTCGAGCAGACGCCGGCGCACGAGCGTCAGATCGACGGCCCCGCCGTGCGCACCGAGTTTGCTGGACTGCAGCGGCGCTTCGGCGAGCTGGACGAGGGTGTGCAGCGCATGCGCCAGGCCAGACATAGACAGCCGTGAGTAGTAGTAATAAGTCACTTTTTAACCCTTTGGAGTCCATGATCCGATTTCCAACCATGGGCATTTTGTATGCATGTGGGTGCAGTCAAAGTTTCGGTTCTCGCCCAAAACTTGACCAACTTCAACAATCGAAGGGTCTAGGTGGTAGAGAAAACTCTCAGCTATCGCCTCGAACAGGTCCGAAGCCTCTCTGATGAAGTTTGAGTGAGCGGCGATCGATCGAACATTTTGAATTTTCTGCGTTGCGTGCTGCGAGTCAACAGTGCGTGAAAAAAGGGATTTTCCCAACTTCATGACAGGCGGCACGTGCCAGGACCGGCGCAGCGTGAAGTCACGGCAAGGTAAGCTTCTACTCGAAAACATTTGAACAGTTCCGAGCTAGATTCAGTGAAATGGCCACAGGAGACCGATTTCGTCTCAGATCTGGAGCTGGACTCGCGTTTGGAGCGCGTTGTGGCGGACAATGAGTATTGCTCTTGGCGAGTTTGGGCTCATTGTATTTCTCTCATCAAGAGCTTTCCAACGAGCCCAAGATCTTCAAAATCGGTGAAGGAGAACCAAAGTTATGTTGGAAATTGAGTGCGCATTTTCGTCACTGCCACAAATTGCGAGGAAGCCAAAAAGCTATGGACTCCAAAGGGTTAAAGTGCTGTGATACTGTAAAACAATTTTAGGTGCATTAAAATTTCGGTGCCAGAGACCTGCCAGGTTTCAAGTGCAATTTAGAATTAGGTGACCAGCATTCCCTTCACATACAGTGCATACTCTAGTGCCTTTTAGGTGTAATTTAAATTTAGGTGCCTGGTTTCTCTACCGAAATTTCCGAAATTAAAGTTACACCGAAAATTACGTGTTTTACAGTATCTACCTATTTTCCAGAGTATACACCGCACTGGAGTATACACCGCACTGGAGTATACACCGCACTGGAGTATACACCGCACTGGAGTATACACCGCACTGGAGTATACACCGCACTGGAGTATACACCGCACTGGAGTATACACCGCACTGGAGTATACACCGCACTGGAGTATACACCGCACTGGAGTATACACCGCACTGGAGTATACACCGCACTGGAGTATACACCGCACTGGAGTATACACCGCACTGGAGTATACACCGCACTGGAGTATACACCGCACTGGAGTATACACCGCACTGGAGTATACACCGCACTGGAGTATACACCGCACTGGAGTATACACCGCACTGGAGTATACACCGCACTGGAGTATACACCGCACTGGAGTATACACCGCACTGGAGTATACACCGCACTGGAGTATACACCGCACTGGAGTATACACCGCACTGGAGTATACACCGCACTGGAGTATACACCGCACTGGAGTATACACCGCACTGGAGTATACACCGCACTGGAGTATACACCGCACTGGAGTATACACCGCACTGGAGTATACACCGCACTGGAGTATACACCGCACTGGAGTATAAGCTGCACCCCTATATTGTTGTGCCACGAATGCAGACATCTACCCTACTTTATTAATAGCACCGTTAATTGATCATCGTTGTATAAGCTGCACCCCCCCCCCCCCCCCTTTGGGTGAATTTTGATTGTTCCAATGCGCGGCTTATGCTCGGGAACAATACGGTACAGTCGACTTTGCATATAACGACACTCGGCGGGGCATCAGAAAAGTGTCCTTATTCGCGAAGTGTCCTTATACCCGAAGTCTCATTATTATGTAAACAGGTAGATGGGAATTTGCTCTGGGCATGGAAATTCTGTCGTTATTCGCGAATTGTCCTTATATCTGCAGTCGTTATTAGCGAAGTTGACTGTAGCTTGCACCATAGACTCATAGTGCATGTATGAAAGCCGAGGTCCCCCTGCTGCAACCTTTCCTGGGGCTGGGGTTCCATGCAGTGGAAGTTTTCCGTATGGAATTTAGCTTCTTTCGAAAAACACTTTCCTTGGCATTTGTACGGGAACCCCCTTCTATGTGTGCTAGGGAATAGGCATGTACTACCTTCCCCAATGCATGCAAATACATGTATAATCTGTTTGAAAGTTCGAATTTTGATTTGTCCAAAACCTGACTGTCCTGGAGTGCTGTCCCCTGCTTGGAGTTCTCGTCAGGAATGCATCATTACGTGTTGTACTGGTGTCGTCGTCGCGCACTCTCCTCAGTGTATTTGAAGAACTGTTCTACTGCCGTCTAAGAACCTTACAATGCAACCAGAGACCCTCTCTATGTTACACAGATTTAATCCTAAAGATGAAGTTTGTGTTTAAGCATAGCGAGAGTCTTTGGTTCGAGTCCTGGTGGTGAAAGTTGATTTTTTTCTTCAGCCTTTTACCCCTTTTCGACTACCTCAAACTTACGAAGATTTGTGTTTAATGTCGTTCTTGCAGATTGGCAGTAAATGCATCGCAGCCATTGGAAGATGAGGTAAGGAATTGCACGCGCACTAGTGCATTGCCAAGTACAGTAGTACAGCGGACCACTCTGTGCGTAGATGTTCGTGTAGTGATCATGTTAAAAGTACAGTTGCGCTCACTGAAGTCCGACCCCAAGTGCAAAACTGGACCAGTTCCGATTACACCGCTGTACTTGTACATGTGTACGTCCAGCCACATTCATTCCACTTCCAGGGTGTCAAGGGCCGTGCAAGTTGAGGGCGCAAAATGTGCATTTTGGGTTGGAGTCCACCGAGCACAACTAGCCATGGCGCCGTAAACTTTTTGAATTCTTTATTCTCACGATCTTGCGCAAGCCATTGTTCAGTATGACTTAGAGCTAGTCTACCATCGTGTTGATTACAACCTTTCTCAGTGTTAAGAGGTCTGAATTCGACACTGAGGGTATATGGGTGAAGTGGTGGCCCGCCGATGCGAATGTATTTGCTTGATATGTTCCTAAACACGTCAGGTGATGCGGCCGCGAATCCGGCTAACTTCTACTTTTTTTCTCAGTGTTGCTCTTAGTTATATGCTCAAGTGCATAGCCCGCACGGGGCACGGGGGGCACGTGCAACCCCCCCCCCACGGCTGTTACGACAGTACAAAACGGGCCCACTTGGTTTTTGTACAGGAGATGGCGCTTCCCGGGACTTTCCCGTTCTCAACGTTCAAAATTTGTACTCAAGGAGGTGTATTTTGAACGCAATCTCTTCTCAGTTGGGTCTCCAAAGCACCACTTCTGATCACCGCGTCGAGCTGTCCTCGCGGCTACAGTTGCGCAACATCCTGACCATACTTCGCCAAAGAAAAAAGTAGTGAATTTGAGCTTTCCTTCGCTGAGAAAAGCCATTCTTCATGGAAATTTGTCTCTGAAGTTGTTGCCGTTCGATCGTTCTAGTCACCGAAGTTTGTTGCCTCCTTGAGGTGCTCAACGAGTTTTCGTCACGTCAAGGGTAGTTTTGCCGAGGAGAAGAGTATCTGTGTAGCTGTTTTTTGTTACTGCTGGGGCCCCGCTGATTCCTTGTTGGCCCCGCTGGGTCCAAATCTCTAGCAACATTTAGTGGAAATTGTTATTTATTCAGTGGATTTGAAATGGAAAAACACCAAGAAAAGTTACAGCTGGTATGCAGGTTAGGCGGTGAAAAGTTGTGTAGTACTAGCCGTGGAACTCAGCACCTTGTGAGAGATCATGCGAAAGCCATTGAATCTGTGCTGAGTATTAATGTGTTGTGTGATGACCAAAAAACCCATGCATATGAATATGCATGTAGCTCCAGCCTCATCCAGTCTGCATTTAGACGATGCAACAATTGGCATGGATATTCCCCTGATGAAACTGTACGACATTGCATAACCGCCATACAAAGCAATTGCTGACTTGCTGCCGGAACGCTTTAAATACAGAGTTCGTTGCAGCAGGTGCCAACTTGCAGCACGCACGGCGGTACAACAACGTGATTAGAAAAGCCATTCTTCCTGTTGAGCTGCAAGACGTGTGTATTCCTGTGCTCCACCTAGATCTAGGGATTTATCCCTGGATTTACGGTGCACTTTGTGCTGACGCACATCAAATCGATATTGCACTGAGCAAATGTATGTTTCTTGCTGCAGATGACGGTGACTCTGCAGCGTTTACAGCACTTATCACTGCCTACAAGAAAGTACACGACACAGCAACACAACAATTACACCTACAGTCAGAAGCACAAAGCATTCTTAGTCAGCTGCAGTTTGTGACGCTACAAGAACGTACACGACACAGCAACACAACAACTACACCTACAGTCAGAAGCACAAAGCATTCTTAGGCAGCTGCAGTGTGTGACGCTGCACATTCAGCAGCAGGAAGTAGTGGCTGCTGGCTTGCAGACTGTGGCATCAAATCTGCACTTCCTATGGAAGGAGAAAGAAAAGGAACTCAATTTGATGAATGAGAGGTGATGTGGCTCGAAAAGAGCATGAGAAATTAACAGTAAAAGATTAAAAAAAAGCAGCTGGCCCGTGCGTAACTTCCTTGGAAGCAGTACTGCCACAGTACCAAATAAAGCGGCAAGCATATCACTCCGGAGCATTTGTTGGCAACCACATACACCGTGCGTTAAAACCGGATGTCATTGCTGCCCTCACTTCTGTCCCCCTTACAGTCGTGCAGAGCCGCACACCTGCGGACAGCGGCGAGGTTCAGCTGCTTGCCCAGGCAAAGTCCTTGAGAGATCGCTACTCGAGACTCTTCACAGAGTATGCAGCATGTCGCAAGCTGTTCAGCGGCAAGCTGTTCAGCGGCAAGCTGGTTTTTACAACAGCAACAAGGCAGGTTCTGGGTGATGCCATCCACACCTTCATGGCCACCTGCAGAGCGGAGGTTCTGGCACGCAAGTTAGGCAATGTGACTCCTAAGCTTCACCTTCTCGAGTGCCATGTCCTTCCTTGTACAGGGTTGAAATTAATTCTTGCTGATCTGTTCGGCCACACACTCTGAGCTCCTCTGATGAGACCTAACAAGGTTGAAATTAATTCTTGCTGATCTGTTCGGCCACACACTCTGAGCTCCGCTGATGAGACCTAACAAGGTTGAAATTAATTCTTGCTGATCTGTTCGGCCACACACTCTGAGCTCCGCTGATGAGACCTAACAAGGTCGAAATTTATTCTTGCTGATCTGTTCGGCCACACACTCTGAGCTCCCCTGATGAGACCTAACACTGTAACAGGGTTGAAACTAATTCTTGCTGATCTGTTCGGCCACACACTGTGAACTCCGCTGATGAGACCTAACAAGGTCGAAACAGCTATAGCTGTCCGGAGATTGAGTAAACTTGACAAAAAGTTCTCCTCCGATCCGAGGCGCAGGTCGTCATTTTGCGAAAGAGTCCTGCGAAGCACATCTCCTTTATCTGCTACTGAGCGGTATCCGTTCACTTCGCGGAGCACAGCTGCCTCCAACAACATTTTTTGACGAGCAAGAGACTGAAGAGACGAAATCCATAAAAGTACTAACTATTTCAAGTATTCGAAGTGACAGAACCTTTTCTTTCTGCAGAAATGATCATGAAAATTTGAAAAATGCGATGAGCGTACCCACGCTTTCCGTGTGACCTCTGTTGCCAGGGGCGTTGCTACAGGTCGCCGCCATCTTGCCAAGTGACCTCCCCGTAACAGCCGTGCCCCCCCCCCCCCCCAAATGTCGACCTAGGTTCAGCATGCACATAATGACCATGAATGACATGCAGCGGCCATCCTACACATATGCGGCCGTGCCTATAAAAGGGGGGCCAGCTACACCCCTGATGCTGGTCATGGTTGTTGGCAGTCAGGACTGTACGTACCCATGGACATGGCGGTATCATGACAGAAAACTGAATAATACAGTCAACTTGGCTAATAACGACTGCGGATATAACGACAATTCGCGAATATCGACAGCATTTCCATGCCCAGAGCAAAGTCCCATCTAACTGTAACACATATAATGAGACTTCGGGTATAACGACACTTCGCGAATAAGAACACTTTTCTGATGCCCCGCCGAGTGTCGTTATACGCAAAGTTGACTGTACACATTCTGGAGTGGAACGTGAACTTTTGATCGCCTCTGACTTCTTGCTCCGTGTGACAACTGTGTATGCATGTTTGCTGTTTCAGTTGGCCACTGTTAGGGAGATGATGAGCGCACTTGAGGCAACACTGCATCCCGAGCGCCATGGCGCACCTCGCACCCAGCTCTCATCCACCCACAGTGAACCGGCCAGGTTGGTGGAAACAGTATTGTGTTGTTTGTGCTGTGCGGTAATGTGACGTACAGGCGGAGTACCGCGAGCTTTTCCTTTCAGCCTCATTGCACATGTACACGATGGTAGTATTCTCAGATTCATGACATCTTAGCACACGAAGAGACGAAGCCAGTTGTAAATCCGATGAGGCCTTTCGTACCGTTACTTCTCGAGTCAGTACATGGCCACCAATATGCTGTGTATATTGACATCGTTGTGCTTAGTCTCATAATCACCATGTACTGGTTTGAGAAGTAGTGGTACGAAAGGCCTCATCAGATTTTCAACCTCGGCTTTGTCTCTTCGTGTGCTAATAGGCTTCCCTCCGATTAAGTCTTTTTTTATTCATGACGTCATTCTTATTTCTGGAAGGGTTGTATTGGAAGCCTGTATGCACACCTATTATCTACTCAGACAGTCAGAGTACACGTGTGTCGGTACAGCTGAGTGCTTCTCAGCACATCCTGGCATCCAGTAATGCCGACTTGGATTTGCTGCTGCTGCTGTGGGGGGTTTGTGCTGTCACTTGTTGACATGTACTCGCAGCTGGTTACGGCCGGTAGTGTCTGAGAAGGAGGAGTGTTGCTTCCACCACTCACTTTCAAGGACGCATGTGACAGCTATTGCTTAATTGGTGTGTGTGTGTGTGTTGTGTCGTCCTGTGCACACTTTCTGGCTATTTCTGCCGCTGTGGCTGCGTTGGCTGCTGTGAGATCGTGGCCATTTCAGTACTCGGATTAACTGTTTCACTTTGATGATTCGGTTTATTTTATTTTGCCTTGCCCTGTATTAGGTTTGCAGCAGTGGCTGGTGATCGCAGTACAACTCCGGTACGTACATATCCTCTGTACTACTTGTACATTGAAGAAAAGCTCTTCAGTTATTTACTACATCCTCAACCCGTCACCACCATGCGCTCTTAGCCGAACCAATGCACGAAGCATAGCATACCAGCACAGCAAGGACACTTCCGTTGACAGATAATTTTGGCGGGTTGAGGATGTAGTAAATAATTGTATGGCTGAAAGCTCTTCAGTATATTTTAAAATTTTCTATCCTTTCTTTTGTCTCAGGCTTCAGGTTTGTGTAGGATGGACTGGATAGAATAGTTTCACCATTTTTCCTGAGCACATCTACAAGAGAACAATGGTCCTAGTGACCTTATGTCTTGATATATCTCCTGTGTACCTCCCAATATCATGGTCTAGTAAGATTTCATTCAGATACTTCAAGTACATCTACTATATATCCAGTAGTGTGTCACTCGTGTGTGTGTGTGTGTGTGTGTGTGTGTGTGTGTGTGTGTGTGTGTGTGTGTGTGTGTGTGTGTGTGTGTGTGTGTGTGTGTGTGTGTGTGTGTGTGTGTGTGTGTGTGTGTGTGTGTGTGTGTGTGTGTGTAATTGTACGTTCTATTCCAATGATATGCTGTAGATGTCAGCTGGCAGCTTGGCGGATGTGCCGAGCATCGATGAATGTGATGACCTCAGCCAGTATGGCATGTGAGTACAGTCGTCCCTCTCTAATCCGGCACTTGTTTATCCGGAACCCTTGCCAACCGGCGCACTTTCTGACGAAACCGATTTTTTTCGTTCAATTCCTACATCTTAATCCGGCACTTGAATTCCGCCTCCGGCAGTGACTTTTTGAAACGAATCGCTCAAACTGCACGTAGTTTGATTTCATAATCCGGCAGTCGTAAATCGCGTACCGTACAGGTGCACTCCTTGCCAGGCCAGGCTAGGCCAGTCTGGTCAATGTTGTCCAGGAGACAACGGCAGTCCACCATACTTTCTTATTTTAGCAAGGAGTAGTGTCCTGCCAATTTTCAGGTGTGTGTGTGTGTGCGCGTGTGTGTGAAAGAGTACATGTGAACATGTTCTCTGTTTTACTTTATCACTTTATCACTGTGTATATTCCCGGAGAACAATTGAGAATATAAAGCCGTGCACCAAATACTTGGGTCGACACGGAAAAACCCTGCGTTTTGACGTACATATGATACATGCATGCAATTGGGTAGGGCCGGGTCAGAGGGCAGGATTTCTTAATCCAGCACCCTCGTTAATCCAGCAGAAAACGCCGTAGCAAAAGGTGCCGGATTAGAGAGGGACGACTGACTGTATAGCACTCTGCTGAACTTTGGATGGAATGAAGATGCCCCCCCCCCCCCTTCCTCTCATCTGCTGTGGTCTTGGATCTTATACCTCACAAGACTTCCTGTTATTGCTGTCTGGAAATCCGAATACTAGTATCTGCATTGGGGTCTGTACTGGAATTACATTGAGTAACACTGTACTGAACGTTGGCGTGTACTGTTTTACTTTGCTGGTACAATATCACCAGGTCCATGTCACAGCCCGACTCCCCCGCTTACTCCCCGCCGCCCTCGTCACATGACCACCCCGTTCAAACGCCCGCACACCATGATGATGTCATCGTCACACGCCATGACGATTTCATCGCTGACAACAGCAGTCCGCTGTCGTCCTCGTCCCAGCGCTCGTTTGCCGAGCCGAAGCCGGCTTTCTCGGCCAGCCGTCGCCGTGCCTGGCAGTCGTCCGACTCGGAGGGTGCGTCTGCTCCGTCGCGATCCAGTCACCGACGACCGCCCGTGCTAGCTGTGCGCAGCAACAGCAGCGTCTCGTCCGTGCGAGGCGCTCCGCTGCCATCGGTGACGGCAAGTGAGCCACCCGTCGCCACCACCACCACCACCGCAGTACCAACACAGTGAGTCCTGAATGAAGTGTCTTTGTCACTTGCTTGGACCATTATGTTTAGACCTGTGCTGGTGGTCTTGTTTGTAGTGTCTTGTTGGGTGGGTGGGTGGGTGGGGGGAGGGGGGGGGGGGGTATGCACACTTGTAACTACATGTACCGTAAACCTGTCAAGGGGACCACTCGGATAAGGCGACCACCTGTCCTAGAAGACCACTGCAACCAGGACCAAGAGATGCTATTTCCAGTCAAATGACCCTGGATAAGGAGACCACCTGGTAACAGAGACCAGTTTTTGAAGGTCCCTTGAGCGGTCGTCTTAGACAGGTTTCACTGTATGCTGATACTGCCAGTGGGTGGTGATTATTTTCATATTGTACCAAGAGTACTTGAAATACACGGAGTTGTGTACAACTGAGTGAGTGCTGAATCGTCAGCGATCAGTGCTGGTATATATACGTGTAACACGTTGGTTATGTTCTGCTGCGCCTCACCCGTGCCACCAGTGCTGGACCCGCCATTCATGTAGTATGCAATGACTAGTTGGGTGGATGGGATACTCGACTGTGTTGCTCAAGTGTGGGTATGATGCGTGTGCTGAGGTAGTGATTGCTGGTAACTGCTGTGGTCTTTGGCAACCCTCCCAGGCCAGCTCCCGCCTTGTGTTGGACTTGTGTACGTAGTTTTGATATATTTACGTGTGTGTATGTGCGTTTGTTTGTGTGTGTGTCTACGCGTGTGCGCGCGTATGTGTGTGTGTGTGTGTGTGTGTGTGTGTGTGTGTATTCCTGTCAGGACTAATTACCCGTCCTCGGCCAACCCATCGTACGCGTCACCCTACCAAGCTCCCACGTTCACGGGCGGCATGGCCCGGCCATACTACCCGGACTCACCGGCAGCGGCACCAGCAGCAGCAGCTGTAGTGCTGACAAGCGATGCATCCATCGAGCCACCACCACCGCCAACGCAGCATCACGTGCCATGGCCGCAAGGTGCTACGATAGCCACCAGCACTGCGCCGATGACCGACGGGCGTCACCCAGTGCCTGCAGCTGGCCCGGGCATGCAGCATCATCATCATCCGATCGTGCAGGGCATGCCACACGGGAACGGCAACGTGGCGGCGTCACCACTGCGACCCAACGGTCACACACGACCGGCGTTTGTGCACGTGCCAGCGCCAGAGCCGGACAGTGGTTACACTGGGTCGGATATGCCTGTCGTGAGCACACGGACACGCAACGGTCCCCAAACACACGGTGTTGTCCGCTCATCCACCGGTAGTGAACTATTGCCCATTGCGTCCCAGTCATCTGCCGGAAGCAGTGAGCACCAGCTGAGCTCCTGTGAGTATCCTGTACATGTAGTAGTCTCATTATAACGGTCTTTTCACCTGCACATGTAGACTGTAGTCTTATAGTCCTGCACTTGTACATGTAGTCTTGAATAAACTGACATGTTGCGTCTGTACCTGTCTGCTGATAGGCTGGTGCCAGTTCGAAAACAGTGCTGTGAGCACAACTAAAAGGTGTCTGCTGTGTGCGTGTGTATGCGTGTGTGTGCGTGCGTGTGTGTGTGTGTGTGTGTGTGTGTGCTACGTCTAACATAGTTTGTTCGCGATCATCAATTCAGCGATGGGCAGGGGTATGAGTGTGTTTGTGTTTATGTTCTTGCAACTGCAGCGTCGAGCATCAGCCTTCAAAGCGATGCCAGCACCGCACACCCACCTCCACCTCGATCTGTAGAACATCCCGTGGAGACGTTAGCTTCAGCGACTGTCTCTGGGACCAGCTCATCCCCTACATCATCAACAGCAGCTGGAACACGTTCCGGCAGCAGTGTGGGTCTACCAGCCTCTCCCTCCGTGAATAGGTATGTAATGCTAAAAGCCATGCACCCATTTTGCCAAAGATAACAATCCTGTTATCCTCAGAGAGTAGTTAGGTGGACACACCGATTCCCGAAGCACTGCAAACCAAACCAATTCCTTTACGTACAACGCTTCGGCCAAATTGCCATCGTCAGGTACGAAATGAAACAATGATGCCATGCAGGCCAAAGAAGAATCCTGTTATCCTTGCAAGAAATATCGCCGTAGCACACTTGTTTTCTGGAGCAAAACGGCTTATCCATTTTCACGTACATGTGAAAACAGGGTTTGAACTGGTTGATTACGCGTGACGGGGGCTGTCTGAGCTGGTCATATACGTACTTCAGTATGACACTGGCTCTCTGAACTTGTCGCATAGACAGGACACTGGCTCTCTTTTAAAACTGCTCGCATACACATGACAGGGTGCCATTCAGTCTCAGCGTAACCCTAGTGTAACACAGCATAACCCTAGTGTAGCACAGCATAACCCTAGTGTAACACAGCATAACCCTAGTGTAACACAGCATAACCCTAGTGTAACACAGCGTAACCCTAGTGTAGCACAGCATAACCCTAGTGTAACACAGCGTAACCCTAGTGTAACACAGTATAACCCTAGTGTAACACAGCGTAACCCTAGTGTAACACAGCGTAACCCTAGTGTAACACAGCGTAACCCTAGTGTAACACAGCATAACCCTAGTGTAACACAGTATAACCCTAGTGTAACACAGTATAACCCTAGTGTAACACAGCGTAACCCTAGTGTAACACAGCGTAACCCTAGTGTAACACAGCGTAACCCTAGTGTAACACAGCGTAACCCTAGTGTAACACAGTATAACCCTAGTGTAACACAGCGTAACCCTAGTGTAACACAGCGTAACCCTAGTGTAACACAGCATAACCCTAGTGTAACACAGTATAACCCTAGTGTAACACAGCGTAACCCTAGTGTAACACAGTATAACCCTAGTGTAACGCAGTATAACCCTAGTGTAACACAGCGTAACCCTAGTGTAACACAGTATAACCCTAGTGTAACACAGTATAACCCTAGTGTAACACAGCGTAACCCTAGTGTAACACAGCGTAACCCTAGTGTAACACAGTATAACCCTAGTGTAACACAGCGTAACCCTAGTGTAACACAGCATAACCCTAGTGTAACACAGCGTAACCCTAGTGTAACACAGCATAACCCTAGTGTAACACAGCATAACCCTAGTGTAACACAGCATAACCCTAGTGTAACACAGCGTAACCCTAGTGTAACACAGTATAACCCTAGTGTAACACAGCGTAACCCTAGTGTAACACAGCGTAACCCTAGTGTAGCACAGCATAACCCTAGTGTAACACAGCGTAACCCTAGTGTAACACAGCGTAACCCTAGTGTAACACAGCGTAACCCTAGTGTAACACAGTATAACCCTAGTGTAACACAGTATAACCCTAGTGTAACACAGCGTAACCCTAGTGTAACACAGCGTAACCCTAGTGTAACACAGCGTAACCCTAGTGTAACACAGCGTAACCCTAGTGTAACACAGTATAACCCTAGTGTAACACAGTATAACCCTAGTGTAACACAGCGTAACCCTAGTGTAACACAGTATAACCCTAGTGTAACACAGTATAACCCTAGTGTAACACAGCGTAACCCTAGTGTAACACAGCGTAACCCTAGTGTAACACAGTATAACCCTAGTGTAACACAGCGTAACCCTAGTGTAACACAGCGTAACCCTAGTGTAACACAGCGTAACCCTAGTGTAACACAGCGTAACCCTAGTGTAACACAGCATAACCCTAGTGTAACACAGTATAACCCTAGTGTAACACAGCGTAACCCTAGTGTAACACAGTATAACCCTAGTGTAACACAGTATAACCCTAGTGTAACACAGCATAACCCTAGTGTAACACAGCATAACCCTAGTGTAGCACAGCGTAACCCTAGTGTAACACAGCGTAACCCTAGTGTAACACAGCGTAACCCTAGTGTAACACAGCGTAACCCTAGTGTAACACAGCGTAACCCTAGTGTAACACAGCATAACCCTAGTGTAACACAGCATAACCCTAGTGTAACACAGCGTAACCCTAGTGTAACACAGCGTAACCCTAGTGTAACACAGTATAACCCTAGTGTAACACAGCGTAACCCTAGTGTAACACAGTATAACCCTAGTGTAACACAGTATAACCCTAGTGTAACACAGCGTAACCCTAGTGTAACACAGTATAACCCTAGTGTAACACAGCGTAACCCTAGTGTAACACAGCATAACCCTAGTGTAACACAGCATAACCCTAGTGTAACACAGCATAACCCTAGTGTAACACAGCATAACCCTAGTGTAACACAGCATAACCCTAGTGTAACACAGCGTAACCCTAGTGTAACACAGCGTAACCCTAGTGTAACACAGCGTAACCCTAGTGTAACACAGCGTAACCCTAGTGTAACACAGCATAACCCTAGTGTAACACAGCATAACCCTAGTGTAACACAGCGTAACCCTAGTGTAACACAGCGTAACCCTAGTGTAACACAGCATAACCCTAGTGTAACACAGCATAACCCTAGTGTAGCACAGCATAACCCTAGTGTAACACAGCATAACCCTAGTGTAACACAGCATAACCCTAGTGTAACACAGCATAACCCTAGTGTAACACAGCATAACCCTAGTGTAACACAGCATAACCCTAGTGTAACACAGCATAACCCTAGTGTAACACAGCATAACCCTAGTGTAACACAGCATAACCCTAGTGTAACACAGCATAACCCTAGTGTAACACAGCATAACCCTAGTGTAACACAGCATAACCCTAGTGTAACACAGCATAACCCTAGTGTAACACAGCATAACCCTAGTGTAACACAGCATAACCCTAGTGTAGCACAGCATAACCCTAGTGTAACACAGCATAACCCTAGTGTAACACAGCATAACCCTAGTGTAACACAGCATAACCCTAGTGTAGCACAGTATAACCCTAGTGTAACACAGCATAACCCTAGTGTAACACAGCATAACCCTAGTGTAGCACAGTATAACCCTAGTGTAACACAGCATAACCCTAGTGTAACACAGCATAACCCTAGTGTAACACAGCATAACCCTAGTGTAACACAGCATAACCCTAGTGTAGCACAGCATAACCCTAGTGTAACACAGCGTAACCCTAGTGTAACACAGCATAACCCTAGTGTAACACAGCATAACCCTAGTGTAACACAGCATAACCCTAGTGTAACACAGCATAACCCTAGTGTAACACAGCATAACCCTAGTGTAACACAGCATAACCCTAGTGTAACACAGCATAACCCTAGTGTAACACAGCATAACCCTAGTGTAACACAGCATAACCCTAGTGTAACACAGCATAACCCTAGTGTAACACAGCATAACCCTAGTGTAACACAGCATAACCCTAGTGTAACACAGCATAACCCTAGTGTAGCACAGCATAACCCTAGTGTAACCCAGCATAACCCTAGTGTAACACAGCATAACCCTAGTGTAACACAGCATAACCCTAGTGTAGCACAGTATAACCCTAGTGTAACACAGCATAACCCTAGTGTAACACAGCATAACCCTAGTGTAGCACAGTATAACCCTAGTGTAACACAGCATAACCCTAGTGTAACACAGCATAACCCTAGTGTAACACAGCATAACCCTAGTGTAACACAGCATAACCCTAGTGTAACACAGCATAACCCTAGTGTAACACAGCATAACCCTAGTGTAACACAGCATAACCCTAGTGTAACACAGCATAACCCTAGTGTAACACAGCATAACCCTAGTGTAACACAGCATAACCCTAGTGTAGCACAGCATAACCCTAGTGTAACCCAGCATAACCCTAGTGTAACACAGCATAACCCTAGTGTAACACAGCATAACCCTAGTGTAGCACAGTATAACCCTAGTGTAACACAGCATAACCCTAGTGTAACACAGCATAACCCTAGTGTAGCACAGTATAACCCTAGTGTAACACAGCATAACCCTAGTGTAACACAGCATAACCCTAGTGTAACACAGCATAACCCTAGTGTAACACAGCATAACCCTAGTGTAACACAGCATAACCCTAGTGTAACACAGCGTAACCCTAGTGTAACACAGCGTAACCCTAGTGTAACACAGCGTAACCCTAGTGTAACACAGCGTAACCCTAGTGTAACACAGCATAACCCTAGTGTAACACAGCATAACCCTAGTGTAACACAGCGTAACCCTAGTGTAACACAGCGTAACCCTAGTGTAACACAGCATAACCCTAGTGTAACACAGCATAACCCTAGTGTAACACAGCATAACCCTAGTGTAACCCAGCATAACCCTAGTGTAACACAGCATAACCCTAGTGTAACACAGCATAACCCTAGTGTAGCACAGTATAACCCTAGTGTAACACAGCATAACCCTAGTGTAACACAGCATAACCCTAGTGTAGCACAGTATAACCCTAGTGTAACACAGCATAACCCTAGTGTAACACAGCATAACCCTAGTGTAACACAGCATAACCCTAGTGTAACACAGCATAACCCTAGTGTAACACAGCGTAACCCTAGTGTAACACAGCATAACCCTAGTGTAACACAGCATAACCCTAGTGTAACACAGCGTAACCCTAGTGTAACACAGCATAACCCTAGTGTAACACAGCGTAACCCTAGTGTAACACAGCATAACCCTAGCCCTATACAACATACAGTGATTACTACTGGTTGCTCCCACATGGTTCAGTTGGAGCATTGCCAAGTGGCCTTATAAAAGCAATGGTTTGCATGTTCAAGCAGCAGTATATCTTCACTCTCGAATCACTCGTTATTGTGCTCTGGCGACTTGCTGCCTTGCTTGCCATCCAGCTCAAACTGGCTAAATTATTTGTGTGAATAAAGCCAGGGTCTGGCAAAGCTTAGTGTTCCTGCTGCTGCTTCTTTTTTCTTTTGAATTCCGCATCTACAATGTGTTTTAATATGTGTGTGTGTGTGTGTGTTTGTGTGTTTGTTTGTGTGTGCATGCTGCAGTGCTATTCTCAGTTTGCGCGGTGACCTGGCACGCTTGCGACAGCAGCTGCTGGAAGGCTCATCATCACCCTCCGCCACACCAGTGTCCACCCCCGTATCCACACCGGTACGCAGCAGGAATGTTCCGGCTGCTGCTGCTGCTGCTCCCGCCAGCAGTACAGCACCGATCAGACTGCCAAAGTCGCTCAGCAAATCGTCGGAGGCGTCGGAGGCCGCACTGCGCAATCTACTCGACAACGTCACGGACCCGCGGCCGCGCAGCGGCACTGGCAAACCGTACTCATCACCGTCGCTGTCTCGCCGTCTGCTGCACGATACGCCGGGCACAACGAGCGGGCTTTCCATTGGGTTCAGCACGTCAGGGTCTTCATCGACTAATGCCGACATGCCACCTCCGCCCCAGCCTGCTGTGTACTATACCGGCAACGGAACTACGCAGCATGATCCTGGCCAGTCGAATTTGAGCACCCTATCCAGCTCTGATCCAGACCCGATCCCTGCCGTAGATCCCAACCAATACAGAACAAAACCATATGGTTATGTTTCGGCGCCAACACCGACACACGCCCATGCAGCGCAGCCGCCACCGTCACAATCGCCGGTCCTTCAACACCGCCAGCAACTACAGCAGCAACAGTCGTCGCCATCCTTGCGCATGGCTTCATCTCGAGCCACACAAACGCCGACACGTCCAGTTACGGCTACCAGCGTCCCAGATAGCTTGGTACAGACATCGGGGAGAAGCAGTGTTCAGCGACGACATCCACCTCCGCAGTCACCGCGGGATATGCCACCGCTGCCTCTTGTCGACGCTCAAGTCCAAACCGTTCGCGACACTCCCACACAAACCAATTTTACGCAGGTTATGCCTTCGCTCGACACTTCGACACAAACAAGTGTGACGCATGATATGTCTACGCGTGTGCCACTCAGCTCCAATGCTCAGACGCCTCGACGCGTGCCAGCGCACACGCCGCACAGCGTGCAGACACAGACACCTGGTGAAAAGTCGGTCACGTGGCAGCCGCAGCACCACCAGCACGCGTTGCCTGTGGGTGTTGCCAACGCTGGCACACAGGCAATGGGGTACGACAGCGGCCTGCAGTTCTTCTCCCCCGCGCCCAGGGGCTATGCACCGGCCGAGTACGGTGATGGCGGTGTGCAGACGAGGGACTGGTCGCACTCGGCAGGGCCAGTGTATCGCCATTGCTCCGTGGGCCGACCAGCAGCAGCCACTGCCAGTACAGCACACGCTGTGCATCCCGTAATGCAACACGCTGCTTCTCCAGCACCGCCGCCGCCACCGCCTACACAGCCACAGTACGTCACACCGGTCCCTGTCTACGCAACATTCGATTCGCCTGTGCAGACCTACCGCAGTACTGTACCAACAAGCAGGTAACTCTCTCTCTCTCTCTCTCTCTCACTCTCTCTCTCACTCTCTCTCTCTCACTCTCTCTCTCTCTCTCTCTCTATCCATCTCTCACTCTCTCTCTCTCTCACTCTCTCTCTCTCTCTCTATCCATCTCTCACTCTCTCTCTCTCTCTCACTCTCTCTCTCTCTCTCTCTCTCTCTCTCTCTCTCTCTCTCTCTTCAATTGAGTCCATTATAGCTTGTTCGCTGTGTCCATTAAGTTCAAATATGGATGATGAGTGCGCATGCAGCTAACCAGGACAACGGAACATGAAATCACTGTATGTGTGTGTATATGTATGTTTACTGCAGTAGTACTCCAGTGAGGCTGGTATACCCTGACACATATACCATGGTAAGTCGCAATGTCCTTTTTACTGCCTTGGTGTGCTCCGCCTCTGCCGACAAAGCCCAGGAAATCAAGCACCTTCCCTCTCTCTCCCTCTCTCTCTCTCTCTCTCTCTCTCTCTCTCTCTCTCTCTCTCTCTCTCTCTCTCCTTCTCTCTCTCACTCACTCTCTCTCACTCACTGTTAGTTGTTTTTCATGCCAATACTTATGGTGAATTGTGTGTTGCTCCCTACACAGGAGTCTGCGTTTTCCCTCAAGTATCGCCAAAGTCACTGTAGCCTCTTCTTAGTACTTATGATGTTTGTTCTGTATTGCCTACAGCCCTACTTGGACGAGCTCGACCTGACGGAGGCCAATCTCCAGGCCACGCAGCTCAAGCGCCGCTCTGAGGGCATGGCACGTGGTCTGGAGGATTCACTGGCCTACTCACTCCGCAGTAGCCGCTCACCACGTATATAGCAATCCACTGCATCCGGTTGCCTTCGAGCCAGCGTACTGAATATGTAACAATCCACCGTGTCTGGGTGCCTTCGAGCCAGCGTATGTGACAATCCACTGCCCTCGAGCCTGCGTAACAATCCACCGCCTCTGGGTGCCTTCGAGCCAGCGTATGTGACAATCCACTGCCCTCGAGCCTGCGTAACAATCCACCGCCTCTGGTTGCCTTCGAGCCAGCGTATGTGACAATCCACTGCCCTCGAGCCTGCGTAACAATCCACCGCCTCTGGTCGCCTTCGAGCCCGTGTATGTAATAATCCACTGCCTCCGGTTGCCCTCGAGCCTGGGTATGTAACAATCCATTGCGTATGGTTGCCCTAGAGTTGTGTCAACATGACATGGCTGACTAGCGCTTGGAGCTACCTGAATTCACGAAATCGTCACTGATGTTCTCTGCCAGATCTTTGACGTTGCCAGTTTTATTCTTCTCATCGTTCCTGACCGTATCCTGTCTATCTTCACTATGGATGCTTTCCCTCTTAGCAACATGGAGGAGCTATGCTCACCTTCAGAAGTTATTCTTATTACCTGCAGTCCTGTAGTGGTACTGTGGTACATCTGCTGTCATGCCGGGCACACTCAGTCATATTTATAATGTTTTTTTGTGGTTTGTTTCTGTTCGTACCATTTTCGTTTTTGTTCGCTTTTTCTTTTCTTAGTACGTGTACAGAGAGCCACAGTCCATGGTCTATTTTGTGTACTGTGGCTTGTTGCGGTGTCTGCTCTCTGCTGGCAAGATTTCACTTGGTTGTGCTGGTGTCGTTCCCAACCTTCTATATTTTTGAAGGGTATTTTTTCGTACACACATGCTGTATGTCACCGTTGTCCCTCTTCTTTCTTTTTCCCATAATTATGGAAGCTATTTTCAACATAGAGCTGACCTCATCTCCGGAATATAATTTTTTACTTGAGTTTGTTTCGCAGTTGAAGTATTTTCACACCCGTTTAGTATTAGTCCGCTGGCGCACTTCGAATATATTTCCGCAGCCATCTTCTATACCATTTTCACATTTTAAATGAAAAAAATCTGCTCTGAGCATGCCAAGCCCAACAGTCCTTTCCCAACCAGGGAGTCTCGACATACTAGTAACAGATTGTGGTCCTTTTTTTGCCGGTAAACAAAGAAACAGTGCTGTTCAGCAGGGTGTAGCAAAACATGTGTTTTTACTACTGCCTCAGTGCCTGCTTTTCAGCCTGTACGTACTGCAGCTACATGTAATTGTGCATTGACGTCGGTGTATGCACTTGTGGTGGGTAGTCTTCTAGGCGCCTCGCGTGGCATCCGGGTGTGTCTATGTCGGGAGTGAGTCCCACGCCACTTATTCTACTGGCGCATGTGCATGTCAGCAGCGGATCCAGCGATCTCTACAGGGGGGAGTCCAGTACATGTATAGTCAAAACTAAAATTTAGCTGACACATGCACATGGACACGCATGTGGTTGCCAGTAGCACATTAACGAAATTTAGGGGGTTCCGCGGAACCCCTCCTGGATCCCCCTAGCCCTGCATGTCATCAAGAGTACATGGGGTTATGTACTCTTGATGTCATCAATGGCCCATACTGTGAAGGGAAACCCCCCAAACGGGTGTGGATCAGTACACTGTGAGCAAGAGTACATAGCCCCCCCCCCCCCCCCGGGGGTTATGTACTCTTGCTATGAGTATGAGTATGCGCAAGAGTAGGGGGGTTATGTACTCTTGGTATGAGCAAGAGTAGATAAACTTGGTATGAGTATGAGCAAGAGTAGGGGGGATATGTACTCTTGGTATGAGTATGAGCAAGAGTAGGGGGGTTATGTACTCTTGGTATGAGCACTTTCAGCACACTGGGAACATCATCTGGGTATGGATCAATACAATAATAGCATATGATAGGATCCAAGTGGATCCCAAAGTCAGCCTTGCCCTGACTCCGGGTTGATTGTGACATACATTGTAGCACTTTCCAGCACTGTGGGTAAATTAAGGATTAGAGAAAAATTCGAGTGACCATTGTCCCTCAAGCAGGATATAATCAAGAGTACATAACCCCGGGGTTATGTACTCTTGATATAATCTATTCTCGCAAAAGAAAAATAACAGAAAAAAGGAACTGGGAAATAGGGAACAGTATTATGATAGTAAAATACTTGCACTTGGTTCTACAAGTACAAGCGAAGCCATCAATGTCAAATGTCGCATAGTGATAATTTGATAAAGGCATGCTCGTTGCATACTGGGACTAAAGATCACCATGGTAAAAAAATGATGCCTGCGCGAGGAGATTCGTACGCAGCACTCGTATTACAATATTAGCGGAGAGCTGGCTGCAGCAGCGCTAAGTAAGGTACGGATATTGGTACTGGTGAAGATCATGGGGAGATGAGCAGTGTAAGATTTCATGAGAATACTCAAGCGAATACGAAAGATGACAAAACTGGTAAAACGTACAAAAGTTCGTTTGCGGATGTGGTAAACGGATGGACCGATTCAAACGGGGGGGGGGGGGGGGGGGGGTCGATGATTGACATAAGTAGAAGTACAAATGCAGCAAGTGTCAACCGAGACACGAGCGTACACGGCATCAAAAAATGTCTGCTCAGCGAGTGATAAGAAGGGAAAAATGCCATACACACACAGACACACATACACACGCACGCACGCACACAGGCTTAATATGAAACGGGCACACCGCACACAGCGGGTGTAAATTCTACTTGCCGTACCGCCGTGTGCAGGCATCCTGCGGAGGGTGCGCTGCATGACGGCTTTAGGTTACTCTAATTTCAGAAATTTTCGGTGCTCAATATTTTCGGTATGAGGGCAACAGGCCAGGTTAGGTGAACAGAAATTTTCGGTACAGAGAAGCAGTTCCCTATTGGATTATGTGTCTTAGTGTTTGTTCGGTGTATTGAAATTTTAGGTATGAAACAGACGCACCGAAAGTACCGAAAATAAAAGTACACCGAAAATTTGTGAAATTACAGTACTCTGTGGTAAAAAAAAAAGAAAAAAAGAAGATGGGGCCGGGGTTTCGAAGAATAGAGATGGCTCCTGGTGACAGGATGGTATATGACATCACTGCACTGTACATGTAACGTGTTCGATGGGGCTGCACGGACAACACCGACGAGCACTGACGGTGAGCAGGCCACTTACGATATGCTGGAGTGGTGCCCACTGGGACAGACGGCGGTAACACTGCGATTCAGAGAACACGGCTGCAGGGCTGCCATTGCCTTAACTGCGCAGCACGTGACCCAATGCTGACCCAGCGGTGTTTGGCCAATGATGGGAGTACAGCGGTTTCTCTACGCAATGGCGTGTTGACCGACGAACTACAACAAAACAGGCCAACACACGGCCAACATCCGCGGGCAAGATACAAGCTGTAGGTGGCAGGCAGCACGCCCCGTGCTCTCGATCGAGCATCGAGATGCTGACGCCGTGTGGCGCACGGAAAGCGGACACTGAATAACAGAGCACACGGCAATGCAATGACTAACAGTGTCCACAGTGGGGCGCTGCAGCAGGTTGATAGCGGCTCAAAGCACGACGCGATCAGGCGTGACATTCAACGCATCAGTGGACTCCGTGCTCGCATCCTTTCTACCATCGGTGGCCTGCGCCGAAGTCAAGGGCTCGGCTTCCACATCGCTCTCGTCGTCATCCGAGGCCGAACGGTGCCTAGCATGCCGCTGCGCTGCGTCCATGTCCTCCGGCAAATACCACGAGCTGATCACAAACAACAGTGCACCTGCAGCATAGAAAGACAATCACAGCGCCACACAACACTGCTGTAGTACCGTACTTACGCACATATACGCGCATGTGCTTATGTCCGGACATAAGCGCACCCCCCCCCCCCAAATATAAGCGAATGTGCTTGTATGTGAACACTATTGGTGTAACACCCTGGAGCTGAATATACTGCTAAGCATTGTGATAACACCGTTGTTTAGGACACAGACAAACCTTTATTGCACATATAAGCGCATGGGCTTCTACCCGAATATGTTCACACAGCAAAAAATCTTTTTCGTAGCAACTTTTCACTTAAAAGACCATGCACTTATATGTGGGGTATAAGCCCATGCACTTATGACTACACCATAGCTCAGTGGTTAGAGCATCGCTAGCTACAAGCGAGGGTCCCTGGTTCGAGTCCTGGTGGTGAGAGTCAATTTTTTCTTCAGACTTTTCCCGTTAGTCTCTTTCCCTCAAACTAGTGAAGACTTATGACAATCCTCAGCAATCTTGCCGCATGGGGCCAGCAATGGCGGATCCAGTTCGAGCCCACCAAGAGCCAGCGCCTGATTTTATGCAATGCTCGAAAGTGCCCTGACTTTCCACCAACCGCCTTTGCCGGCGAGATTATTCCGGACTCGGACCACCTTAAGCTGCTTGGAGTCACATTCGACTCTAAGCTTGGGTTCCAGCGCCATATCCATGCTGTCGCTGTCAAGGCCAGCCAGCGCCTGGGATTCTTGCGCCGTGCTGCTTGGCTTCTGGGTCATGAGGGCCGCCTTGCCGTGTATAAGGGGTTCATTCGGCCCATCCTGGAGTACGCTCCCCTAGCCACCATGTGTGCAGCCCAATCCCACCTAGCACGCTATGACAGGGTGCAGGAGAAGGCAATGCGAATCATCGGACCTGGCACGATCCTTCAGAGCCTGCAGCTCAGGAGGCCAGTCTCAGGGCTTGCATATGTGTACAAGTTGCACTACATTAAGGGTCCACCCCAGTAGTAAGTAACGAGCGGGTAACCTGATGTAATTTCATTTTTGGTTCACAATTTGCTAAATTTCTCTCTCTCTCTATCAGATCAAAGATGTCGGCCTGGTCAACCTCCGAACCATATGTTGAGAAGTGGTATTTATTTTCTTGTACAAACGATGAATTGACCGTGCGCTTACTGACAGATATGTGTACAGCGTATGAATTGAGACCTGTGTTACTGCACCCGGATCGGGTAGACATGTCTCCAATGGAGATCGCAGAATATCTTTGTAGGGTGTCGTCGATGATTATCGTGAGCGGTGACAAACTCCAACGTCTACCCAAGATAGTTGTAGACGGTGTTGCAGACTACGGAAGCCCATCAAGCCGGGAAAAAGGAAGATTGTTACAGTGTTGGGATGATGGTCGCAGATCAATGTTCAATGTGATGAAGGCTGCAGGTGCTCTCGACAATGTCGAAGAGACATTTGAAAATGCTGACCAGATCGAAGCCCAGGAGTTCATCCGTGTGATCAAGGATCTGAATGAGCGTATGATCTTTCGAAGAGACGGGGATACGGAAGCGATGACGAAATCTGTCCGCCTCTCAGTCATCGCGACGAGGATAACCCGTGTTGCTGTGCGTGTCGGCACGATCGACATTGATGATGAAGGTTATCATAAGAAGATGCCGGATGTCTTGTGCGATACTATAGCAAGCCGGAAGCGCAAGGCCGATGATGACCTGGATGAATCAATTGTCACAATGGCCACTTGCTCGGACAGCACCGAACTACCTACTGAGGTCATTCCCCTACACCCTCATTGCAGCATGGAACGACATTCCTGAGCAAGTCATCCTGGAACCTCCTGCATCGAAGGGAATGCAGGCCTTCAAGTCTCGCATTTGTCAGCACCTGATACGCCAGGATTGGTTGTGGGCGACAGCATTCCATGGCTAAATTTGACGACGTTCCATTCTCCAGTCCCACAACGATCACCTTGTCTTCACCCCACTGAACTGTACCCTGCTCCCTAGAGCTCTCGAATCACCTCAGTGCAGAATGTTTTGTGTTAATGTTTCTTTCTTCTCTTCTTTCCCTTTTGCTGCTTTTCGTGGCCCCTTTCTCGCTGATCCAGTGCCTGCACACTACTCTGCCTCGCAGCAGCTCCGATCTAACTTCTCTGTATTGCCCCCCCCCCCCACTGAAAGCAACGCAGCTGTTGGTCCATTGCCATAGTTTCCTGAACTAATCTGGCACTCACTCACTCACCCTCCCTCACCCCCCCCCCCCCCATCTCTCTCTCTCTCTCTCTCTCTCTCTCTCTCTCTCTCTCTCTCTCTCTCTCTCTCTCTCTCTCTCTCTCTCTCTCTCTCTCTCTCTCTCTCTCTCTCTCTCTGCATCACTGTCTGGCTCTCAGGTTCTCACTCTTCACACACACAGTCTTTCTTCTCTCCCTTTCCCCCATCCCATGGTGCGTGATGTGCGCCTTGATCCCGAGACCATTGGTCGGGGGAGCGCACTTCACCTCACCGGCACAGCTCAGGGCGCGAAATAACGGTCGGACATCGGACAATTTCCGACCGTTTACGGTCAGTTTCCGGATGTGTACATTTTGTACACATCCGGACAAAGTGTCTGCGCACTTTTTTGCAAAGTACAAAAAAGAAAAGGCACGTCAATCCTTTGTCTCATAGTCATTAGTGATGTCGTCTGGCAAGAGAAATCCAAGCACCGCTGATGCGGGTGCTCCTCTTGGAAAGAAGCCCAGAGGAGTCCAGACGACCACTTGTGACAAGTGGGTCGCCGAGTATGATAGGGAGATTTCAACTTACATGTACTTCTGTTTGGCTGAGCTATGAGTATGAGCGCAGTCACTCAGATCGTAGCGTTGTCGAAAATTTGAAGTGTAAGATGTGTTCCCGTTTTGCTGATAAAATTCGCAGCAGCAAGAATTTTTCTGACTCCTTCGTCGTTGGCTCAAGGAACCTGAAAACATCAGCCTTCAAAGATCATGCTGCTTCTGAAATGCATCGCCGTGCCATGGCATTGTTTGGCTAGGTGCAGTCAAGCGGAAACCCAATAGAGTATGCGCCAATCGCTCGAGCCTTGTGAAAACTTGACGACGCAGCAGCAGCCAAGGTCGGACTCTGTTCACGTCGTGATAACATTTCGATGGTATTAATTCTACACTGAACACTGTGTGATTTGATGTGAAAATTTGCATGTCCGGACATTTTTGCAACTGGCAGGACATTGTGTCAGAGCACATTTTAATCCTTAGCGCATGCCCTGCAGCTCAATAGCACCTGCACGCCCTTTGTAGTCCCCTATGTTCTCTTGATGTTGTTGTTGTTGTTCTCTTCCTTTCTATGTAGGCATGTGCACTTTCATAAAAAATAAAATAAAATAAAAACTTATATGTAATGGTACGGTAATGGCTGCAGTACACTGAAGCCTACAAATAAAAGAAAGCTTCCCGTGATACTTTTTTTAAAGGTTTTTAGGCTGGAGTTTTGTTCATTGCACAACACAAACAACGTCAGGAAACATTAGGCTACCCTGCACACTCAGGCTATGATCGTATGATCGTTTGGTCGGATCCAGATCCAGATCCAAATCTCAGATCCGTCGGATCCTTCAGAATCAACCGATCACTGTTTTTCGGACCTTGGCTGTTGCCATGTTGCTGAAGTAAAAAATGGTGCTGACAGGTCACCCAAAAGGGCAAAAGTCGTACTGATCGCGCGTGCGCGCGTTGTACGAAAAGTCAACGAAAGTCCTCTAGACGTACGACAATGAGCACAAAAATGATTTTTACCTGCCATATACGCACAAAGGTCACATTTGGATCCGATGGATCCAGTCAACCCTGCTCCCGGGGCAGGGTTGCATCCAAATCCGAAGGATCTGGATCCGGATTCGACCAATCGATCATTGCAGATCCAGTGGATCCGACGGATCTGGATCTGGATCCGACCAAACGATCACGGCCTTAAAAAGTAGTTAGAGCATTGCTGGCCTCAAGCAAAGGTCCCTGCTTCGAATCCTGGAGGTGACAGTCAATTTTAACTTCAGACTTTTCCCTTTTCCATTCCCTCAACCTGTGAATATTTTAAATCTTCCCTTACCGATAACGGACATAATTGCGGACGAGTAGAGCGAATAACGCAGAGCACGCTCTTCAGCAGCAATCTGCTTTGGCGTGGCAGACTCCAGCTTGGGTATTAAGGCCGAGTCTGGGTAGAGGATACTCTCTCGAATAGCATCAGATATCTACAGAGCACAGCACACAGGGATGAGCAACAAATGTGGAATGTAATATATACAAACTTACAAAGGCATTCGTTGTCTGATGATTGATTCAGCCATGAAACTCTGAGTCACAACGGAATTTGCCAAGGTTTTCATTGCGTGCCTTTGTGTACACCGCTCTGACTGAATTAGGTATTGAGCACTTTCGCAGAATTCAAGCCCATTGCCTCTGCGAATGTAGTATATAATGAGCCAGCAAGACTATTTCCACAGCACCAGCGTGGCGGTGGTGGAATTGCTTTATTGATAAATTGATGAACAGGCCAAAAGCTACTGCTTATCTACTTATCTACAGGCAGACCTCGCTTATCCGTTCCTCTTTTATCCGGATCCCTCACCATCCGGAAGAAAATGGTTGGTCACCGATTTACAGTATAATGTCATGCATACATACAGCATGTGTGTTCGATTATCCGGTTCCCTCCCCTATCCGGATATTTTTTTGTGGAAAACAGATGTGTGCGGTTAAGGTGGCTCGCGCCTATTTCTAAACTCGTCTTCTGCGCAGGTTCTCGCGCATCCTACGTTCGAGAAAAGTGCATGCGGAGTTGGCGTAGCGAGCTTGTAGCGCACTCCAGTTTCGAAGGGTCCAGCTCGAGCAGATGGCCTGAGTACGAAACTCTCGTACTCGAGTCTAGAGAGTGAGCTTTTTTCTTCTTTTTTTCACTCCTTCACTTGGCTACTTTTTTTTAGGTGCATTTTTTACTTGTGGAAATTGTCACCTGTCAGAGAAGTGTTGGGATGTCCCTTCCATGATCCAGCAGGCACTGCCCATGCCCATGGTCGGCTTCGGAAAAAGAGTAGAATAAAAGCGTTGGAGTCTATGTGGATGTCTTGGAAGGAATGGGGGACGGCACAGACGGGTACGTGAATGTGTAAAACCTGAGTATTTTGTATTTTCGTTGAATTGGTTCAAGTGGCTTGGCGAGTCCCTTCCACAGTAGAACGCCATCCTTCGCAAAATTTGTCTGACTATTTTGTCAAGAATGGCCGTTCTATAATGATCAATCAACTCTGAAGCCAGTGAATTGTGGAGGTCGCGCTTGAATATAATTTGAAATGGTCACGAATGTACGAAAGTATTTTTGATTCGAACACGTACTGGACAACGTGGTTGCATTGTGTCAGTAGAGGGTACTACTGTAGTATCTCACCATTTCTTTATGGTAATCGCTGTCCACCAAGAACTCTACTATAGTTATTGCCACGGCTTGATCACAGCGGTACACTGAATTTTTGTTGAGAAATTCCTTCAATTTATTGTCTTATCACTCTGACTAGACTCAGTGCTTGAGCGTTTTATTTAGGATGCATTTTTTAGAGATTGATATTTACCAGTATGTGTTTCACATCACTCCTGACGAGAATAAGCATTTGAAAGCAACACTGGCTGACAGCAATCATGCTCCCCAGGCTCAAGTGTGTGTGTGTGTTACAAGGGTGTGCATGGCAATTTGGTAGAGTATGTGTGAACACAAAGTCCACTATTATATTCACAAACTCAAGTACATCGCAAAATCGTGCCTTCGTATCGTATATTGTGCCTTCATAATTTTGACTAGCCCTAACCTGCTGTCTGACAGGTGTGTCATTGGTGAATGTACATGTACACTGTCTCCCTTCATAACTACGTGCATGTAACACAATATTTACAGTGCACTTGCAGTGTATATAGCTAGATCAATGCACAGTAATCAGTAAATTGTGGCTGCCTCTGTCACATTGTCATATTCACGCGACGTACATTCTAAATCATCGAAAATGCCCAAACGTATTTCTACGTGTGCAGAAGAAGATCGAACACATTCTTTCCTTGCATCTGCGCCTTGATCCTTGAAGGATGATGGCGTTCCTACGAATGCGGAAAACTCGGCCTCTAGCCGAGTCTGACACGAACCGTGAATTTTTTCCTTGACATTGGTTGATGGCATCAGTCACATCTAAGAGTGACACTCTATCTCAAACATATTTACGCAAAGAAGTAGTAATCTTATCTTCATTGGAGCGATGGTCTGCAGGCGTGCGATCATGTGTGTGCCTTGTGTGTGTGTGTGTGTGTTTAGTCACTGTTTACACGCACGTTTGTGCGTGTGTGGTGTGTGTGTTTGTGTGTGTGTGTGTGTGTGTGTGTCTGTCTGGCCTGGTATGAGGTTGCTCAGGATAGGTCTGCCTGGCGGGTGGACTGTCTTATCTGCCATCGGTCATTCCGCCAGCCAGGTGACAAACAAGGCACAAATGTGGCGCAGAGCAAAGTCTCCCCATCCAGGATCAGCGTGGTGCTGTGCAGTGTTGTACATGCAGAAGGTCGTTTCACTCTCGTGGTGGCCTGCGTGTGCATCATTGTTTGCCCCTGGAACCATCGAAAGTGTCCGCGCCGGCATCATCTATTCCGCTCAGCGTCCATGCTTCTCTCTTGTGTTTGACATGCAATCGGCAATTCAAGTCAGTGCCTGGTTTCAGACGTCACATGTGCGACCGTGGCCATCGGGCAACCAAGTCTGACAGAGCGTCATATTGTGTCCGCTGTTCTCGCTGCAGCCGTCAGTTCCGTCGACAGAGTGACCTGAGTCGTCATCTCCGTTTCTGCTCCTGACAATGACTCCGGCTTCTTTCGGAATGGTGTGGCCCTTGGGCAACCATGCTACAGTAGCAGTAGTAGTAGTAGTAGTGTGTGTGTGTGTGTGTGTGTGTGTGTGTGTGTGTGTGTGTGTGTGTGTTCTGCCTCGCCTAATAGCTATCATCGCCTTTGGCGATGGGCTTTCCAAAGGTCCAAAGGTGTGTGTGTGTGCGTGTGCGTGTGTGTCTGGAGCGCAACCGGGTGGCGTGCTCTTTCTCTCTCTCTCTGCTGCCCCTCCGGGGCCCACGTGACCCTAGTGGTAGTGGTTCGACAGGACAGGTGTGTGTGTGTGTGTGTGTTTGCATGTATGCGTGTGTGTGTTTGCATGTATGCGTGTGTGTGTGTTTGTGTGTGGTATGTGTGTGTACACTTGTGTCAATGTGTATTGCAGGGTTGGGGTGGGCTAGTAGAGAAGGGTAGATGTATATGGACATGTACATGGGATATGTAGGTGTGCATGTACATGCACCAAAGCAAACTTATCAAAAAGGCATTCTGCGCCTATATGGCGAAATTGAGCATTGAAGCATATGTTTTTTATTTTCTCATTGGCATGTACACAGTTAGTCCATTCAATAACCAAAAAATGAGGAAGATTGTAAATCAGGTTCTTGATGAAATACCCGTCCGCTATACATCATAAATCCTGTACAAATTTGACAATTTAGTGAAATTGTCATCGCCTATATCTCAAAAGTTAGCATTGAGACCCCGTTTTTTTAACTCGCCATTTGCATACACTACCTAAGAGCAACCGCCCACCAAATTTTCAGAGCAATCGTTAATTTTTTTGAAATAGGCGTGAGCCACCTTAAGGGAGGTTTGACTGTACCGGCGAATCAGAGAAACAAAACAAAAAAACTCAGCCATCAACAATATTCAGTGAATCAGTTCAACTTCGGGCGCGTTTGGTTGGTACGAACTAGAACAGGATTCACCAGAACAGCGCGTTTGGTTGGGACTGCACCTGTTCTGGGTCAGCCAGAACATGTTCTGCTTGAGGCCGGAGCAGACCGAGCAGTTTCACTTTTTCACAGTGAAACCTGGCGGGAACATCGATTTTGGTCCCAAATGATCACGTGCATACGCTTTTGGGTTGGACTCGTCGTACCGTACAAAGTGACCATGGTGACCCATACACATTTTGAAGAATGCACCAAGTTTGGCACATTTTTCCACAAAAATGTGCTCTGTTTCTGGAGTACCATTGGTTGGCATGAGGCTGCTCCATGTGCACCAGCTGTTCGATCCTGTTCTAGATCGTACCAACCAAACGCACCCCTACACTCATACCTCGTTTATCCGGGCGGTACGGGATCGGACACTGCCCGTAACTTTGACATGTCCGTAACTCCGAATCACAAATATTTTGATGGGGAAAGGCCATAGATATGGCAAACAGTGTCACTATTTCCACAAAAAGTGACAGAAGAGTAGTAATATTGTCACTGAAACTCGCCTGAAGGGTGCCCGGTACACAAAAGTGCCCGTAACTTCGGGGTCCGGATAGCCGATGTATGAGTGTATATGCTGCCAAAAAGAATTTTTTCCTTTGGATAGTCTTCAGTTGTTGACGTAAGGGCACGCTGGATGTAATCGCACCATTCTGTACTTCTGGAACAGCTATGGCCTGACCTTCTACTTTCACATAGTGGTTCAGAAATTGACACAGACAGCGCTACTCGGATAACTCGTGAGGGTAGGGAAGCAAGTACCAATAAACGACACAGCAGCCCCACCCATTCACACACCCATCCACACACACACACACACACACACACACACACACACACACACACACACACACACACACACACACACACACACACACACACACACACACACACACACACACACACACACACACACACTAAACACAGGCATCGCTTACCCATCCGATGAGGAAGGGGCTGAGTGCGTCACCCAGCAAATGCGAGATGAAGAGCTGGAGAGCGGAGGCAGTGGCACGGCGACTCGGTATGATGATGGAGAGCAGCATAGCGGACATAGGTGCCCAGCCAAACAGCAACATCAGCATGCCAAGAAACATGAATGTCTGCAGTGCAAAACGGGCGGAAGCAGCAACATACAGTCAACATTGAGAACAACGATCTCGGATAGAACAACAACTCGCGAATAACAACACTATCTTCAGGACAAGTAACCATTAGACTGCATGCTTTTACCCTCGGGGTTACGGACAACTCGCGAATAACAGCCCTTTCTTCGTGCTCTATCCAGGGTTGTTATTCACAAGGCTGGCTGCACATGGAGATGAATAGATAGAGATGCAGAGACGCAGAGGAATTGATGTGTTTCTCTCCATCTTTTAATGATTGCATGTTCCCAGGAGATTGGACATCCTCTGTCATGTTTTCTTCTCTATGCGCTGCGCGATCTGCTGCTACTTGATGGCTTGCTTATGTGAATGTTTGGCGGTTCATGTGCATGACCAATGGCGCATGTAGCCTATCCGGCAACGGAAGCATCCAGTACACACGCGGATGTGAGAAATAAAACACGCGCATGTTCACCAGAGACTAAGCTGTAAAAACAGCTGTCTCACCACCACATTTTTATCTCTTTTTTTTTTTAAAACTCAGATGGTGAGCCAAGGAAACAGTTATTGTAACATGGAAAAACGTGGGCACAAGTTATGCGATCGAGTCCACCAACTGAACCAGATTTTGAACAGTCAGACGTGCACAATCTAGCACAAAACTGACAAGGAGTACTGCTAGATTGTGCACATCTGACTGTTCAAAAATCTGGTTTAGTTGGTGGACTCGTTCGCATAACTTGTGCCCACATCTTTCCATGTTACAAATTTCTTCTTTTTTCTCTTTATTTTTCCCATAGCATATTATTTGTTATCCTCCTGCCTTCGTTGTCCAGCACAAGCGAAGAAATGGAACTATCGGTCGACTTCAACCCCAAGAATGCACGTATTAAATAGTAACAATTATCTCGCCACAACATACCCAAGTCATATAGATGAGCTTGTAGATGTGGAACCAGGTCAGAGCGAAATAGACCAGCGGTCCCGCGACCAGCGAGGAGAAGCCACACACGAGCGCGTTGGCTTGCTTCGTTCTGCGCCCCAGCCGGCGCGCAATCTCGCCGCCCATGAACGAGCCAAGAAGTCCGGCGACCACCGTGATGCCACCCACACCAAGACCCGCCCTGGGTGAAATAAGTAGTAAGAAAACACAGAAACAAGTTAGACAAGGCAACAAGGGCTTCGTTGCACTCCTGTGGCTTTCGCTGCCAAATGTCGAGTCATCAAAGACGTTAGCTTTTCAACTAGGGTTTGCACATTTCCATGTACGAAGTTGCGCATTCAAAAAGTGAAAATGGCAATTCTCAGGATGAATCGATCCAAGCCGGATTTCCGAAACTCCAAAGCCCATCCAATATTCATCAGTTTGAGCGAAAGTTGCAAACGGGAAAAGTCTGAAGAAAAATTTGACTGTCACCACCATGTAAAAGGACTCGAACCAGGGTTTAAAGCTCAATGGGTCCTTTCCCAAATAAACTGTGTACGGCGTACAGCTTATTTGTGATAAACCGCACGACATTTAAAATAAGCTATGTACATGGAGTATCAACTCATGCACTCGTGACAAGAGGCACACTGTTGCAATCTGAATGGAGTGTGCTCACTGCATATCTATCTATACTGAACACAGTATCTGTAAGTCAATCATGGGCTTCAAAGTAAGTACATGTACTCCCATCAAAAAATAAAATAAAAAATCTGGAAAGTCAAACAGTTTCGTTCCCAGGACCGAGTGAGCGACTTATCGTGAGTTGACTGTGTGTGGGATAGTTGAGAGCATGATTGCTACACTGAACTCACCATTTCACAGAGTACGCCTGACTCTTGTCCTCGTACGCAGTAGCCCAGCGTGCATACGTAGGTGCCCACTGTGCCAGGGCACCGATCGTGTAGGTCGTCGTCGCAAACGCCATTGTAGACCAGACATAGCTTTTACTACACGCCAGGCAGAGACAACATGAAACAATAGCACAAACAACAGACAGATCAGAGAAAGAAAGAAATGCATAGTCTTATACTGACACAGAAATCAAGTCAGGAATTGCAGCAAAAGCCAGAGAGAGAGAGAGAGAGAGAGAGAGAGAGAGAGAGAGAGAGAGAGAGAGAGAGAGAGAGAGAGAGAGAGAGAGAGAGAGAGAGAGAGAGAGAGAGAGAGAGAGAGAGAGAGAGAGAGAGAGAGAGAGAGAGAGAGAGAGAGAGAGAGAGCTGCACTATCCAAAATCACACCGTGAGAAACAAGAGTTTTTAAAAGGGACAAGACTTACCGATACAGTGTACAATTGCCACTTACACTTTAAGGCAGTACTTGATGTCTTTAAGGTACGCTCTCCAGCCACTAGATGCCGATTGTGAGTGCTCAAGAGCATGCTCAGACTCGCCACGTGCTGGGTCTTTGAGCAGAAAGAAGCAGACGACGGCCAGCAGAATACCCAGGGCAGGCGTTATCTAGTTTGCAGCAACAGACCAAAAACACAACACGTGTTAGCTTTATATGCAAAGGAGACAGAACAACAACAAAAGAGAAGAGAGAAAATTGTTTGATAGTAAATGGTTTACTAGTAACAGTGCCGCTAGAGAGCAGAGCAAGTCACAATTCGAAATGCGCTTAGGGAAGGAAGCCATTTCTTTGCAACAACAAGCTAGTCAGCCTCGCTACGGCAAACGAATCAAAGAACTTCCGTCCCATCAGAGAACATCGGATGTCTTCAACGCGAAGAGCATGCAGGACACAAGTCATTCTGGTTCCGTCCTCATATTTGCGTCGTGTCTACAATACGCACGCAGCAATGACACAACCAAGTCCTTTTCTGCTGTTGCAGCAGAAAAGGAGTTTTTTATTTTATTTTTTTACAAGATAACCACAAACCATGATGGTGCAAACGCCGGCAAAACTTGGCTGTGCTTTTGCTGTATGAGCATTGTATTACTGGCTCTGTCCACTGGACATAGAGCTGCACTGTATGCAGCCTGAGGACCTTAGACAACTGTGTGCTGTCTACATGTATATAGACAACGTGTCCTTACTCTGAATGCCCAGCGCCAGCAGTCGCACAGCAACGAGGTCACCTGACCACTGACTATATAGCCTAGTGCACTGCACATAAACACATACACACACGAACAGATACGCCCAGAGAGACAGAGAAACAGACAGACAGACACACACACACACACAGACAGACACATATACACACACACACACACACACACACACACACACACACACACACACACACACAGGCTATGAAGCACAGGCTATGCTATCTGCCTTTCCAACAATCACAAAACAAATCACTGGGACCTGCAGAGAATGATTCACTGGCATGAGATGGGTGGGAAGACATGCAACAGTGAGCAGTACATGACTAATGCGGGACAGCGAGTTCTGTGTGAGAGTGTGACAGTATGTGTGTGAACATCTGCTGTTGTACATCCAGTGCATTTGCAGATTTGCGTGTTTCTCTTGCGACAGGTGTATACATTGTACATGGCACATGTCATGTGTGTGCATGTGGTGTGTATGTGTCCGTGCGTGCGCATACGTGAGTGTGTGTGTGTGTGCCAGCCAGTTCGGTAGGTGGGCACACTTATGCCAGATAGTGTTGGGTATGTAGCCAATAGGCTCAGCTGCTTGAAGGTGTATTGTAGTACCTGCCACCTTTGTTGGTTTCAGGGTTCATATACTTTCTATTTGAAGTATACATACCTGCTAGCCATGGTCTACTTCTGGCTAGAGTAACTCTTGTGTAATCAATGGTGCTAGTGAAGCTTATATCAGATCCACTCTGGTTTAGCCACCCACACTGGGGGCAGAGGTAACTGCAGTTGGATCCCGGGACGGATACCCTGACACCGTCAATCCTTTTTCTGCGCCTTGTCCTCACCCACTTACTGAGGTGTGGTGAGCCCAGAAGTGGGATCATTTCCAAGTACACCCAGAGTTTGGGGATTTCAGGGGGTGTCGGCCGTTGGGCGGTTCAATAGCCAATTGAGTCATCCTTCCAAGATTCCTTTCGAGTCTCTCTCCCCTCTCCCATGGGGAGACCCACGTGACCAGTCATGGCAGTGAGCAAATACAAGCAAGGACAAGTGTGTATTTGTGTTCGACTAACCTTCCAATTGGCACAGCCAAATAGAAAATGATCAGCATTTGCATTCGCCGCTCCTGGGCAAACAAGTCTGCAATGATGGTCGGCGCAATCGTGGCATAGCTAGCTTCACCGATACCGACCAGGGCACGTAGTAGCAGTAGGGCTACATACGACTGTACACACAGGTAGGCAAACACACACACACACACACACACACACACAAACACATGCACACACACACACACACACACACACACACACACACACACACACACACACACACACACACACACACATGTACACGCACGCACACACACACACACGCACACACACACATGTACATGCACGCACACACACACACGTTCACACACGTACACGCACACTTGCAATTATAGAAACAGACAATGCCAGCAAAATGTCCAAAGACCAAAAAATGTTCTCGCAGCACCGCCTGAGAGTCCCGTGACAATTTAACAATGGCGTTGTTTTCAATTGTGGCAAGCTTACTGCAGTGGAGCAGCTAGACACATTGTTCAGTTAAATGTAAGGAATAACACTCCATTAAGAACTCAGATGGTGAGACCACAATTTCCATGTTACAGATAACACTCCAAGTCAATGAATTCCGGAATTAACGGTAGCGGCCTCGACAATATAGAAATAATTTTCTCCCAGTACGGAAAGTAGCTTACGTTAGCAAAGCTACCACCAAGCGTCGCTCCAGACCATACTATTATACCGACTGTGATGATGCGCGGTCGGTTGTACCTGTCACCCAGGTAGCCGAATATCGGCGAGAACACCATGTAACCAATGATAAAGACGCTCTGCAGCAGGCCGCCCTCGAAGTCGGTGATGCCGAAGCCGGAACACGTCTTGCAGGTACTACGCGTGCAGAAACACAATATCACACAACACATGCCCAGGCACAGATGATGACTGTATTGAGACATTCATACCACAGATGCTTCAGTCTGTAAAGTGAGAAACTTTCGCTAGAGATTAAATTTCGCTATTTTCACGACTCCGTCAACGCGGGCATGGAGCTAATGCGAGCGCGTGGCCGAGGTTGCGCTGACTAGTTGGCGGCGGCTAACCGAGCTCGACGACTTGTATACGGCCTCAGTAACGGAGCTGCCACCCAACACCTGAAACGCAACGGCTGCAGAATCTTGGAATGTTCGAGTCTGCCTTGTTCGTTCTGCCAATGTGTCATGCAAGTAATGTCTTCTCCCTGAATGTTCGGAACGTTTTTGCAAATTGTCTGTACATGTGAAAATGGGTTGGCCATCTTGTGTAGCTTTCCACTACGTGGTTCGCGGCTCAGTTTTTATGGTGGGAGATCTGCGCCAAGCCAATGCTGGATTGTTCAATAGTAGACGCTCTGCAGAGCCTGGGAGCCATTGCCCATGACAGACCAGCATGGCGAGATCTATGCATGAGGGTCTGTGCATTGTGATATTCCGACAGATCCTGAAACAGTCAAACTCAGGAAATAGCACTATCATTATCACTCAGGCTGCAATATTCATAATTATAGACATATTCATAAATGACATATCTTCAATACCCATGAGCTACATTGTATATATTATGATATAAGTATCATAATTATTATTATCATCGTTCTAGCTCATTTTTTCCCCTGTCATAGTCCTGTTTATCATGTTCAGCATAAGCGAAGTTGTGGATCATGCTTGCATGGTTGACTCCAATGCGTACATGCAAGTAATAATAATAATAATAATAATTTTCACGACCATCACACATTCGCGAATATAAATCGCCGCAAACCTCTCCGTACATTGATTGCAGACATTACAAGATCCGACTGAAGAGATAGAATTTTTGACCCGGGTCAACTGTAAACGCTCACCTATTTTGTCTATCGTACAGACTTTCAACCCGGGCTGAACTCGACCCGGGTTGAAATTTCTCATGTAAACACAGCCCTAGAAAACAAAGCTGAGCGCGCGGTCTTAAATCCTTCCGGAAAGTCCAAGACTGTGAGAAGTCGGAGAAGTGTTCTTATATCCTCTCGAAACTTAAGGAGATGCTCGGACGTACTTGGGTGCTCTCTGTGCTCTCCGAGCTTCTGAGGCGGTTGAAACTTGTGAGATTCCCACGTTTACGGATCTACGCATGCTGACTGCCACCAAATGCACGTGTGTTGTCGCGTACGCGATCTCCACATTTAATATTTGAAACCTAAAACATTTACACACGTTACGTAATTTCTCGCAGGACGTGAGCTCTCATGTTTTGATAACCAAGGCGTATGCTTGCGCTTCTGCGCCTTTTTTTTCTTTGCTCGGTTTGGAAAAGAGAGAGAGAGAATCCCGAAGAGTTTGGAGTATTTGGAGTGTATGTGCCTTATGATTGGAGTGACGGAGAGAGATCTAGAGTGTGAGATTTAGAGGTTGGTGAGAGAAGGTGCATGAGCCGTAATTAGAGTAGTAGTCCATTGAGTGTGATAGTTTTATAAGTAAGGTACATTTCAGTCTTATTCTCTCCCAACACTTTGGTGCCGAAACCTGGGACTGTCACCATGGCTGACCCATTGACCAAGAAACGGCGCACAGCAGTACAACTGAAAACTCTGGCGGAATTAGAACCAGCCGTCGAAGCAGCTATCCAAACGCCCGTCATGGACCTCACAGTGCAGGGCGCTGTGCAGCCATTGTCGACCTGCTAACACTGGCTTATGAACTGGTGCAGGGCGCTGTGCAGCCATTGTCGACCTGCTAACACTGGCTTATGAACTGGAGCAGGGCGCTGTGCAGCCATTGTAGACCTGCCAACACTGGCTTATGAACTGGTGCAGGGCGCTGTGCAGCCATTGTAGACCTGCCAACACTGGCTTATAAACTGGTGCAGGTGCAAACTTGACTCGTGTGATCGGATTTCAGGGAGCAGCGCAACACTGCCGTACAGGTATTCGGCAGCTCATTGCCAACGATTCGCTGTAAAAACAGTAATGATTGCATTTGAACAGTGTCTCCCGCAACTCTAATCTAATATAGGACAGAGTGGCAGTTTTTGATACTCTTAATTATTGCAACTGTGCTAGTATGGATAAGAGTATGTGGTGCATAATCGTTGGTGCTAAAAACTAGTTGTATGCAGAATTGCAGTGTATAATGATCTAGTCACTAGAGCTTAATTTCCCCTTTGAGGGTCGAAATTGTTGTAAGGGACCATGGATCACGAACTGGACTTTGACAGGTACTACTACTATCAGAGACACTCAGTGTTGATAACTCATATCTCATTATTATTAATTTATTATCACTATTGCAGATGCTGTAATTCGGTGTACATGTATATGGTTTTGGATTTCTTCTTGGTGGTGGAGTGTCGCGTATGCGATCTCCACATTTAATATTGGAAACCTAAAACATTTACACACGTTACGTAATTTCTCGCAGGATGTGAGCTCTCATGTTTTGATAACCAAGGCGCATGCTTGCGCTTCTGCGCCTTTTTTTTTTCTTTGCTCGGTTTGGAAAAGAGAGAGAGAGAATCCCGAAGAGTTTGGCGTATTTGGAGTGTATGTGCCTTATTGGAGTGACGGAGAGAGATCTAGAGTGTGAGATTTAGAGGCTCTGGTGAGAGAAGGTGCATGAGCCGTAATTAGAGTAGTAGTCCATTGAGTGTGATAGTTTTATAAGTCAGGTACTTATTTTCTCCCGACATGTGTTGCAGTCGCGACAAAAAAGACCATGTACATGCTCAGGTCTCTCAAAGGTCGCAGCCCGCTTGACGTTTTGCACACGAGAATTCATCGAGATCCATTTAGTTGATACTTGCCGTTTCTTCGTCTTGCAAGAGAAATGTCTTCAAGAACCAGCAGAAACGATGAGCGCACCCTTAGTTTAGCCTTCCGTCAGATTTCATTTTCTGACTGCAGGATGCAAAACCCCAGGGCTAGATAAAGATGTGGACTCTGAACTACCACAGTCCACAGCTACCGAGTGGGGTGCGGCTCAAGCCCTCCCCATGCGATGAAAAAGATGTGAATTCTGTAGCGACTACACAGTCACCAGCACGCTCAAAGTGGCCAGGCCATTAGGGGCAGTCGGTAGGCCCAGTTAGGGTCACTAGGTCATGCACTCTGGATGTGTGGGTAACCCCATACGGGCAATGTGCATACTAAATAAGGCGAGTGCATAAAGTATTACTACAAACTCGACACAAGTATGCATGACATTGTACTGTGTACTCGAGTGTGCGTCCCATTTTTCAGCAAAGCTTCCGATTAGACACGGCTGTTTTTTTGTGCGATTTCACGCCACTTAACAATATGGCTGCCGAAAGTCTCGATTGGGCTTCAATGGCAGGAAAATTTGAATTTTCAAATCGTCAGAACACGAGTAGGCCATGGTTTCCCCTGGATTTTGGAGACTAGTCACCCCGGACAGCCCGGGGAACCCGCTGATCATCTGCGTCTTGCAAAGCTTGTTTCAAGCTTTCCGCTCGTACCTCACATGACTGCCTTTCCTTCAAGAAACATTTGTTCTGTGTCGTGCGACTTTGGCTTCGTTCTGGAATACTCCTTGTGTCGTCGCTGACAAACTCGGCTCCGAGAAGCCCTTCCCGATTTTTTCCCAGGTAGAGGACTATCCTCTGGTAAGTGTCATTAGAATACGCGCGTGAACTTCTAAATACGCGCGACGAGTCAGGAGCCTGTGTTCTCTTGATTTGGAAGACAAATGGTGTGGTCCTTTAGTTGCTGTTGAGTGTAGAAGGCTGCTTCCTGCTGTAAATTGCTTAGTCGCCATGTGGGATATTGTAGAAGAAGACAGCAGCCGGCCAAGTGAGCTTGAAATTGTGATATCTACCCTAGTGTGCGTTGAACGATTACGAAATGTCTAACTTGAATGTTGTACACGCGAGCACGCCAAGCAGAGGCTGACAATCACTGGCGAGATCAATCTCCAGACTGCTAGGAGTAGTTCGAGCAAGTTTGAAGCGGAAAAAACAGCTAACTGGGCAGGCCAGGACGCCTTTCCACCCTCTTTCTCTCTCAAATTGCCGAAAAGTCGAGTATCTCGCTCGAGCGCTTTCACAACTTTTCTCTTGGTTTCGCGTCCCAAATCGTGGAACCACACGAGGATCGACATGAGTTTCTTGCAAAAACGCAAACTCATCGCGTATTTGTACTATTCGCGCAATGTTACATAAATCGCACCGAACGACGCCATATTGATAAGTGCCTGCGTGTGAACAGCCGTGTAGAGCCCAGAACTGTGCATCACCCAGTGCGCACAATACTCCAAAAAAATATTCATAGATGAAGACCTGAGCTTCTTACACATTGTGATCTGGTTTTTCATCCGGTGGATTCTCCAGCAGCGGTAGGATTCCTGCGATGCACACACACACACACACACACACACACACACACACACACACACACACACACACACACACACACACACACACACACACATGACGAGCAGACCCAGTTCACCTCGTTCTTCCCATTGTTCTTTGTTTGGTGTGGAAGAGAGCTTCATATTCGTGCAGTTTGTTATTATACTTCCTATGTTCCGTAGTGATCTGCTGCTTATGTTCCGGGAGTAAATGCAACTACTAAATTGCGTTCTACTCCGGAGTGGAATGAATCAATCGATTGTGTGTGGGAAAGCCCTAAGTGTTGACAAAGTGTATTGACCCGCCAAAGATTGTAGAGTAAAAATACAGGTACCGCAGCTCCACTGGGATTCACACATATGCATAGCAGAAGCATAACACAAGTATTTTTAAATCCCCAAACATTACGACTACCGGTATTGTACTTTCGACAGTTGCATCACGGCTTTCGCAGGATCCCCAAATCTTACCACTGATCGTAAGGCGATCCATGTAGTTGAGCAGGTTGATAGCGCACAAAATGCAGACTGTTATGACACCCTTGGTTACCATGATGAGATGCTTGCCAAAACCAGTTTACAAGAAGCAGTGAATGAACTCTCCAACACAAGCCAAACTCATCAGCAAGGCTCGCGTAGCTGGGCAGAACAGCGCCAATGAACAACGCACACCGGTGTCACAGGGACAATAAAGTATGGGAACGCGAGAATGGTAGGACCATCGCATATCTGGCAAGACAAAGAGTACTTTTTACCAAGAGTTCATAAACTCTTGCTTTTACTTATCCAAAATGCAAAATCCGGCATGCAAATTTTGTTGTTATATCAGGGAGTCGTCAAATATTTGACGACTCCCTGATCTGTATGTACGAGTACTCGAGTCAAGTGCTGCCACAAAAAAGACGTTTTTTATACACATTTTGAGTGCTTTAAAATTTTCTGGCGACGTCATGACGTCACCGATGAAACAATGACGTAAGGGTCGGGTGGCGTGGATTTTGCGGTAAAATTCAAAATGCAAAAATATAATTATTATTTTGTAAAGAGGCTGGACATATTGACATCGACAATGCCAATGCCAATAGGCCATGGGATGGTAGCAGCTCGATCGTGTCACTGATTCTCTGAATTTCTGAATCTCATCTCCCAACCCAAACAACCAGGCAGGCTAGGCTACGGCGTTGTGATACTCAAACTGCCAAGGTCAAAGTCTGCAAGAGTATTAATTGGATTCCTGTTGTGATCTGCGAGTGAACCGTACACCTGTAATCGTTGGTGTAGCTCTTCAAGAACACGCGTTCCCTTTAAAGGAGTAATGTCACTGGATTTGTTCAGAAAGGAGCTGAATTGGAAGGTTTCAGAGTAACGACTTCACTGACTTCGACAGCTGTTGCATAACTAGCACATTTGTCTAGGAAGAAAATACGACCACGTCTTTACACAGATTCTGACTGGAGATTCTGACTCTCTCTCTTGTACATGCACTCGAGGATTGAAATGTGGACTCGTGCCATAGTAGACGGAGTGGCGCTTTCTGCATCAAGTCCTTGATCTAGCTCAATGCCAAAGTTATTCACATCCATTTCTATATATCACTTCGATACTGCACACGTAGAATGGCAGCCCAATACGATGAGGACTTTTCGACTTGGTTTGAGGAATTTGCGAATACATTCGCTACTCTGTCGCCGACCAAGAGACAAGAATTCAACGAGCGCTGGTTGCAGCTCTGCTCGGCAAGTGAAGTCGCGCATCTAGCCAAGACCTGCGAGGAGATGTCGTACCGCGACTTTGTCGTGGAGCTGCCGCCAGAGCTCGTGCCGCTCATTCTGCAGCACCTGGACTGGAAGTCGCTGCTGTGTTCGATGCGTGTCAGTGCGCGCTGGCGACAGGTCATCATTGAGCGCGGTCGCGGCGTGTGGTTAAATAAACACTGGCCGTGGCCGGTGGACTTGGGCCGCCACCCGGTATATACAAGCGGGCACCGTGGCAGTGCTACTGACCCTAGTGATACTGCCGCTGTTAGTAGCGGCGGCATCAGCGCTACTTCCTCTGTCGCGGCTGCCGTTAGCAGTGGTGCAGTCTGCGCAGGCCACCCGTACGATATCGTCCTCGGCGAACTGCGCTGGCGCAAGCGTCTCGACAACCGCCTGCTGCAGTGCAACCTGACCATGTGCACGCCGAGCGAAGCAAGTGCAGAAGCTCTGGTCGAAGTGTCGGAAGGCGAGCGTCTCTCCGCCATCGCCTGGAACGGAGAGGGCCTTCTTGCTGCGTGTAAGTACAGTAGACTCCTGAGTACTGATAAAACAAACACCATTGTTCGGGAGAATTAGTTCTTTATAGGCGTATTATCTCTAATATAAGCACAGTCTCCAATAATAGCACGTCTCCAATAATAGAACACCTTGGGGCGGCATTCAAAAAATAAAGTGCTCAGTCTCCACTATAAGCACACTGTGTAAATTCATTATCTATACCGGCGAAAAAAACCCTGAAATGTGTGTGTCTGACATGAATTTGGCATGGCAACATGCCTCTGAAATGAGGTTGAAATAATAATGGAACAGTCTCCAATAAAGGAACGTCTCCATTAATAGCACGGGGCGGAGGTACATTGAAAAAATAAAGGACCGTGCTTATGTAAATAATCGACGCGGAGACAACAATTTTATAATAGCAATAAAGAGAACAAATTCTGCTGTCATCGCCACACTACAACAAAGTCATGAAGGTTTACCAAAATCGATTTTCTTGTCACAATCATCAGTGGAAAGCCGTGACTGAAGAGAAACCATGCTGAATCAATGATTAATATACATTCAATAATGTGTTACGAGAACAAAACAAAGTGCTAAAATAGAATGAGGGAAGGTGAGACAATAGAAGTGAAGTGAGAGCTAAGTGCAACAGGGGTGAGGAACTAATTGCAACGCTAGAACTGTGTAGTGAGACAAACAATCATGCTGTGCACCTGCGAAAACAATCTTTTAAAACGCAACTACATGTTTCTTCTGCTTACAAAGATCAGGCTTATGCAAACGAATACAAACAGCCTCAAGTACTTTCAACTGACTAGCGTACCGTGCACGACAAAGCACAGAAAAACTAAAATCATCATACACCTGCAGACACTTAGGGTGAGACAACAGATGAAGAAAAACGGCAAACTTCTTACGATCACATTCGTTTGCATAAGCCTGATCTTTGTAAGCAGAAGAAACATGTAGTTGCGTTTTAAAAGATTGTTTTCGCAGGTGCACAGCATGATTGTTTGTCTCACTACACAGTTCTAGCGTTGCAATTAGTTCCTCACCCCTGTTGCACTTAGCTCTCACTTCACTCCTATTGTCTCACCTTCCCTCATTCTATTTTAGCACTTTGTTTTGTTCTCGTAACACATTATTGAATGTATATTAATCATTGATTCAGCATGGTTTCTCTTCAGTCACGGCTTTCCACTGATGATTGTGACGAGAAAATCGATTTTGGTAAACCTTCATGACTTTGTTGTAGTGTGGCGATGACAGCAGAATGTGTTCTCTTTATTGCTATTATAAGACCGTGCTGATATTAGAGATAATACGGGTAACCAAAGTTCTTTATAGCCCAAGTTCTTTATAACCAAAGTTCTTTATAGCCAAAGTTCTTTATAACCAAAGTTCTTTATAGCCAAAGTTCTTTATAACCAAAGTTCTTTATAACCAAAGTTCTTTATAACCAAAGTTCATTATGACAGAACTGCACTTATACTGTGGGTTCAAACTGGGACATAGCCAACGGTTCGCTATATCACGAAATTCGCTATATGATGCGAGTTCGTTATAAGTGGAGTCGACTGTACAATGTCATGTACTTGCAGTGCACATGCTATACAGTACTGGAAAAGCACATACATGTACAAGTACACATACACATACACATACACATACACATACACATACATGTACGATGCTGATCAGGGAAATCCGATCGCGTGAGTCAAGTCGGCGCCGGACGCTGTGGAGCCCTGGACGTGTGAACATTGGACCGTGAAATGGTGCAGGGTGTACACTTGACTCGCACGATCAGATTTCATTGAGCAGCACTGACTGTACATGATTGTGTTTGTACTTGTATCTACACACAAGCTTTCTACTGGTCTTCCACTAAAATCTTCCTTTGCTCGCCATTTTTTTAGTTTTGCAGCTGGGAGATGGTTGAGTTGGCATGCTTTCCTTTCGTCTTCATGGCTGAGCTGTTTCACGCAACTGAAGAGCTTGAATCGAGTCTGTGTGTCCAGTTCTTAATGGTTGATACATCGTGCATCTCGTTTGCATGATCTTCACTTTACTGGAATCCACTGCCAGGGAGAGTAAAAGTCATGAGCCACCCTGACCATGTGTCCTTCCTCCAGCACAACATGCAACATACTAATTCCACATATTTCGCTCTTCTATCTCTTTCTCTCTCTCTCTCTCTCTCTCTCTCTCTCTCTCTCTCTCTCTCTCTCTTTCTCTCTCTCTCTCTCTCTCTCTCTCTCTCTCTTTCTGTCTTTCTTCCTCTCACTCATCAGTCCCACACCATCCGCAAGGCGTTATATGCCGCGTGCTCAACCCCAAGCCTTTCTTAGGCATTGCTGAGACTACACCACTGTCGTTCAGTGTTCCCGGTGGCTGCCGTAAGGCCAAGTTTCTTCGTCCAAACGATCTATTCCTGGCATCGTACAGTGCGTTTCACATCCTCAAGGTTACATTTGACAATGATTTGAAGACAGTTGAGCAAGCGTTTCACGGACACACCAACTTGGGTAAGGTTTTGAGCACAGTGTCTTTAGTACAATGCGTTTTCATGTCTTTTTAGTGCTGTCATCATGCATCACTTGCAGCAACTGGCTGTAGATGTTTTGGTGTATGTGTGTACGAGTATGTGCTTTGGGAGCTGCTAGTCTATTACAAAAGTCCAGACCTCTCGTTTAAAAAACCCCGTTTGGCCAGCATCTATATCACATCAAATCTGTGATCACTTTGTGCTTAAAATTTCCCAAATTGGGCGTCTGTTATTCAATCGCTTAGAAATTTATACGAGAAAAATTGCGTGAGCTACCTGAGCAATATTCCGAAGAAATTTCTCAAAAAGCTCGAGCCAAATTTGAATTATTCGAAAAGTCCAGAGGTCTATACTTTTGAAACACACTATAGTCTGTTGCGATGCACTTGCTCTGCGAGAACATATCCGAACTTTTGGTCCACGGTAGCCTTTGTGGCTTCTCAGTTGGCGTGCGCGTACAGTTATCCGTAGTGCACTTGTGTACATCGCGCACGCATAGGTACCGGATAGACAAGCTTGAACGACATGTACGTACAGTTTGACTGCTTATTTGGAGTAAAGGTCCTCCTAAAGACGGTTTAAAAACACCGGATAAATGTGGTGACATTTTACAGGCGGCGGTAGGTCTCTCTAGAAATCTTTCATGAAATCGAGGTTACTGGATTGTAGACATCTGACTGTACTGTGTATTGCTGATACCTGTACTGAAGTACTTGAAGTATATCTGCCGCCTGTAGCATTGCCTATTGTTTAATGCGCTTTGTTTGTTTTTCGTCACTGTCACCAGTGTTGGACTTCGTAGCGCTGGAAGGACCCGGGGGCAATCATCTCGTGTCGTTATCGCGTGATCAGACCGTCAAGCTGTGGGATTACACCACCGCAGAGTGCTGTGTCACGGTTAACTTGGACCCAGCACTCAAGCCTGTCTCAGGTCAGTGCCACTAGGTATTGTGTGTGACCTTCGGAAAAGGATCTGGGCAGTCGTCATTGCCCTAGGAATGGATGCTTTAGATCTGAACACCGCCACTATTGCCACTGAGTTTTGTGTGACGTTCCGAAAAGGATCTGGGCAGCCACCATTGCCGTCAGATGTTTTAGATCTGCAGACCGCCGCTACTGCTTGTGTTTCTAGGCCCGCGGTGTGCTCACAGAAGCAGCCGTAGGCGCTTGTAGGAGATTTCTCTTGAGTACCGAGTGTATTTCTATGTTCACTCATCGCTGTACATGTACCGTCTGTGTGTGCATGTGTGTGTGTGTGTGCGTGCGTGCGTGTGTGTGTGCGTGCATGTGCGTGTGTGTGGTGTATGTGTGCGTGTGTGTTTGTGTATTTGTTGTGCAGTGGCCGCTGGGTGTCTGGCCAGCGGACCATCAAGCGCCGGCCAAGACTCCATTGCTGTAGCCGTGTACTTTCAAGAGTGTGTCAAAGTAAGCACGGGCTGAAGTACAGTAAAACCTGCAACTAAAGACCACCGTGACTAGCGGCCAGCCTGGTACTACAGTAAAACCTGTAACTAAAGACCACCGTGACTAGCGGCCAGCCTGGTACTACAGACCACTTTACCAGGCACGGACGGTCTCACATTCATATATTATGGTTGTGCGGTGCAAACCTCTAACTAAGGACCACCTGCCACTAAAGACCGCTTTCTCTGGCCCCAAGGCAAGGGGTGGTCGTTAGTCACAGGTTTTACTGTAGTCGTGTAGCTTGCCATTGCCCTTCAGCACTCTTTCAGAAGTTCAGTGAAACCTGTCTCAGACGACCGCTCAAGGGACCTTCGAAACAACGTGGTCTCTGTTACCAGGTAGTCTCCTTATCCAGGGTCGTTTGACTGGAAATGGCATCCCTTGGTCCTGGTTGCAGTGGTCTTCTGGGACAGGTGGTCGCCTTATCCGAGTGGTCGCCTTGACAGGTTTTACTGTAATAGCTAATAGTTGGTCACCTTTTTTTATTCTATTGGCTTGTTGCTTTTAGTGTCCGATCGGTTCTTTGAGGCGCGAGGAGTAAACTCCACATTGCTTCTTTTCTCATTTGTTCCCGCAGGTGATATGTCTATATTCTAATGGCTCGTTCCGTTTGTGTGTGGTCGGTTTTTTCAACTTGTTTGAGAGACGAGGAATAAACTTCACGTTAGTTCTTTTCTCATTTGTTCCTGCAGGTGATATGTCTATATTCCAATGGCTCATTCCATGTAGTGTGATCTGTTCTTTGAGGCGCGAGAAGTGAACTCCACGTTTCTTCTTTCCCCGTGTGTTCCTGCAGCTGATGTGTATCCCGATGGACGTCAAGCAGATTCTGGCGGCTGAGGGGCCGCACGTTTTGCTGCGTGTGAGCGGCTTCAAGGGTCCGGCGAAGGGTGACGTTGTGCTGCTACGCGGTCACACTCTCTACTTCACCGGCGTGACCAGCGTGGTGGCCGTGCACCTGAAGCTCAGCCAGGACGGCCAGGTCCTCTCGCACACCGTCAATCGTCTACTACTGTGAGTTTACATGATGTAGCGTAGTGCTAGTGAGCAGTTGTTTAGGGGCCATCCGGCATTTAATTTCGATAATTTTCACGAACGAAAAAGTTTAGTTATGACCCTCGCCCGCCCTCCTGAACAAAACATATGTTTTACTTGACAGCTAGAATGGATTTATGTTTCAGCTATCAATATTTTTCGAAACGAAACTCACACAAAATATAGTTTTTACTTGACAGCTAGAATGGATTTATGTTTCAGCTATCAATTTTTTTTAAAACGAAACTCCTCGACCCACCCACCCATAAACGAAACTTTTAAAAGATCGATAATTCTGGACGGCCCCTTACGGTGAAACCAAGGTTATGTACTCTTGGTGAAACTGACGAATACTGGTATCACAGTAGTAACAGCACCCACCCACACTACCTAGTGGTCTCCAGGTCTCCAGTGGCAGCGGTGCAAATGGTCATACACTCAAACGTCTCTTATCCGGACGCCTCAGATACGGGCACGTCTCTCTACCGGGCACCTTTAACTTGAGTTCCTACGGCAAAAATGCTTCGAATTTCGGGGAGTTGAACTTTCTTTGTATGCGCAAGTGCTTATTTGTCACTGCCAACCTGTGTAATCCACACATTTTTATCCATGCATTCTTTTTGTATCCTGAACATATGCCTATGTGCCAAATATACCTCTTCAAAAAAAAATGATATGATACATGGTAATTTGAAATTCGGATATTGAGCCAATGATAAATTATTAATGTAGAAAGGAAAAAGGATACATGGAAACGAGTTAAGACTAAAGCTGTGTTCACAACTGGCGCGTGTACGCGTGAAACCACGCGTTTGTGCGTATTTTTGCTGGCTTTTGGGGCGCCATGCGTACGGAAACGCGCCGAAATGGAACTTCCAACATGTTGGAATTTTCAGCGCGTATCAGGCGCGTATCAGCGTACATGCCAGTCACTTTGACTGGCGGGGTCAAAAAATTAGTACTTGAAGGTGTCGCACGCGCTAAATACGACTCGGATTGCTGTTTTTTGTGAAAGGCTGAGCGCGCATTTGGGGGCGCATGAACCGCAAGCGTACCGCGTCCATGCGCCAGTTGTGAACACAGCTTAAGAGTAACTCTCTACCACTGTAACTAGATACTATATACAGTCATAAAGTGCAACAACTAGGCACAAAACTGACAGAGTACTGAGACATTCGACGTCCTGACACCTAGCTTCAACACATCTCCGCAGCGCTAACCGACAGCTTTCCAACTCGGAAGGTTCAAGGTTATGGAAAGACCAAAGAGGGGAAGGTAAAAAAAACGTACGTCGTGTGAAACAACTTGTTTTGTAGTCAACTAGTCCATCACAATGTCATGCATGAGGAGTACTATAGGGGTTTGGCGTTCGGCTGGTACAATTTGTTCCGCCAAACTTCCCCCTTCTGTACTTATCTTTGATATTTCTGAGCCACCTAAGTTGGGTGGTGTGCTGCTTTGCTGCTTCGAATTGTAGTTAGACCGCTTTGTCAAGTATCCTCCTGGTCTTGTCATCGTCCAGTAACAATCGACATTCTTTGTTCCGTTGGGACTGTAGCTTGTGCTCATTTTCGTTGCGCTTACCTTCCCCTCTTTGGTCTCTCCATAACATTGAACCTTCCGAGTTGGAAGGCTGTCGGTTAGCGCTACGGAGATGTGTTGAAGCTAGGTGTCAGGACGTCGAATGTCTCAGTACTCTGTCAGTTTTGTGCCTAGTTGTTGCACTTTCTGACTGTATATAGTGTCTAGTTACAGTGGTGGAGAGTTACCCTTAACTCGTTTCCATAATGTCCTTTTTCCTTTCTACGATACATGGTAGATGAGTTATCCTGAGATAGATACGGGCAAATCTGAAATTCGGGCAGTGCCCGGTCCCAAGGTACCCGGATAAGAGACGTCTGAGTGTACTCACTTTGAGGCTCATTCTCGTTGAATTCAGCTAGAGCTGTACCTGCATGCTTTTCTGTTTGAAGGGGTTTGGCACCACGGTTACTTGACCAGGTAACGAGTTTCTCACTGAGCCTTGCTGAAGGCCCCTTCACTACTCTTTCCCTGCACACCTCACCCACCTGTGATATGACAGGCTATTGACTTCCATGAATGCCAATCAAGGATGCAGAAATAAGTACAGTAAAGCTCCCCAGATCCGGACGCCCCTAATCCGGGCACACCCATCTACCAGGCACCTTTCTGACCCATCTACTTTGAAGTAGAATCACAAAAATTGGCTTTTCAGCGAAAACGGCCCAAAAAAACTGTTGATTGCCATAAAATATGTTTTGCTTGCATGCAGTAAAGTATGCAAGTTCTGAGTCACGGGCAGTGCTCGGTCCCAACCTGCACAGGTCTGAGGAGTTTTGCTGCATGGGCTCCTTCAATCTGAGTGGGAGCCGTGGTATCGTGGCCGCGGACTCGGTCGGATGCCGTGGCAGAACCTTCCTCAGAGCCAGCTGAACACATGGCCTTTCTACGTAGACACTCGCCAACTACTGTAGTCTGCCCTAGCACTGTTTGGTGCCCGGGGTGACAGGTTTTGGGGAAGAAGTTTTCTCTTTGCATCGCGGCGGGCTTTTGCTGCAGCTCCAGTGAACTGCTGCTGCATGCAGGGGAGAGGAAGAGGCGACAGGCACGTACTGTGTAGTAGTATAGGGGTTTAGTGAGGTCAAGTTGGTGTCTAGACTGATATACCGTACTCGGCGGTAATGTCTTGTATAAAAGCCTGTCTCGTGTAGAAACCTGTTTTGAATACAAGCCTGATTTTGAAGATGCACTGTCGGCACATAAGCCTGATTTTGGTGTTGACACACATAGAAATACCTAGCTTGAATACAAGCCTGATTTGAATAGAAGCCTAGCCCAGACATTGGCTTCTACTGGAATGAGCCCTGCTTTTATAGGCGACATTACGGGTATCTTACTGCTTGTAAGTATTTGGCGTAGACAATAGGTATGTGTGTTGATAATGCTTATCGTGATATTGTAGTATTGTAAATTTGTAATGGCTTCAGCAACACGATTTTGATGAAGAGAAATTGACCTGTGCATAGCCAGTACTCAGTGTTTTCTGTGTGTGCGTGCGTGCGTGCGTGTGTGTGTGTGTGTGTCTGTATCTATGTGTGCATGCGTGGGTGATATTTACGTTCCGGTGCCCAGCGATACTAAATCGCGCCTGCAGGCTATTGTGCCAGTTGCTTTGCACCCGCTGTCAGCTGCCTCGGATCACGGTGTCCTGTATGCTCTGTCAGACCTGTCCATATGGCAGTGGACCGACGATGGACAGGGCGGTCGCAGTGAGATGGTAAAGCGCGATCGCCTATGCCCAGGACTGCGTGACTCGCGCATCAAGGCGGCGCACCCGGGCCTTGTCTGTTTGAACTGGCCGCTAATCACGGCACGTACGGTGGCCGTGTCGCGGCCCGTCATTATCAGCTCGCCATCGGGCTTCCTCTCGTTTTCGTCTTTCTTCTTGGAGAACAACAGTCGCAATCCATCAGAGACTGCAACAGTATGAGTGCTCAGACCGCGAGAATCGCCCCGATTGTTTTGAAACGAATTGGGAGACGTCCGCATTGTCGATGTGAAGCAGGTGAAGCAACCCGAATGGCGGAGATGGCAGAGGATCCTGTTGTCCATCATGATGCAGGGTTCACCAGTAGCATGACAGAGCTGGTATCGGCAGCTATCACTGGCTAGCTCTAAACAGTCCAAACACCACTGTCTGGGGGGTCATGCACCTGCAAGTATGTATACCGACTAAGTGCACTGCTGTACAACAAGCATTCAGCAATGCTGCTGATGATGATGATGCCGGTGTTGTGCTAGTATGTATACCGACTAAGTGCAACAAGCATTCAGCAATGCTGCTGATGATGATGCCCGTGTTGTGTCAGTATGTATACCGACTAAGTGCAACAAGCATTCAGCAATGCTGCTGATGATGATGCCCGTGTTGTGTAAGTATGTATACCGATGAATCTCACTGCTGTGCAATGAGCATTCAGCAATGCTGACAATGTCTGTGTTACAAGGACTTGCCTGGTCTCTAGCCTTGTGACTGTCAGGTGGAATTCATCCGAGCGATTTCATTGCGTCGTGGTGGAAGGATGGTTGTTGTTGCCGCTGCTGTTGTCATTGTCGGCACTGCTGTTGTTGCCATTGCTGCCATAATCACAGTCAGCGTTAGCTTTCATGTCTCCGTAAGACAAGGTAGCTCAGACACTGGCATTGGCTAAGTACATGCCTGCTAGTGACGGAGCTGTACCGTCTCGACCTCTGCAAGCGCTGCTGCTATGGACAGCGCCCCGGGCCAGTAACCTGAGCAAGAGATGTATATATTCCCATGTTGCCCTGTATTGTGATTCACATGTTGCTCTTTCTCTCTCTCTCGCCATCGACGTGACTAACTGCCGGGCTGTGCCCCATGGTCTGAATGTGGAAGTACATATCAGCCTTTGCACTGCCAATCTTGGATCACTACAGCCTGGTGGAATACTTGCTGTTCCTGCATCACCAATCACGGATCAGTACAGCCTGGTGGCATACTTGCTGTTCCTGCATCACCAATCATGGATCACTACAGCCTGGTGGAATATTTGCTGTTCCTCCATCGCCAATCACGGATCAGTACAGCCTGGTGGCATACTTGCTGTTCCTGCATCACCAATCACGGATCACTACAGCCTGGTGGCATACTTGCTGTTCCTGCATCACCAATCACGGATCACTACAGCCTGGTGGCAATCGTTCTGGTCCTTCACTGTAACCGGATTCCGTCCTCGGTATCACTGCTGCAATATAGTTTTGGAAATCACACCATCCCACGCTGTTATAACGTACGCTTTCAATGATGTTCTTAGTGCTGCGCTGTGTAGTTTTTAACAATGCATGTAACGTGTTTAGCCTCCAGCTGCTGGTCGGCCAGGAGTAGGTAGTTCACTAGGTTCTTCTCAATAGTAACACTTGTCTAGACGCTCACACTGTGTTCAGCAGCTGCTGTGTTCAGTAGCTGCCGTGTATACATGCAACCTGAGCTGAGCTGCACGCTGTAGCAGTGTATACATGCAACCTGAGCTGAGCTGCACGCTGTAGCAGTGTATGCATGCAACCTGAGCTGAGCTGCACGCTGTAGCACACGGCAGACTGCTGTGCACGTAAACATTCACGATGACGTATTCCAGCCTCGATCTCTAACCGATATGACTAACAGGCAGTGAGCTGTGTGACGTTGTTTGGCTTCGTATCTACATGCACTCAGTAGTTGTGTCGTTACCAGTGTTGTTTTATTGGTTTTATCTTGCTTCCATGTCCTCTGCTCGTCACCTCCTTCCGCTGCACACCTGCTACCGCTGTCCGCTGTCCAACGAATGCCATCCTAAGCATAGTGAGTACGTCAAAGTGCATTGTGTGCAGTCATGTATATACGACTGTCGCTGTGTGTGTGTACGTGTGTGTGTGTACGTGTGGGTGTGGGTGTGGGTGCGTGTGTTTTGGGGATGCGGCATGGGTAACCATTGGTAAATTCCATTATGGGTATATACCCTTGTATTTCATGTGTTCTTGTACTAAGTAACAGTAAAGTTGTAGGTTGTCTGTTCACTCTTCCAGGTGTAGTTGTTTTGGTAGATTTTTCTTTTGACCAGACGAGACCAGACGACGCTTGCAGACACCAGCACGCTTGTCTGCAAGCGTCGTCAGGTCTCGTCTGGTCAAAAGAAAAATCTACCACTACTATTTGACGGACCTACTGAAGATGGCATCAAGAAAATTGTAGTTGTTTTGCCCATTATTGATTTTACTGGGTTAGTGTTTTGCCAAGGTGTTCACAGCTATACTATAGTGCTTATGCGTATCCCCAGGCCAGTAGCCCCACATACCCATTGCATGGCATTGCTCCATACAACTACCAACTAGCTAGGCCTAGGGTAGAGCTGCATGCATTGCCGAGGAGAACGATGGTATTCGTGCTAGCAATAGTGCATGATTCTACTTGTTTGTTTGCCTTCTGGTGTACTACAGTGTAAATATAGGCCGGCTACTCGAGTTGGGCAGGTGCACTCGTCTCTAACGTTAGCAAGGAGTGGTAAATACACAGTAGTTAACTACTCACTGGTTCCTGTAGTCTTGTCTTGGTGCTGGACATGCCAGCCTGGTGAATGAATATTCGTCTTTTGCACCAGGGTCTAGGCTCCCCGTTGTATTGTCAGGTCCTGTCTTCCCATTACGTTCTCTGCTGGACCATGGACTTCAGTATTTTAAACAAAACAAAACTTTATGACTTGTTTGCATTTCCAGTTGTGTTCTTGTCTTCATGACAAGTGACATGTAGCCATAGGCATGGGTTCTATCAGCTTGCAGCAACTTGTACTTGTATAAAAAAAACAAAAAGAATAGAATGGGATACAGAGCTTAACTTTCCATGTGTACTTGTATATCATTATACCCCCCCCCCGGAGCACACTCATTTTCTATGCAGGCATGGAGCGTAACCATGCCAGCAGTACCTCAGTGGTTACTGGGAATACATATATGGCCGCCACTGTTTTCATGGTTAGATCGCTGGGCACTGATGCACATTGATGCTGGTCCTAGCAAGAGGGGAAGGGGGTTATGTACTCTTGGTCCTAGTCCTAGCAGGGGGGGGGGGGGGGGGGCGGGAGTATGTACTCTTGGTCATAGTCCTAGGGGGGGAGTATGTACTCTTGGTCATAGTCATCACACTGGATGGCACTGGTACCAACAGAGGCCTTGACTGTCATATCACTATTGTCATTGACTTGTCTACATGCCCAGAACAGTGATATCAGTGGATCTACAAGAACGGAAAAGTGCCTGTGTGTAGCAGTATATTGAACTATAATAATTATGTTCGGTCAATATCCGATGGAGGGAGGGGGGGGGGGGGGGGGGGACAAAGCTGGCCTGGAAACAAGAGCACAGCACTGAGCACAGCACTGAGCACAGCACCGTGAGCACAGCACCGTGAGCACAGCACCGTGAGCACAGCACCGTGAGCACAGCACCGTGAGCACAGCACCGTGAGCACAGCACCGTGAGCACAGCACCGTGAGCACAGCACCGTGAGCACAGCACCGTGAGCACAGCACCGTGAGCACAGCACCGTGAGCACAGCACCGTGAGCACAGCACCGTGAGCACAGCACCGTGAGCACAGCACCGTGAGCACAGCACCGTGAGCACAGCACCGTGAGCACAGCACCGTGAGCACAGCACCGTGAGCACAGCACCGTGAGCACAGCACCGTGAGCACAGCACCGTGAGCACAGCACCGTGAGCACAGCACCGTGAGCACAGCACCGTGAGCACAGCACCGTGAGCACAGCACCGTGAGCACAGCACCGTGAGCACAGCACCGTGAGCACAGCACCGTGAGCACAGCACCGTGAGCACAGCACCGTGAGCACAGCACCGTGAGCACAGCACCGTGAGCACAGCACCGTGAGCACAGCACCGTGAGCACAGCACCGTGAGCACAGCACCGTGAGCACAGCACCGTGAGCACAGCACCGTGAGCACAGCACCGTGAGCACAGCACCGTGAGCACAGCACCGTGAGCACAGCACCGTGAGCACAGCACCGTGAGCACAGCACTGAGCACAGCACTGAGCACAGCACTGAGCACTGCCGGAGTGAATACTAATACAGTGTACGTATGGTGACTGGACGTTGGATGGACTACCATCATGCACATGTACCAGTGTGTACAGTCAGCCTTGTACTTTCCAGTCAAGACAACCAATCTTGTTTTCAAGTCGCGGAAGAATGCGAAATTGGAACGTGCTAATGAGGCCTCCGGTTGGTGGATCTGATCTCTCCTCCCCCACCGTTTAGGAGCCGCATCTGACGCCTGATCATGGGGTGGTGGCGTCCCACGGAAGCGGAAAGGTGGTTCTTGGCCAGGGAGTTGTACGACTCCTTGTTCTTGACCTGCCCGGTACCGGAACCCGTCGAATTTATTTGTTTATTTTAATGAGGCCTTGCCCCGCACTGACTGCCCATTTATTGGGCGTCTAGAGCCGAGGTGTCCGATTTTGGGTGAAAAGTGTTTTTGGTAGCCCCGAACATAGCAGTACTACACATAGCGGCTATAAAGCCCATGCAGCATTGCAGGAAGGTGTACCGTTCTGCTGGCGGCACCCTATATTGGTGGGATAACAATGATGTCAGTCTTCATCATGTCACATTGTTCATTTTGGTCATTGGTCTATTGGCTATTATACGCCCATGGCCTATAATAGCCAAGGGGTTGGGTTGGCTCTTGTCGGTCTTACTTTTCAGCCTCAAACACTTGGAACTTGGAAGCTGACTAACGATTACGTTAGCAGACGAGACCCGTCACCATCATTTATTAATTTTTTTCATTTCGGCTAATATCTCCTAGCTCCTGTGTCTGTACCAGTCTTTGTCTTGATCAAGCCGACGGTGAGACATACATAGGGGAGCTGCCATGTGTCGTACAGGGGTGTGCGCCCTCCTCCCGGCATCGGAAGTACAGCTCGCTCGACTCGACTCTACTGATCAGATCTGAGTGAAGAGCTACAACTACTACTTACTAGTAACTGTTGTAAGTAGTAGATCTACAAGACTACTAGTAGTGCAGGACCCATACCTTTCATCTGGTGAGTTGGACTGTCATGAGAGAGGTTGTGCCTGTATTTAAACCTGGGTATCGTGGCCGCTCTGGTAGCGAGCGGGTAGATCTACCGAGTGTGTCGATCGTTCGTCTTGCGGAGGGCTGATGATGGCTGGGAAATCAGACAGCGGTTACGTTACACGTGGCATTTCAAATATTTTGTCCCGAGGTCGAGAGTTCGCAATGGGCGGAGAGCAATTGCGGGAGCTATGCATCGAGGACGAGCTGCACAACTACTAGCTGAGGGATCATTTTGAACTCGAAGAATGACCTCGAAGAAGCCTGGACTAGCTTCAGAGATGGTGGCCTGTCTGCTGTACGACCGCACCTGCCCACAGAGTACCAAAGTACACCAAATCGAGCTGCAGGGTGCGCTAGGGCCGTGATTCCGTGCACCGAGTAGATATTCTACCTCTGTCAGCCATGACATGTCCCATCATAGCGGTTAGCTTGGCCATCTGTCGTCGACTGCCGCATGCCGGGGTATTTCTCGTTCACCCATGTTCACGTGAAGGCGCCATCCGCGACTTTGCCTTGGCTGTTTGCGCTGAAGGGAAAGACATAAAGTCCCTGGCAATTAGTTTGTCATGTGCTGTGCGCTCAAGCACTATCAGCCGACAGTGCATGTCCGGATCTCCCCGCAATCCCCGCGCTCTCCGCGAAATGTCAACTACTTCGACGCGTGAGCATGTTTGCCCGCGTAATCAACGTATTCGACTATTGATAAAGTGATCTTCGACTTCTTCATGATGCTTTTCCTGGAGAAAATCATCTCGGACGCAGCGCTTTTCAGGCTATCGCTCCTCCATTGCGTTCGGAGATAGCAAGGGTAGCGGTTCTCAGGGAGTTGGCTGCAGGACAACACTCAGTCGCCTTGACTCCACCACCACCACCACCGCGCTGCCTCAGCAGTGATGTGAGCCAGGTGAGTCATTGATTTGCTTTGTGCACGAGGTACTCCGTAGCAATAAGTACAAACACACATAGTGGCGAGATTAGGTTGTGCAATATGCTTGGTTGCGTGTACTAGCAATTAGCTGCTGTTTTTAGCCAGCATTCGACTACAGCGGCACAGCCGAGACTGTTGTGGCTATCATTATAACACAAAACAAAAATACCCGGTGCGTTGATGGGATTGGATGGAGTGCAGATCTCCTGTAGCTAGTGTAGGCGATTACTGAGTGCTGCTCGCTTGAAACAAGTGTGCGCCCTGCACCAATTCGCCATCCCAGACTGGCAGTGTTCGCAGGTCCAGGGCTGCACGGCGCCCGGCGTGGCATTCACACGCTCGTGGTCAGATAACACCGAGCAGCACTGCGCATGCATGTGTGCATGTAGGCTTTGGACCGATCGGGAGAGTCACAGTTACCCCTGTTACTGAGTCGTGGTGCATTAACTAGCACAATTGCAGTGTTCACGAGGCCTGCACTGGCTGCAGAGATTCACGCTGCTGCTTGTTGACGCCGTTTCTGCTGATCCGATATCCGATGTATGGCCGCCGTGGGACTACACAACTAGTACTCCAGGAAGGTTGTGTAGGGGAAGTGGAGAGGCCGAATGCTCACTGGTGAGGCTACCAGAGCATTCACTGCCTTGCCTGTGGTGTGCTGGGCATGTACTGTGCCTGCAATAGTAGATCTGCTGGTCTCTGTCTGAAATGCACTGCCGAATATGGTCACTGTCACAGCTGCCCTGCAAGGCTGCATGCTGTGCGCGTGTAGTCCGTCTGCGTCCCGTACTGCACCTTGATAGCCGTGTGTGTGTGTGTGTGTGTTTGTGTGTGTGTTTGTGTGTGCGTGTGTGTGTGTGGTGCATTATCATCCAGCCACATCACATCAACACAGTATTATAAGGACAGCCTTGCCAGGATTCTGTTCCATCCCTAGCTGCTCTCAGCTTTGCCATCTTGGCTGTGATGTATGACACTGGCGATGCTGACACTGCCTTGCACCCCCTCCCCCCCCCCCCCCCTCACACAATGGAAATGCAGTGGAGCATCTTTCTGTCCTGGAGCATAATGAGCAGTGGAATGCACTATCCTTCGAAGTGTGCACTCCAAGATATGATTTTATGGGACTCCCGGAATGACAAAAATGTTACGAGTTATGACTAACTGTCCACCAACGTAACCGGATCATATACAATCATGACTCAGAACATGTTGTTCTTCCTCCTATCCGGGATTACATTGGCTCGCCATCCGAATCAAAAGACATGTGATTGTCATTGAAAACTGTATTGTTTCAAACTACAGGTGCCTGCCAAGATATTGACGTATGCCGGTAACACGGGCTAACAATAGCAGCATCCACCTCTTCAGCTTGCCGGCAGGAGCTTGGAGATGCACCGAAGGCAGTAAGTGCTGCATGACACATCGTAAAAAATAAAAAAATAAAGTAAATTATCGTGTCCGTTCCCGAAGGGAACTCACGACGGTCGCTAACACCCGATAAACCCTAGTGGTTGTGAGACTTATCCACTCACCCCCACCGTTAGGCGCTGCATCTGCCGCTAGGGTTTATCGGGTGACGCATCGTACCCGTGACCCAATTTTCGTCAGATGATCGATTCAGTTCGTGAAACTGAGAGTTACGAAACAGCAACGGCTCGTACTTCTGTCCGTGTGCCACTCAGTTCTGCGTAATTGCCGGTAAATGTGTACTTACAATTATACAGTCATGCGCTTCAGTGGTGTACATATACTTCTGCCAAAGTATGGCGCAATAAGGAAGTTCCGCCATGGGTGAACCCATCACTGCTCGAGATAGCAGTTCTGCGTTCATGGTTATGTCCTCTTGCTGCCACCTAACTCCAGGTTGCCAAGCCGCTCTGCATTCGGCCTACCATGCCGAAGTACGGGTGTACGAGTAACCCTGCTGGCGGCTTCTATACCTTATGAGCATTGTTTTGTGTTCTGTTTGATGTTGCTATCGCTGTTGTCCTGTTTAGAGCCAACGGTGATCAGCATGGGTCGCTTTATGAGATCTGCAAGCGTGGGGACCTCGTGGCACTGACAAGGTTGCCTATCAATGACATCAAGAAGGGGCTTGGAGTGAAGATAACTGTCGCCAGGTAAGACTAGCCACATGGAATTCGACAAGTTTCTTTCTTTCACGGTGGCGACCAAAGCAGTTGATGACCATCCGTATCTGACAGTCATGTGCATATGTGTGTGTGTGTGTGTGTGTGTGTGTGTGTGTGTGTGTGTGTGTGCATGTGTGTGTGTCTGTGTGTGTATGTGTGTGTGCGCGTGTGTGTGTGTCTGTGTGTGTGTGCGTGTGTGTGTGCACGTGCACACGCACGTGTGTTTGCATCCAAATGCATCCTCAGGTACACACCACTGCACATTGCTACGGTAAAGGGCCATGTCAAGATCCTGGAGTACTTACTCGACAAGGTCGAGGTAATGTTGTGGAGCACCACATACCCATTACATGCATTGGCACTCCCCCCCCCCCCCCAAACACACACACTCACTCGCACACGCACACACACACACACATCTTTTTAGTGCAAGGCTAGGCTAGGCCAGGCATGGTCATTCGTATGCGTTGTAGGTCATTGATGTGAGCGCAGGGTTGCTTGGCTTTTCCACTGCTTGTTGCCTCCGGGGCTGCACGTGTGCCGGTCCACAGCACCTTGGTGCATGACACTTTGCCCGGTCAATACAGAATTCCGCTTGGTACGGGGGCAAACACAGGTTTTACTTTATGATGGGATTGAATACCGATGTTCTGATTGTCCTTAGTGCAAACATGTGCACAGCTAACCCGGACGTGCAATCAGTGTTGTCTTGCTTAGAACTCAGTAAGTTCTTCTCTCCGTGTCTCTCTGCTGGCAGGACCTTGATCCGAACGTAGTCGACCACACCAAGCGTACTCCTCTGCACTTGGCCATTGCCAATCGCCAGTTGCTCTGTGCTGACGCTCTTCTCGCCTACAAACGTGCCAACATCAAGCTCAACCAGCCAGACGGCTATGGCAGGGGAGCGGTGCGATGCGCCCACGCCCTGAGCCAGGAAATCGACGGCAACTCGTTCTTCTACTTGCTTGTCCTTGCCACATGTAAGAAGTTGTAGTGTTGCATTGGGTAACAAGCCGGGAAGTGCGGCTGGGGCAAGTGAAGCGGCCTGCGCCGATGTGCGTTTCCAGTGCAGAAGGCCGTCCTGTCACAACATTCTCTTGAAACGCACTCTCTAGTTTAGCCGCACATCCATTTTTTTACATATCTAAAAATGACTATCCAATAACTTCAATAAGCCCATTGCGCATTCCCAAATATGGAAGGTATGAGTAATGCATGTGAGTACGCTGGGATCAGCAATGCACTGTTCAACACCCCACACGACCATACCCAGTTGGCTGTGTGGGGTGTTGGTGATGAAAATTACGTAATTAGTACATATCGTTTTGTACACAACGACTTCAAATGTTAGCGAATTTTTTAAATCGTTAGCATTAAATGGTTAGAGCATCGCTAGCTACAAGCGAAGGTCCCTGGTTCGAGTCCTGGTGGTGACAGTCAATTTTTTCTTCAGACTTTTCCCGTTTGTCTCTTTCCCTCAAACTAGTGAACATTAAATGTTTGTTAATATTACTGGTCGATAAATATGGTGGTAAAGACACACCTGGCAATATGGCGGTAAACACACGCCTGCCCACACACGCTCTCTAAGCTGCAAAGTTCTAGCACAGAGCTCTCCTTCTCACCACCACTACCATCAGTTCGCGCCTGGTGCCTAGTCGGTGCATGGTCGGCAGTATCCGACATAGCAGGCTGGTACATCAAGTAGCGCATGGCACATAGAAGATGACACAGCAACGACATAGCTCGAATGCGACGTACGTTTCGTCCCCGCTGGCCCATCAGGCAATCTTCTTCTTGGATGTCTTCATACGGAGCTTGACTCGGGAGAATGAAGTTGAAGACACCACTGCAGCTGTACTTATGGTTGATAAATCATGGTGGTAAAGACACACCTGGCAATATGGCGGTAAACACACGCCTGCCCACACGCGCTCTCTAAGCTGCAAAGGCGTGTGTTTACCGCCATATTGCCAGGTGTGTATTTACCACCATGATTTATCAACCATAAGTACTGCTGCAGTGGTGTCTTCAACTTCATTCTCCCGAATATTACTGGTCTTACAGTAAATTACGCAATGTGTCAGTCCAACGTACTCATACTGCTTGACCGCTTTGAAAACCGATGGCAGTAGCAACCTTTATACTGTGAGACCAGTATCATCCTGAACCATCCTGGTACAAGATGGTCAAGATGGTCTAACGCAGCGGCATCAACACCAAGCAACGTCACCTCACAATTAACTAGACCACCGGAAAAACAACCGGACAAGACACCTACTGGCATGGCAGTGACAGGAACCGCATCAACTAGAAGAATGACAAGATCGGCAATGGCGGCGATGGCAGCGTCTAAAGCACTGGCATCAACACCACGCAACGTCACCTCACAATTAACTAGACCACCGGAAAAACAACCGGACAAGACACCTACTGGCGTGGCAGTGACAGGAACCGCATCAACTAGAAGAATGACAAGATCGGCAATGACGGCGATGGCAGCGTCTAAAGCACTGGCATCAACACCACGCAACGTCACCTCACAATTAACTAGACCACCGGAAAACAACCGGACAAGACACCTACTGGCGTGGCAGTGACAGGAACCGCATCAACTAGAAGAATGACAAGATCGGCAACGGCGGCGATGGCAGCGTCTAAAGCACTGACAGAGGCAACGGCTAGGGTCCACTCGACTAGCCATTTGATATCGGATGTGTCCACCGCACATGCTGATTGCTCTGATGTTAGTTCTGATAAGTATGAGTCGGCCATTGCTAGTCATTTGTTTGAGCATCCTGATTGTCGTGCTGTGTATTCAGATGCTTGTTTTTCGATTGTGTCACGTGTACGCAGTGCTAGATTGCTGAATGTTTTGGAAGCTGTATACATCCACACAAAGAAACCCAACCTTTGCAAGCAGAAGCAAATTAAATTCACACTTGGGCTGTTAGGTAGGTCGTCAAAACCTCATTAGTTATGTCCAGTGGTTGTTTCTTGTTGTCGAACTACATGTCACGCTTATTGAGTTTTCTCGCACTGGCACCTTTGTGTCATTATTGCTATGTGTATAGGTCACGCATTTTCGCTGTTTACTTTAGCTATATTCTTCTTTGCGCTGTTTCACCACCTCCTTACTGTACTTAAACCACTGTTCCTGTTCCTTTTCCCTTGCCTGTATTTCACCTGATGAGAAGGCTTGAAAGTATACTTGTGAAACCAAAAACTTTCAAGATGTTCGTAAAGAGCCTGAAGTGTGTCCTTTTTACGAGTAGTATCACATTTTTGTCTCAGAGGAAACTATTTACCAGTAATATTAACGAACATTTAATGCTAACGATTTAACGAATTTAAAAAATTCGTTAACATTTGAAGTTGTTATGCACAAAACGATATGTACATGTACAGTCATTTGCCGGTTTTGAGAAGGAGTTTGTCAGAATTTCACCTCGCTAACCCACAAAAATACGGAGATCGTTATCACGTTAAAATACCTGGTCTTACAGTAATTGGATGATTAGGAGCAGCCAAGTCACATCATGTTGATAAGCAGCAGGCGCGTAGACCATGAGGGGCAAGTGTTGGGCACCCCTAAAATCTTCTCTTTGTTTGGCACGTGTCTTGTTTTCACCAAATGGCCTAGAGATGGCAAGTCAGTGCCTGCATGCTGTGAAGGCCGCAGAATTGAGTGCATGCTAGTGTGTAAAGTGCACTTGTTCTATACTTGTTGTTAGCTGTAGTCATGTAGCTCTGTACACCTGTTCAATGCAGCTTCAATTTACAAACAAACTTACTACAATTGTATGTACAGTCGAATGTCACTTATCCGACCACTTCGGGAATCAGGCATGTTGGATAACTGGATATGTTGGATAACTGATATCATTTTTTATGTGCATATATGGCTGGATTTCACTGATTTATGTACACAATACCCAAATATATTCATGCATATTCATGAATTGCTCCGTGTACACATACATGTTAGCATACTTGACCACATCTACTTCAAGTAAATGCATATTACACCGTATAATATACAACAAAAAAATTAAAATTATTTTACTGTTGAGAGTCATAAAATTACCACTCCCGGGTTTGTCGGATAACCGACGTGCTCGGATAACTGGCGACCGGATAAGTGACATTCGACTGTACGTACAATTGTAACAAAGTGCTTCAAGAATATAATTATGACCGTGCACCTCCCCAAAGGGTGGACCAACTACGCTACTTGATACTGAGACCATGGTGGTGAAGCATCGGACTGCACCTGGTCACGACGTGCTTGAATGCGAGGCGCTAAACGTGACAAAAGACTCGGAGTCGAAATTTTACTGCTCCAGCGTGGACTAAACACAGTGCCATGCATATACATGTGTTTGACGTATATAGAGTAAGCAAAAAAGTTAATTATCGTGTCCGTTCCCGAAGGGAACTCACGATGGCCGCTAACACCCGGTAAACCCTAGCGGCAGATGCAGCGCCTAACGGTGGGGGTGAGTGGATACGTCTCACAACCACTGGCACAAGTGCCGAGAAGCCCCATTAGCCGCATCCATGCACGCCTTGTGCCTGGCCACAAGTTTCCAGCTGGCCGTGGGTAGCAGCACGGCTGGAAAACCGCTCCCAGACAGGACTTGAACCAGGTACCTGTCGTATCTCAATCATGGTCTATGTGACTTTGACCAACCCACTGTGCCTGTCACACTATGTTTGCGTTGTACAAATCCATGGCAACTATTGAAATGCGGTGAAACCTCGTTAAGAAGAACACCGATAAGACAAACGTTCCGCGGCGTTAGAAGAACACAATGTTCATAACTCTATTGGATACCGGTCACTAGTGCACCGTGCTTTCACTGGGTATACAATATGGATACGTCAAGTAAGAAAAACTCCCGTTATTGCAAACAAATTAATACCATTGGTCACCAGGTGTTCGTCCTTGTAAGCGGATATTTTACCGTAGTTCTCCTCTGTTTTCAATTCCATTGTGCAATGTTCTACAGGGCTGTATCAAGACATGCGCAAGCTGAGTAAGCCAGCAAGCGGTGAACAGAGTACTAGAGGTCATGCGCTGGACCTGCTCAAGGGTATTGCCGCCGAAATCCACGCGGCCGAGGTGAAGCACGAGGAGGAAGACAACCGGGCCGATGCCAAGATTGCACTGGACAGCGCGCGGAAGATGCTCTACCGTGCATGCAGAGAATGCTACGAGACAACGAGCGACGTGCGACTGCTCGGCAAGGCCTTGCAGGCCGGCCTGGGTGAAAAGCTGTCAGAGCTGTTCAAGGACCTGGTGACCCCTCACCACAGGCCGCCCGGCACGCCATCTCTCAGCCACCACGGCGGTGCGAGGGGAGTGCTGCGGTGCGGCCTTTCTCCAGCCAAGGAGAAAGCCATCCTGGTGACAGCAATAGCGGAGATGGCACGCCTGGGACAGTGTCACATCCTGCGCTGGGTGTTCGGACAGGACGCTCCGCCGTCAGAAGCGCCGCCGAAGGTCACGCCGGCCGTACTGTGGTCGTGGGTGCGCGAGTGGCACGCGCTGACCGAAGCCTACCCGGAGGAGCGCTCCACCAACCTGGTCGTGGCCATACAGCTGGCGCGGATCAGCGGGGAGGAGCTGTGCGTGGGCGTGCTACTCTGTCATTGTTATAACATGCACGGCAGTGGCAGCGGTGGCGTCATTGCAGCGGCCACGCAGGCTGAAGGCAAGAAACTGGACTGGTCGGGCCGACGGCTCACTGACAAGCATGTACTCAACATCCTTGCCGTCAGCAAAGAGCTCGGCGACGAAACGTTTGCACGGCTGTGCCGGGAGGTGACGACGCTCAGCGTTGCTGACAACGTCCTGGTCACCAAGGTGCCACGCGCCGTGCGCTACTTTCGGTCGCTGACGTGCCTGGACCTGTCGCATACATCGCTCAGGGACAGTAGCCTCACGGGCGACATCTTCCGACTGCCCAAGCTGATCGAGATACGCCTGTCTGGCTGCGGCCTAACGTCACTGCCCAAGGACATTGCCTACTTTGGCCATTCGCTCACCGAACTCTACCTGGATGAGAACAAGCTCAATGAGCATCACCTCCCGGAGTGTCTTCAGTACAGTAACCTCAGCACGCTGGACCTGTCGTGCAACGAGCTAACCACACTGCCAGCATTCCTCTGTGGCATGAAGCACCTGAAGTTGCTGGACATACGCCAGAACAGCAGTCTACAAGCGCTGCCCGCTGAGTTTGGCTTGCTGCACTCACTGCAGAAAGTGTGCACAGCTGGCTGTGGCTTCACGCAGGAAGTCAACGAGAAGCTGGCACAGAGGCTGACACAACTGAAGCAGGACATGTACCATGCCTATTTCGACTACATCGACGTGGCCGTCGGTCAGATCGCGATTGTTGGACGTACTTGTCGCAAGAAGGACTGGCTCGTCAGGCACTTCCAGAACCACTTTGAGCCGGGCGATGAAGTTAAATACCAGGCTGTGCTCGATCTTGGCACGCCAGAATTCCTCGCCGATGCTGGTCCGCTTTTCTGCAGCGGCCGAAGCACGACGTTTGTCGTTTGCTGCACCGAGGAATCTGACGTAGAGGACATTGTTGAGGTAGAGCAACGGATCCAAGAGTTCTTGTCCGTGCGCAGCTCCACCCGCTCCGCACGGACCACCACAGAAGGGCACGTGAGAGCGCAGCAGTGCGGAGAGATCAGAGTGCGGGCGGTCGTGATTGTCTCGCCGCGCACTCGCACGGAGAATGTGGAAGTAAAGTTCCGGAACTCTGCGGTGTCAATTGTACAGTACAGCGAGCACGGCGGCTTGACACCTGATGCCTCTAAGTTTATCTCCAAGATTTTGAAGTTGTCTTCCAATAATGCCTGCAGAATTCCAAGAAAGTTCCAAGACTATCACCACAGGTGTCTCACGGCACGGCCTCTGCTTATCGCCGAGCCAGAATTCTGGAAGTTGATCGGTCCAAGGAAACGCGGCATCATCATGGACTCCATCTTCACGGAGGATCTATTTGACTTCCTCTTTGCGTGTGGTAGAGCACGGCGCCTGTACGGAGTGTCTTCCCAGAACCACTGTGTGGTCTGCACCGATATGCCCAAGCTCTGCTCGTGGCTCAAGGCTATGGCCAGCGCTGATGAAATGCCCACGCCGAATCTGCCCCACCCTGGAAGCTCTCTACCAGCTGGTATAGTCGAGCGGCATGGCCACTTGAGTGGTGTTGCGGCACAGCATGGCGCCACCCTAGACTCACTAGCTGACCGGGCTTCTGCCTCTGTTGACCTGGTCGAAGTCCTGCTGCATCTCCTTGAGACCTACAACATGGGTGGCTGCGTGAGCCGCAACCATATCTACTTGCCTCACATGCTAGCACACACTGCACAGCCTGATGATGTTACTGCAGCGCTGGCAAAAGCCGAAGACATCGTGCATCGCTACTACGTCATCTCCAGGGCGGTTGGCTTTGCCGGGTACGGCCACCGTCTGCTGTCGCAAGTCCTGGGCCGCTTGCCAGAGCTTCTGGACGGCGTTGCTGCACGGCCGCCTGCGCTTGTAACGCGCTGCTGGAGAGACGGTATTGCAGTGCTGGACCTCAGCAACACTGACACTGCCGCTACCACTGGTGGCTTCGCTAGACCGGTGCTAGTCGTGCGCACATTCCGCCGCGGTACTGGCCAGCTAAGCAAGGGCACGGTGTGCATCTCGGCCCCACTGCCGCTCAGCGCCTTACTGCTGCACGTCCTGGATCTGGCGGCGCAGCTCTGGCACGACGACACCGAGCAGAGGGGCGTCACCAATGTCGGCGTGGAGCAGAAGATCTTGTTTGCAAAGTGTCGCCCGGATGAGTGTCGGTGTGGAGTGGTGGACGGTAGTGAGCGAGTGCCGCAATGTCAACGTCACCCACCGCCGCCCATGGACCTCTCGGCTAGCTCTACTGTACCGCGTGCTCTGGCCGACGTCGATCCATCACTCATTGACAAAGACTTTCAGAGTCCAGAAGTTCTCCTGGCTGAAGGCAGCTACGGAGAGGTGTACAGGCACGGTGAAGAGGCCGATGGGAAGGTCATGAAGATGATGACACGTGACAGTAACAGCACTGATTACACGCCTGCGCTGCTGGAGCTACGCAGGGAGTGGCGCATCTTGCACGCGCTGCAAGCCTCGCCGTTCACCATCCGGACATTCGCCATCGGCCTCATGCCAAGCCGCATCATCATGGAGAACGGTGGCCAGTCACTGAGGCAGTACATTGCACCCAGTCACAGTCGACCGCCACGCCCGCTACTGCTCAGGATGATAGTGCAGATGGTCGCGGCAGTTGCGTTCATGCACGATATGGGCTACGCACATCGGGATCTGCAGCCGGGCAATTTCCTTGTGTGCAGTAGGGACCTGAACCGCCTGAACATCAAGCTCGTCGACTATGGCACGTCGATCTACATGCCGAGCGGGCGCTGCCGAGCAGATATCGGTGCCGACCATTACCAGGCGCCGGAGATGAACCCCATGCATATGGCGTACTGCCAGGAGAAGACGCTGCAGGCGGACATGTTCAGTCTGGGCATCACCATCCTGGCACTGCTGGCCGGCAAGAGCGTGTCGGCCTTCTTCCGTCACACGGTCAGCGGGCAGCACAGCGGACGGGGCTTTGAGATGCACACCGGCCTCCTGGAGGAGGCGGTCAGGAGTCGCACGGGGCTGGCCGGCCTGCTGCACCTGGCGCGCTCCGCCATCAAAGTGGACGCCGTCGCGCGGCCGACGTCCCACGACGCGCGCCTGTTCGCCTGCAGCCTGGAGGCGCTGATGATGGTGCACTGTGCGTACCAGCTGACAGTGCAGCACATGCCCCGTGCCAGCGTGTTTGCCGTGTTGCCGGAAGCGGAGAGCGGCATGGTTGCCGGTGGCGTTGCCATGGCTATGAACTGCGGCGGTGGCACGGGCGACAACGTCCTGGTCCGCTTCCCGCTGGCGCAGGAGGAATCCGTTCCCATGGCGATACGCCGCCGTTCCTGGAAGACCCGCGTCAACGGGCTGCACGTGGTCATGGCAACGGAGCCCGACCGGCGACACCGCCTGGTGATCTGCTCGCGGGGGCGCTTGGAGATCTACGACATCGATCACGACGGCAACGTGGACCACGACGTCAACGGGGACGACAAGTGTGAGTATCGGCATGAGGACGCCCCGGACCATGAGTGGATGTGCGCAGTGTCGGACACCGAGTACATATACGCCGGCAACACGGCCAACACGGTGCTGGTGTTGCGCAAGTGGGCACGCAGACCGGAGCCGTTCCTGGTGCACGAGATCCCGGACGTCGTGGAGCACAAGCCGTATTTGGGCATATCGGCCATGGAGGCAGTGCGCCTGTCCGGCCATCGCGACCACACCGTCCTGGTCATGATAGCTAAGCTGCGCAGTAAGTGTCAGCTGCTGGTGTGCGAGATCAAGTTTGAGCCCACTGTCGAGTCGCACGTCCTGCCACCACTTGCCGACACGGAGGAGGAATCGGAAAAGTTCCGCTGCCTCGCCGTGGCCACGGACCGCAAGAGCATCTGGGTGAGCTCCGGAGCAACTGCCAAGCTGTACGGCGTATTGCCAAACACGTACGGCTTCATTGCGGAGATCCGGCTCGACCAGTACACAGCCCCGGTGCAGAGCGCTCAGGGCGCACCCACCTACATTAAAAGCCTGTGCTGCTTCAAGGGCATTCTGTACGCCGGCACGGAGAATGGGTTCATCTATTTGATGCACGACGGCGCCCGCCGCGACCTCCCCGCACCGTCTCGGATGATTGCACGCCTGAAGGCGCACCACCGGGATGTCCATCATCTCGTCTGCAAGCGCATGCTGGTGGCTGGTATGAGTGACGAGCGCGATGTGCTGCTCAGCTACGGACTAGGTAACGGCCTGTGCCCGCTGGACCGAGCGCCAACGCGCGATGCCGTGCCGCTGTGTGGCGCGGCAAGACGCAGCCAGTGCCCGCACTCCCCAAGACGCCGTCGCCACCGCACCCAGTTCGGTCTGGGCGCGTATCTTGGCGTGGACGACGACCCCGGCGATGACTCGCAGGCTGGGCACAATGGAGCGGTTTGCACGGGCGGCGCTGCTGCACTGGGCATGCATTCTCCGTCCGCAGAGTCTGTTGCTGCTTCTAGCGCCGCCGCTACTGCTGCTGCTGATGCTGGCGCTGCTGCCTCTGCTGCTGCTGCTGATGATGATGATGATGATGATGATGATGATGATGCCTCTGCTGCTGTTGCGGCTGTTGCAGCTGCTACTGCTGCTACCACTGCTGCTGCCACTGCAGTTGTTCCTGACGGTGGCGGAATCTCTGAGAATCCTGCCGCAAGCGCTAGCCCTGTTAGCCCGGATCATGCAGAAGATTCTGATGAAGACCCCCAGATGATGAGCTCCATGGAAGGAGGTCTGGAGACAGACTCAGAGATTGCACAGAGTGGTGATGAAACAGTCACGGTGGCCAATGCTTTCGCTTCCGTTACGATCGCCGACGATGGCATCTCTGGCAGGGCAGACGCTACAGTTTCCAGCTCTGGAGCAAATGCAACAGCAGCATTGCCAGCAGCAGCTGCTTTGCCACAAATAGCACCAGGAGGAATGGGTGATGACCCAACAGCAGCAGCAGCAGCAGCAGTCGCGAATACTGCAGCTCTGTCGAGCAGTAATCCTGTTGCCGTGGTTACAGCTGGTTCCGAAGCAGAGGACCGTGCTCTACCATCCGAACCAGCAGTACCTGATTTGCACGAGAGACCTGCACCGCCTACGCCGGGTCAGCAGGTAGCCAGCCGCCGTGGTCTCAGCGACATCATGGCTGGACGTGCGCCGGGTAGTGGTGCTGCTGGTGTTGGTGCCGGCGGTTCTGGTGCTGGTGCTGGTGGTGCTGGTGCATCACCCACGTCTCCATCTGAGTCATTGACTCTGGGACGCAGTGAAGTGCTGCGCCACTCTGAGATGGTTGACCCGCACCCGTGGCCACTGGCCGAGGATGACGAGGGCTATCGCGAGACCAACGGTACTCTTCCGATGGTCGTGGCCGTTTGGGAGGCACTTTCACCCGATGACATCAGTAAACTTGCTGACTTCGGAAAGTGGATCAGAGACATATGATAGTAACGGTCAGCAGGCTTGCGTTCTGCTATTCCAGGCCCCAACACTTGCTTCTCTTACGATCTGATAGCCCAGAAACAGGCCAACTGGTCAGTGAAACTTGATTGATCAAACATGCATGCATTCTTTACTGCCAGAGTGTTACTTTCAGAAAGCTGTCTTACAAACCATTGCTGAAGCGTGTGCTTCCACGTATGTTTGGAGTCTCGTTGCAAGGCTCCGCTCAAGTTGGATGGAACCATTGCGTAACTGCATCAGTGCAATTGATCGCCAATGATGTGTTTCCTCAATGCACAGCCGTAAAACGTCATTGCCACATCTGCCTGTGTGTGAGGATCTGCAGTGTGCTGTATGGTGAAAAAGACCTACGAGTACAAGTGCCGGTGTATTCTTGTGCATGTGCTGTTACGGTCACAGTTTACTGTGCCCGGCCGGCTGGCGCACCACAACCAAGCAGGCACCGAACGCTGTGCATTGTCTTGAGGTTCAATGCTGCTTGCTGGACACCGCATTCAACACTGGCGCACGTTGATTCTATGCTACCGTATTTTACCGGTTGTAAGTCGACCCCGGTTATAAGTCGACCCTTCTATCTGGAGGTCTCAATTCTGCGTTTTAAAGTTTTCACCCAAAGAAGCACTACTTACCACCTCTTGTTACTAACACATCAACAAATCATGTAAACATTCCTTATTGGAGGATATAACGTCCCAATCCTTGAAACAGGCCAATAAACTGGCAAAATGTGTAAACATGGTGCACTCGTGCATGCAGTGCAGGTCATTTTTTGAAGATTCTGATAGTTACCGGTTATAAGTCGACCCCCACCCTTTCTCCTTCTATTTTAAGTCGTAAAAGGTCGACTTACAACCGGAAAAATACGGTATGCGTTTTGAGCCGGAGAGAGAGAGAGAGAGAGAGAGAGAGAGAGAGAGAGAGAGAGAGAGAGAGAGAGAGAGAGAGAGAGAGAGAGAGAGAGAGAGAGAGAGAGAGAGAGAGAGAGAGAGAGAGAGAGAGAGAGAGAGAGAGAGAGAGATGTACAGCACGCGCTGCAGTGCAATCGCGCGATGCCGCTTCTGCGTGCACTGCACTATCCACGCCACTGAGTGCATGGTATCTTCTGGTTGGAAATCTCTAGAGGTAAGCTGTGCTGCATGCATGTAGTTGACTAATGCATACACTGTACATGCACCATGTGGCCATGTCAACTGGCGAAAGCAGCTGCCGCCTCTAGCTGATCGCCAACGCCGCGCTCAACAACTGGCCTTTAGCCTAAACTTGGAGTAGCTCTAGCCATTTCAATGATTTCAATGATTGATTTTCATACTTGATAACGTTAAAAAACCGCTATCGTTTTTGCCAGAGTTCTTCTATATTGTTTTGGAGCTTTGCATGTCTCCATCATCAGATTGCCGGAGTTACACGTAGCTGACCGGCCTGCTCAGGCAATGTTTTCTCTACTATGCTATGCAGAACTCGTGCTAAAGTACAGTGCTGCGCAATGAAATCAAGTCGCGGCGTCGCTCAAGTACACGCCGGGCGATGCGCAGCCCTAGACCTGCGAACACTGGGCCACGAACTGATGCAATGCGCGTACTTGAGTGACGCGACTGGATTTCATTGAGCAGCACTGTATAGGTATTCTCACTTGCACTGCTGTTTCATGCTTGGATATCAGTGGTCCTGTACGTCACATGACCCTTGTCTTGGACCTGGCTGACCAATGAGAGGTAAACTTTTTCTTCGGAAAATTATTTCCTCATCGATCTCCTCGGGACTAGTCCGGGAGTCACACATATGCAAGCACGCGCGCACGCACACGCACACACACACAAGAGGTGAGCTGATGCGTACGTGTGTGTGTGTGTGTGTGTGTGTGTGTTGTGCGGTGTGTGTGTTTGTGTGTGTGTGTGTTTGTGTGTGTGCACCCCTTTGCACTCAGCTCTCTTTTTCAGCTGCCTCGACTGCATGGCCCAGATTGAGTCCCTTGATTATTTGCACATGCATAATACCTGGAGCGACGGCTATGCAAAGCGTTATTTCGGACCTGGGCTGGAAAAAGCGACAGCTGTGATACAGATGTGCTTTTACGACTCAGGCCCTGGTTTCACCTATGCACATGGTGGGCGCATAACCTCCTAATCGCTTGTTCCTCGCCGACAACTACTGCTAATTTCCCGGCCTTAGTGGTGTATATGAAGATACACATGTATCTATTATTGCACGACTGATTAAAGAGGTCAATAGGAGGACCGAGGTCTTTTACGAGGTGTATATTTCATAATTATATTGACTGATTATGAGGGCAATAATATGTAAATACCAGGGAGTCGTAAAATACCATTTTACGACTCCCTGGCATTTTACGACTCCCTGGTTGAGTCGATGCAAAATCAGCCAGACGACGAATCTGCTGGACCCAGTCGGTGACCTTATTAGCAACGTACTCTTCCACAAAGGACGGCGTGCCAAGGGCTGCTCCTAGATGACGACAACCATCCTTCTCAATACGCACACCAGTACCAGCAAAAATCACAGTGGCTTCCTCGTAGATCTACGCCTCGGGTTTCACGAGCAGGATCGACTTTGTTGCATTCAGGAAGTACCCATAATCCGACCCTTTTGCATTCAGGTCATCCCACCATCGCCGTAGCGGGCGTAGGCGGCCGCCAGCTGAAGAATCAACCGCGTACCATTCCTGTACCACGTCGGCAGAAGCAACAATTACATCAGCGATAAGCGGGGCCGGGTGACACCCAAGGCATACATAGGCATGGCAATGGGGTCACCCTGGGTAGTGCCTTCACACGATAGAATACTTTCGCCGTCGACATAGAGATGAGCGGGGGATCGGTACGTATTAATGACCACTGGGGCCAGTGCTGGGGAGAGATGGCGGATGTTCAGGTGGCAGGCTTTGCGGTTCAACCGGTTGAAGGCGTTGGAGGCGTCCGCAAGGAGCACTCCATCCACGTCCGGATTGTGAAAGGTGTCGTTCATGGCGTATAGCGGCTTCGATCCCACTCGGTTGGCCAGCACAGAGCTGAAGAGAGCCTGCGGCAGACTGCACAAGGTCCCCAGTCACTGCAAGGATCGCCTTGGCCAGTATCCTGCGGACCGTCTCTCCAATACCTATGCCATGGCATGGGCCTAACGCCAGGCTTCTTGTCCAGCGGGATCAGCCTGGCTACTATGTACTAGTGAGTAGTGGGCTGCGCTGAGCGGAAAAGTGTCTGAAGCCTGGGCATCAAGAGTACATGAAAAAAGTTTTCATGTGCTCTTGTGGGCATGCATAGTGCTCTCCAGTCTAGGTCCAAACATCACCAGGGATTATTATGTCTCCCTTATTCACTTCTTTCGAAGGCGATAAGCCAGACCCACCGGGAAATATTTCCATGGGTGGGACAGCAAAAAGAAAGTGAAAAAATAAAAAATAAAAAATAAAAACCAAAGGGACAAGAAATAGTTGAAGGAAGAGGAAGAAAGGAAAGAAACTCAATCCGAACTCCAACATCAAAACAATAATAAAGAATTTGCAGCGACAGGCAAAGTACATCAACCAATGAAGAGAGTAACAAAGGAAATATCAGTCTTTATCAGTCGTTATTCAAGTCTCTTAGCTATTGAACATGCAAACGCAGCAGAGGTGCATCTACATGTTAAGGATAGTTCTTAGTATTTTAATCGAACCTTGGATAGCCTCCTGTTGCACAATAGCCAGGTCTCCTCCCTGCACAGTCCGAAGGCATTGAGGAGTCTCTCCCATCAAGCCTCCCAGGGCACCGACAACCACAGGGACCACGTCAACCTGGGCGAGGGACCAAATCCTGGAAATCTCCCGCTTCAAATCATAATATTTCGAGCGCTTTTCAGCCATTTTCTTATTGATGTTGTTCTCACCAGGAACGCTGATGTCTATAATGTAGGCGATGCGCTCCTTGTCATCAACAAGGAGCAGATCGGGCCTGTTTGCTGATAGTTTCAGGTCAGTTGGGACCGAATACTCCCAATAGAGGCGATACCGATCACTCTTGACCAATGCCTTGAGCTGGTGGTCGAATCGTGAAGCACCAGTAGGTAGATCTCGTGCTCTACACATTTCGAAGTGCACATACTTTACTATCCGGTTGTGTCGTTCAATGTAACTGGTCCGAGCAAGAACTGGGCAGGCACTGACAATGTGGTCAATTGTTTCTAAGCTGCCCTTGCAAAGCCTGCAATTATTATTATTATGAATCTTTATTCCACTCCAAATTGAAAATAAAAATAAAAATTGGAGGTATTACACTAACTCACCGGACTTATCATAGCCAAAGGTAAGCAGCACGGAATAATAATATTATTCCGTGCTGCTTACCTTTGGCTATGATAAGTCCGGTGAGTTAGTGTAATACCTCCAATTTTTATTTTTATTCCTCTCTCTCTACCTTACTTTTTTCCATATATTATATGGAAAAAAGTAAGGTAGAGAGAGAGGAAGGGAGAAAGGCGCATGTACCATCACAGGCATTAAAGCTTTATTATTATTATTATTTGAAACTCGGATGTTGAGCCATAAATAAATGTAGAAGAGAAAAGGACATATGGATACGAGTTAAGAGTAACTCTCCATCACTGTAACATGATACTATATACAGTCAGAAAGTGCAATAACTAGGCACAAAACTGACAGAGTACTGAAACATTCGACGTCCTGACACCTAGCTTCAACACTTCTCCGTAGCGCTAACCGACAGCCTTCCAACTTGGAAGGTTCAAGGTTATGGAAAGACCAAAGAGGGGAAGGCAAGCGCAACGAAAACGAGCAAAAGCTACAGTCCCAACGGAACAAAGAATGTCGATTGTTACTGGACGATGACGAGACCAGTACGATATATAGTATCATGTTACAGTGATGGAGAGTTACTCTTAACTCGTATCCATATGTCCTTTTCTCTTCTACATTATTATTATTATTATTATTATTATTATTATTTAAAAAGGCGACGTGGAGACAATAATCTTAATAATGCAATGAATATAACTAAATGCGCACTCATATCACAACCATGGGGACGAATCATGTATTCCAGAACGTTTTCTTGTCACAATTATCAATGGAATTCGTGACTAAAGAGTAGTCACCTCATTTACTACTTTGAATGCCGACAATGTGGTAGTCGGTATGTTGGTAGGACCCTTCAACATCTGTCCGAACGTATCAAACAACACGTGCCGCTCTCAATATTGTCACAGGCGGCTAGGTCCTCCCGACCAAAGCGTGGCCGACCACGTAAGCACCCAACTCCACTGTCCGTTCCGGCAGAGGCTTCTGCTCCACAAACGGTGTCTCGGAAAAACCAACACGGCACGCAGAAATTGGGAACAAACATTAATGTAAACAAAGACGAACACTGTGTCTTATCTTCATTATCAGCGAGTACCGGAACGCCGGACGCAGACAACCGCAACTCACCAAAGCTGAGAAGGAGCAAACGGCTGGCGGCAGCTCGGTTTGCAGAGGTGACTGGAAAGATGCATCGAAACTCTCCAGATATGGATGATGCCAGCGGAAGAGTTGACGACTGTCAGGCGTTTGGCAATGGCAAGGGAAGACCGGTCAGGAAGAGAACGCGACGGCAGCTGGAGGAGGAGTGTGGAAGCGACGTGTGCAGTGACGATGATGAACCCGGTGGTCAGTTGCTGGGAGAGCCGACGACAGGTGAAGGCGGCAGCGATGATGAAGAGGACGGTGACGATGATGACGATGATGTTGCAGATGGTGTGAAGGACGGTGGCGGTCAGAAACCAAGTGAAGGCGGAGGCGGTGAGAAGAAGAAGAATACATCGGCAATTAAATTGCATTTGTTGTCTAACCCCGTGTGTCGTGAAAGTTATGATGATTCTTGGTTCAGTGTTGTTCGTTCTGCAAGTAGTTTCAAGCAGTTAAAAGTTCTAGAAGCAGTCTACATTCGCATTCGTGATCCAAATCTTTGTAAACAAAAAGAAAATGTCACCGCACTTACGCTATTCCAGTAAATTCGCACTCACACACACTTACACATGCATGTCCATTGTCACACTGCACTTGCTGAATTTCCTATCATTTCTCACCTCACCTATAGTTTATTACCTGTGCAAATTGTTCCTAGGTTTGTGCTATTTTTCTTACTATGCTTGTATCCTCGCTGTTCCACTGCAATTGTATAAATCCTATTGTAGTTTCATCATTCTCTTTAGTCACGAATTCCATTGATAATTGTGACAAGAAAACGTTCTGGAATACATGATTCGTCCCCATGGTTGTGATATGAGTGCGCATTTAGTTATATTCATTGCATTATTATTATTATTATTATTTCTCCTTTATTCACTTCTTTCGAAGGCGATAAGCCAGACCCACCGGGAAATATTTCCATGGGTGGGACAGCAAAAAAGAAAGTGAAAAAACAAAAACAAAAATAAATAATGCAATGAATATAAC